TTAGGAACACGGTCGAAGGCTTAAGAAAAATCTGTATAAACAACGTCGACCGGCTACGAACTGTTATGACGTCCAGTCGTTAACACAATATAGGGGATTAGTAGGAGTAGAGCGACCAGAGGCAAATCCAAGTTGTTTAACGGGAATAACATGTTCCTGGTTTGGAGCTGTTTTAATATTAAGCAATCTAAACCAGGTGAAGCGTCTGTGCGCAGTTTAAGTAGGTGTTGTTTAACATAATACACTATAAATTCTACTTGCTGCAAGGATGCACCGACACGATTACACTTTATAGGAGGTAGATTGCCATTATTCGATTCTTTAGTAAAAACCTTTGGAAATGCTAGAGAGAGAGTTTTTGAAGACTATTTTTTAGAAGAGGATAAATTCTGGTTGGAGTTTTGAAGTAGAGGCGTGGAAACTATAGACGTCAAGGAAGATCGTATGTATTTGTAGACTTCTTGAATGTTATCACTTTCAATAACAGTTACTTAAAAATTGTATCTTAAAGTTTTTAGAGATGTTTCGTTTCCGCCAGAGATGTCATTTGTTATTATTATGTTGTTTTATGTTGTTTTTATAAATCTTACACACGGCGGTATTTGTAGAAGTTATTTTGTGGACAGTATCGGAAAATTCAGTCCACACTAATTAGGCGTTTAAGTCAGCAAAAAATAAATTTCAGTCGATTTAAGAGAGTTTAGTGTCAACTTTAGAAATGTCGGTAGTAGCAATACGATACAGTATTATTTTTGTGGGTAGTATTTGATTCAACTCATTGTGAGCCATTATAACTGCATGGTCTGACTTTTCTATAAAAGAGCTAATTTCGAGAGAAGAAATTAGCTGTTTGTCATTAATAAACACTAGATCTAGAGTAGAAGGTTGGTTATTAATTTTAAATCTAGTAGGTTCTATGATGGGTTGTATGAGGTTCGAATTTACTACAGAGCTTCTAAACAAGTTATAGGAGTTTTCGGCATCAGATAATGAAATTATTGGTCAGGTGAACTCTGAAAAATTAAAATATCCAGTAATAAGATTACCAGTTTTTTCAGTTTTGTCAAGAAAACATCGTTTACATGTAGTGCAATAGGTAAACATTATATACATATTACATTAAGGCAAAAATGATTATCAGTAACAGATAAGTTAATTGCGTGTATTCCAGGAATTTATAATAGCTTAATGTTAATTTTGAAAGTTGTGATAACTAGAGACTGGATTATATGCTCTAAAAAATGGTTAAAATATGCATGCAACATGCACCTAAAAAGTAATCAAATATGCCTTTATTATATGCAATATGCATTTATATATGGACTTCAAAAAAATATGTTTTAAATTTTTAGGGCTTGAGATTTGGTAAGAAATAAAATTATAGTATAACTTAGAGAGTGTTTATTTATCACTACATTTAATAAAAACATATAAATGAAAATTCACAAAAAAATGTCCTCGTTCTTGCTGTTGCAGTATATCATCATAAAATGTTCAATATTTTCAAGAGTTATGTTATGCCTTCTATCAGTTAATATGTGTTTATATGAGGAAAACGATCTTTCAACATCACAGGATGTAACTGGAGTTAATCTATAATTTGACACTAGCAAGGGATGCATATTAATAACGCTTCGTTAAATCTTCCATTGATTATGTTATTTATTGATCGCAATAAAGAAAAGCCTTCATTCCGGTTTAAAACTTCACTAAATTTATCTTTAATTTTTTTCCAATTGTCCCTGAAAGGTTTACTATTCTTTCTCTGACATAATCAACAATGCAAATACTATCATTTAAAGATAATTTTTGACTCTCTAGTTTTGTACTAGAGTTTACAATTAAGTCAAAATTTGCTTTTATATAGCACAGTTTATTCTGAACAGAATTCTCACTAAAAATATTTTGACATTTCTGAACAACAATACAACAAGAAGGATCGAAATTTGATATAACATTTTTGATATCAATATAATTATTTGCAAGAAATATGGCACTATTTTAACACGTCCCTCATCTAGTTAATACTGGTTCCGGTGACAAAGGGATATCGGGAAGCATCTCCCTATATACTTCTACTCACAATGGTGCTTTTAAAAATACTTTATTATTTACATTGTTGATTAAAGTGTTTACATTTGGAAACTCGAGTCCAACTTTCTCTATCACCCTGTTTAAACTATGCACTAAGCATGTACAATGAATCAAATTCGGAAAAAAATCTAGAGTAAAATCTAAAGACTAGTAACAACTTTAACCATGTAAGAAGCGGCATCGGCAACCAGTAGCAATTTTTTTTCAGAAAGTACTTGATTCGGTAAAAAGAAATTTGTCAAAGATTCATTAACAAATATCAAGCAATTGTTGCATAGTTAGTTTTTTCTAAACATTTTACGCTGATTAAATACGACTTGTTGGAGTCATCAGTTGAACTGTTTAAAACTCCAATATTTAAATTCGCAATTTGCCGACACTTGGCGTCAGTAGTCTCGTCGACAGATATCCACAGATATTCATCTCTTACCCGGGTTCTAATATCTTCAATAACGTCTTTGTAAGATGCCCTCACATATTTCTTGCGAAGAGTTGAAGGACTTGGTACCTGTACTGCCTTATTTTTAATTTTTCAATATGTTTTCAAAAAATTTTGACACACCTTGCTATCCAATTTATACAGTGGAATATTGCAGCTTACAAAAAAATTGCATACATCTTTTGCAAACATTTCTTGCCCCGTCGATGTGTAACGATTTTGAATAATGTTGTTCTGCATAAGCTGCTGGCGTGGTTTCTTGAAGTCCTTAGATAGTTTATATTAGTGGAGAGCCGTTTTCAGGTGTTGGGAAATTTGGAATTTTTTTTTTCACATGGAATCTGTAATAAAACGGTATAGTAAATAGGAGTCTTATGCAATAATATGGACTTCAAATTTTTAAGATACCTTATATTTTTTTTCTCGGAACTAAAACTACCGCCAATAGTTAAACTGTTACATGTTTAGTATATGTATACCGATTTTCCTGCAAAAATGAGATTTTAAATTAAATTTTTGAATCGTTAAAATATAAGTGAACTCACATTTTTATCACAAATAGTACAGTAAACATTTTCATTGTCTATAATCCTCATTTCACTGTTGCCACCAACCCAACTCCGCAATAGACTTTATTTTTGTTTCGCTACTTTCGGCATATTTTCAAAAAAGAAATGCAACCTGCATGTTGGCCCTATTTTTCTGATAAATAATTCCCAGATGTTTTTTCCCAAACAATAAAACTTTATTTAGATTTAGTAGATATTTGTATTAAAATTATTTCGTAGTTACCTTACCTAGTACCTGCTATGAATAATTTCAAGTAACTATTATCTAAATATGTATAGAAAACTATTTTATTTATGTGATCTTTTCAAATATGTGACAATATGCTCAAACCCAAAAGTATGCTGCATATATATGCACATCCATTTTGCATATAATGCAGTCTCTAGTGATAATAACATTCGATAAATAAATGCATACACCGCCACTCACACGATTTTCTCTGTTTATATATTGTATATATGTCTATATATTGATTTTTCTCGATATATTGTATATCCTTTTATACATACAAAGGAGTCAGGAATTAAGGATTTCAGCCAGGATTCGGCAATACAAATAATGTACAGTTTAAGAGGTGCATTGTGCATACTAAGTCGTCACACTTAGCGAAAGTGAATCTAAATTAGTATATAAGCCAGGTTTTAATTTTGTCGGTAGAAAAATTTTAAACAAAAATTCGTGAATTCTAGGAGTGCCATTAATGTATTTAACAGTATACTGGTATTTTAAACATATTTGTTGGATGAGCATCTTATCATCAACTATTGAAATTTTTCCGTGGCTTTGTTCTGCTGAACTTATTACTACCTTTATTACTAGTGGAAATCGTTGGTTCTCTTTGTCGACTCTATAGAAGGTTTGCTTTTCCTGGCAGCCAACAGTTTTCAAGACAAGGTTATCCTTATTTACGTCATCTTTTGATTTGTGCATTCCCAGAGGAAAATTCTGGTAAGTCTCTGATTAGAATATTTTTAGCATGTGTTATGCGCTCCACAGCTTCGTTAGCAATATTATTCGTATATCCATTTGGTAGACTTAAATGAATCAATCAATAACTCTCCAAATTATCGATTTTCATACGAATTTCCATTTTACAGTCTAGCAGAAGATCTTTTATTTCCGAAATAGTACAGATATTTGAGCTACAAGAGTAACAAAGGATACTCAAGCCACCAATTTTCTGTCGAATGCCATCCTCTGAAGAAAGGTTGGTGCATGTACATTGTGATGTGTATTTTGTCGATTACATCCGTTGCACTGGAGTTTGCGGTCAGCTGTCATTATGGTTTTCGAGCCGTTCAAACAAAAAGAGGTGGACAACAGGGTCTGGTTTTCTTGTATGTAATTAGTAGTTGGTTTTATACTAATAAAATGTGAAATGGTACTCACAGTAATTATTAGCTGTAACTGCACTTTTTACACCAAGTTTTTAATAACTCTACTGGCTATTGGTATATAGAACAATCATGCAAATAATTATTTTTTACAGAGTAATCTTGAAAATCAATACAAGCACAAAATTTTGCGTGTGTCGTCATTTGTAGTTGCTTTGTTTCTTCCTTATCCTCTCTCTTTCCCGCTCCTTCTTATCCTAAAAATCATTGCTAAGTTAATGATTCTCCTGTCATTTCAAAGGAATACGTACCAGTTTTAGATTTTTCAACAATAATATTTAACTATTAGGGTATTTTTAAGTAAGTCAGCAACTTCTAGCTTATTGTTTTTCTTTCACTTCTTAGGTTGCTGGACTGCATCCTAATAATTCACTTATTCATTGGGATTAACTATTTTAAAAACAATCTATCTAAGTCTTGCAAATACTATAGAGTTGACTATTTTTTTAATATTTAGTAGGTATATTATTTTAAAATTAATTTTCACATAGAATACAGTGTTTTGTTAAATATATATTTATTAGTTTTTGTTACATTTAGTCAATACATTGATTTACAAGGCATCGGGTTTTAATAGTTTTCTTGTAAAAATCCACAGATGGTCTAGCAGTTCTTGTTCTATTGGGTTCGTTGAAATCCACTTCATATAGTCCAAACTTTTGCCTATAAAACAATATAATTATAATTCTAAAAAATTTTGTTTGTAAAAATAGTGTTGTTATTGACGAAAAAGACAGTAATTAGGTACAGCTCATATATTTTCCAACATCAAAATTTCGCATCACAAAAATTCAAATATGTTTACAGTATCAGTGATAATGGAAATAAATTGTTAATATATTTATATACAGTCCTCTCTCTATAACAATATGCAAGGGACCGGGAATTTTTATCATTATAAGGAGGGATCGTTATACAGAGAGAGAAAAAAATCGGTACTGTAATATTAATAATACTGTACTAAATAGGGGAACTTGGGTCACAGTGAACCATGTTACACAGTGAACCAGCAGCCCCCACTCTTTGCCTATGCACTTTATCGCCCAACTCTATTCTTCAAATATCTGCTGGTTTTACGCGACACCTTACTACTTTAGTTCGCATCAAGCTAACATAGTGTGTAGATGTTTATTTCGATATCTGCTGAACGGTAAGTCGAATGCTTTTTTTCACATTGTTGTATTTATTTGTTTTGTTCCAAGCCTGGCGGTAAATTCAGATCAATTATAGTTCCAAGCTACTTAATAGGTCTTTGTACATACTGTTTATCTTGTCTTTCAAATCAATGTAGTTTATTTTTGTTTAAATAAATTTTTTAGTTAAATAGGTGGCGGTGGGTAACAGCGAACCATTGACGAATGGGTTACACTGAACCTGGTTCACTGTAACCCATAATGGTTTACTGTGCAAATGTTATACAAGGCCGGTTGTTCGAACGCTAATCAACAATGATTATTATCAAATATTTAATTACTGTCACCAACTGTCAATGTCAACTTTAATTGGGTTGCTGAAAACATAATAAATTGAGTACAATTATGAGATTAGTGAATCAATTAACATAACAATTATTAACATAATTGATTAACTAATTTCATAATGGTAATCGATTATGTTTTCAGCAACCCAATAAAAATTGACATTGACAGTTGGTGACAGTAATTAAATATTTGGTAATGATCATTTTTGAATAGCGTTCGAACAACCGGCCCTTAGAATGTATGCATTTAATTTCATTAATCATAATTTGGTTTATGATTACGTTTATTTATTGTTTCAGATTCAAAATGCCACGCAACCGAGTTAGAAAAACAAACATTGGCATGCACAGTGAAGAGCAGATGCGAAGTGCTTTAGACCTCATATCGAGAGAAAATCAAAGCATAAGAAGTGTGGCAAAACTTAAAGGGATTCCTTATCCGACTGTTAGAAGATATTGGCAAAAATTTAAAAATACAGATGAACCAATACGGCTAACTCCTAATTATGAAGTGAATAAAATTTTCACAGCCATCCAGGAAGAAGCACTGGCCAATTATATTGTAAAATGTAGCCAAATGTTTTACGGGTTAACACTGCTGGAATGTCGCCAGCTGGCCTACGAAATGGCAATAGTCAACAACGTCAAAATTCCTGAAAAATGGAATGATCGAAAGCTTGCTGGCATGGAATGGCTATACAATTTTAGAAAGCGACATCCCCGGTTAAGCCTTAGGACACCTGAAGGATGTAGCCTGTCCCGAGCTACGTCATTTAACCGACATAATGTGAACATATTTTATGATAAGTTACAAGAAGTTATGTTACGTAAGCCCGAATTTGCTGATGGGACTAGGATATATAATCTTGACGAAACTAGTTCCCTGACCGTGCAAAAATCTCAAAAGGTGCTCGCAGCGAAAGGACAAAAACAGGTCAGCAAAGTCACTAGTGGTGAAAAGGGAACATTAGTAACAACCTGTTGTATCGTCAATGCTTCCGGCAATTTTTTACCACCAGTCATGATTTTTCCTCGTGTCCATTTTAAGCATCACATGACAAATGGGGCTCCCACCGGAACGTTAGGATTGGCGACACAGTCTGGGTGGATGAATAGCACACTATTTGTAGACACGATGGAACACTTTATTAAATTCTCAAACACTAGCAAAGAAAACCCCAGCTTACTGATAATGGACAACTTTGAAGCTCATATTTGCATAAAAGCCATTGAATTGGCAAAGGAAAATGGTGTGACAATATTAACAGTTCCGCCTCATTCTACCGGAAAGATGCAACCCTTAGACGTTTGCCTTTATAAACCTTTCAAAACTGCTTACAATGCAGCTGTAGACAGTTGGATGATGCGGAATCCAGGAAAACCTCTAACAATTTATGAGGTAGCTGCTTGCGTTGGGGATGCACATATGAAGGCAATGACTCCGTCAAATATTTGTAGTTCCTTTAAGAATACCGGCATCTTCCCGTACGATAGAAATGTTTTTACCGACATAGACTTCTTGCCAAGTGAAGTTACTAACAGGCCCATTACTGAAAATAATGGGAATACTCCAGATGGCCAAATCTTCAATTCAGAAAATCCACTGGCAGTCGGAGCCGAACATAGTAGAAGTAGAACTCCTGACTCTGAGGCTGAAATATCTTTGGAATTTGTAACTCCGGATCAATTTCGAGGGCTGCCAAAGGCTGGGCCGAGAAAAAATACCAGAAAACCAAGACGAAAGGGTAAATCTATGATAGCCACGGACACCCCAGAAAAAATGGAAATTGAGGAGCGCGAAGCAGAAAAGCAGAGAAAGAAGAAAGCGCATCCCATAAAGAAAAAAGTGTTTCAAGAACCAGAAGATACAACAGATGAAGAAGATACGTTCAGTGTTCATTCTGAGGTAGAAGACTATTATGAAAGCGGTGATGAGGAGAATATTATGACCTCCGACTCTTTTAATCCATTAGAAAAATTACCCAGTGAAGGAGACTATGTGTTGGTTGAATTCAATGGGAAGAATGGTAAAGTCTATTACGTTGCTAAGGTATTACAAGAGGCCAAGGAACAAGAAGTAGAAGTAAGTTTTTTAAGAAGAAACTATAAAATGGAAAACACATTCCGTTTGCCAGACGTTTTAGACGTATCTCCGGTTGCACTGTCAGACGTAAAATTGATATTACCAAAACCAACTATTTGTGGGAATACTAAACGACAACAGTCATTCTATTCATTCAAATTAAATTTTACTCAAATAGATATACGCTAGTTTGTACTAGTAGTGAGTTATCAAAGGTTTTGCTATATCATGCGTTTTCTTTTCTCCAAGAAACCTGCTGATTCTCTGTACCACCATTTGGTTCATTGTTACCCATAGCCTGGTTCACTGTTCACAAGGACGGGGGCACACTGAACCAAGTGACGCTTTGAAAAATATATATTTTAACTAGTACCAAACATCTGGTTATATCATGTTTCACTTATGAGAGCAGAAGTTCGTACCTTATAGCATTCATCATCCAAATTTCAGACATATATGCATATTTTTTCCTGAGTTACACCACTCCAAATAAAAAGTGGTTCACTGTAACCATTCTCCCCTAACCTATGTTAATTTAAAAAATTTATCAAAACGCATAATTATAAATGAATTAACGCTATATTGTACACCACATAGGTTTATTAAAGAATAATATAAGCAACATTATAAAAAAATGACTATACAACAACAAAATAATATGCTACTGTAAAATTACTGCGTTATTAAAAGTCTGTTAGCTTGGTCTGCTTCCTTTTCCCTTTCCACAGAACTGACCTGACCTTGTACTGAAGACGCATAGAATCTTATACAGCACTCATATCGTCTCCCTGGTGGATGAAGAATCGATGCAGTACTTTTGCCGCATCCAATGCATACTGAGGGGTCTATATATATATATATATATATATTATATATATATTATATATATTATATATATATATATATAATATATATATTATATATATATATATATATTGCTATGATGTTTTGTTTGTGTATGAGCAATGAATAATGAAGTACTTTTTTAAATTATCTTTATTATAATTATTATGAAACACACATAATATCTAATATAGACAATATAAATTTAAAACAGCCTATCTTGAATTTGAAATTCTTACAATAATTAAATTGTAATAACTTCATTAATTGTCAGCTTCATCAGGAGACAAAGATTTAGAGTTAAAAGTATTTAAAACAGTTGTTGTACATAATATGTACAAAACAGTACTTTGTGTTACAGTACTTACCAACTGATCTAAAAACGCCGTAAAGATTGTATTAATTAGCTAGTTTTAGATTCGCCGAAGAACATGCGAAATGAGTTGTTTAAGGTTACTGTGGTGTCTTATCACCAAAGAGTTCAGATTTTTTTTATATATTTCAGTTCGTTAACCGAAGAGGAGCATCTAGCATATTATGGAACAAAACAACTTTAAGGGATTTAAATACCACAGATTTTAGAATCATACGCCACTGTGTGTTTGTGTGTCAGTCTTGTGACTTTTATACAATTCGGTCAACAAAAAATCCTTAACAGATGCCTAATAAATTAACAAAAAAAAGCTAGATGCAATAGTAAAAGTATATGTATACATCGAAAGATATTAACGACATATTGAAAAAAATTCATCGTGTCTGTTAGATATCTACTTACGTATAACCTGCAGTCCATTCAAAATTGTCCATTAGTGTCCAAACGGTATATCCAAGCACTGTTATATTATCTTGGTCCATAGTGTCTCGGATATGACTTAAGTAGCCCTATAAAATAATAATTTTCAATTAAATATAAATAAGTTTTTAAATTTTTGAACTTAAATAACTTAAATAAATTTACTTATCAACATGCAAACATTTTTAGAATCAAAATAAGTGTCAGTAGTTAAAATTGAAAATTTTTTATTATTTTTTTGCTGTATACAAAAAACCCATTTTAAAAAAATGTTTATCTTTTTTGAATATCATTTTAGTCCACGTATTGCATTCTTATTTGTGATATGGATAAAAAAATATAAGTTTGCTCAAATTTAGCATAATTGACTAGAAAATATATATCTCTGGTTTCAGACATGATTACATGTCTGAAATGATGACACATCAACATAAGACAGTCTATTACGTTTCAATTTGGTAACAAGTTGCACATCTGTAAACCAATTCTCTGCCGTTATACTGCACCCCATTCCATAAATAGGTACTGCCAATCTTCTAACGACATCAGATGGTTTATTATTATATTGTTCATAGGGTCCCTGCGGTTGCTTTCCAGTATATATTTTCAGGCTATAACTATAAAAAGTAACTGCATCTTGTACTCCGTATTTGGAGGGTTTTAAGGCATATATTGTTTTAAACCTGCAACGTCTCCTAAAAGCATCCAGTTTTTCAATAGTCACACACCGTCCTAGTGAATAGCACATATGTTTACAATTATGAACAAAATCGTCGAAGAGTTGTTCTCGAATCTGCGCAATGTTGTCAACAGCTTTTCTTTCAGGTCTTGCGATGCGGTCATCGAAATGCAGGCATCTAATAAGAAACTTGAACCTTCTGAGACTAATAACCAGTCGACATCATTTCGTTGGCGTGCAAAATCCATAGCACAAGATTGATTCGTTGTGCAGGATCTTGACGCGCAAGATCCTGCTAGATACAAAAGGCCTATGAAGGCCTTGAGTTCTGTCATGTTCGTATCAGTTGCATCACGTTGTCGGTCAAAGCGATCCCTTACTTCGGGATGAATATACTGGTTTGTGAAATTGACTATTGTTTATAGTATTTAATCAGAAAATATCTGACACCAATATTCTATATGTAACTTAGCTGGTCATGCTTAACGTATTACTCCTGGAAGACATGTAACCAGGTTGTGTGGCTCAGTGCTTCATTTCTTCGCGCGCGGTGTTTTCATCCATCTAGTAGTTTTATCTTTTCCAAAGTAAAATAAATTGTATGGAAATCTGGTTCTTCCTCTGTCCCACTCTCTTCAGAATCAGGGTCATCAACTCTTTCATCCTTTGTCTAATCTTCCGCATCTGTGTCCGGTTTATCCTCGAAATATTTTCTTCCCAACTAGGACGTTACGAATACGACGGTAGACTAATCCGGTCTAGGAAGGTACTATGAAGGTGGGTTCTCCTTACTTTAGGGTTCAATAAGAGCATCGAGAATTGGCGAGCTTGTATCATTTTAATATGCATGCAACCTGCGGGGCGGAGGGTTAAAAAGGACTAAAAGTAAAATTGTTCCAAAATTTTCAGTTATTTTTGTTTATAAATTATTTATTTTCCATTTTATAATAAAAAGTAAGTGGATTTAATTTGCTACAAATAATATTCAATATAATTTTTTTTTGTAGCTGTCTATGTAAGTGTAGCCACCTATTCTGATAAAAATTGATGGCATAGCAAAGTTGTGATTACATATTGCAGTATTGATTGATATATTATGATTCATGCTGCGTCAAATGACTCCTTAAAATTGTACTGATATTCTATTACTTAAATATTTTATTTGTATTATTTTTAACATTATTAACATATCTTTTTCTTCTTCTTTGAGTACCGTGCCCAAGTTTTAGGCATGGGTAGCTTCCATGACGATTTACCGATATCGTTCTCGATCTTGCGCGGCATGTAATAATTCATCTGCTGATAAGCCAGTCCATTGACGAAGGTTTCGGAGCCATGAGTATTTCTTTCTACCAATTGCTCTTCTTCCGTCGATCTTTCCATTGAGTATCGACTGCATTATCCTGTATCTGCTTCCTCTCATTATATGCCCCAGATATTCGAGTTTTTTTTTATCATTTTTATTAAGTCACCTTCACCTTGACTTACTCTGTTCAAGACTTCTCTGTTTAAAATGTGTTGAACCCATGATATTGTGAGCATTCTACGATATAACCACATCTCGAGGGCTTCTATTTTTTTTTTATTTAAACATACAAGACCCACATCAACCACCAAGGGTTATTAGTGGGGGGACATACACAGTAGTACATTTTGTTAAATTAAAGTTTATTATAAATGTTTATGTCTTTTAGAAACTGCGATAAATCCGAGATATTTGTCGTAAGCGCACTTCTCAGGTTTCCACTAATTCCTCGGTATGTTCTCTGAGGTTGGAACTGCGGACAGTCGACTATCAGATGCTTCACCGTGAGTTGAGTAGAGCAGTAGGTACAAATTGGAGCTGGTTCTTTATTTAGAAGGTGTTGGTGTGTTAGTATTGTGTGGCCGATTCGAAGACGATTTACGATTACTTGATCTCTTCTTTTTCCTTGTTGTGGTAGGCTAGAGTCTACTCGAGGCTTTATTGTTTTCAACTTAGAGTCTGTTGCATCCCAGGTTGCTTGCCATAAATTTATTATATGGTTCATGGACTGTCGTTTATGGTCGGTGTGGGGATATTTAGTAATTTCTGGAACATTTTCATTTTTGATGGATTTTAATGCTAATTGATCAACTTCCTCGTTGCTTTTAATGCCAATGTGTGAAGGTATCCAGATAAACGTAACCTTTTTATTTATATGGTGTAGTGCATTAAGTTCGTTTCTTATGTTTTGTGCAATAGGATGGCTAGGGTAAAGTTGATTAATTCTATGAATTGCGCTCAGTGAATCTGTGATGATTAAAATATTATTTTCAGTCGTTGAAGAGGATTTCTTGATGGCTTCTAATATCGCTGTGGTTTCTCCGGTGTAAATGCTGCAATGTTGTGGAATTCTAATGGCATATTTGTAATTTTTATTTGTGAAGGCTGCAGCATGGCCACTTTCAGTTTTTGATGCATCTGTGTATATTATGTGGTGATTTGGATACTTCTCCATAATTTCTTTGAATGCGTTAATGATAAGGTTAGGATTTGTGGTATTTTTTGGGTACTGTATTAAAGTTAAATCGGTGATAGATAAGGGGGTAAGCCATGGAGGAAAGTCTAATTTTGTAGTTATGGATAATTTGAATTCATTGCAATTGAATCCTTTTTGATTGATTCTTTCCCTAAAGGGTTTGTCTTTATATTGTTTGTTTCTATACAAATTGGATGTAGGTGCGTTAATAATCTCAGAATATAATGGGTGCTTTTTATTGGAAGATGTTCTTGCTGCATAATTTAAACTAAGTAGATGTCGTCTTAGATGTAGAGAGGGTTCTCTTGATATTACTTGTAAGCTGCTTACAGGACTGGTTCTGAAGGCACCGACGGCTAATCTTAGAGCTGTTGTTTGAATTGTGTTAAGGTTTTTTAGAAACGTTTTATTTGCTGTATCGTAGCATATTGCACCGTAGTCTAGTTTACTGCGAATAATTGATTTGTAGAGGTTAAGCAGAATACTAGAATCGGCTCCCCATATATTATTGGATAGAATTTTCAGCAAGTTTATTCTATTTTAACAAGTTAGTTGTAAAGTCGTAATGTGTGTTTTCCAGTTTAATTTGTAATCAAACGTTAGGCCCAAAAAATTCGATTCCTCTGAATGAGATATATTTTGACCGTTAAATATTAACGAAACAGGAATGGTATTCTTGCGTTTACTGAAAACTGTTTAATGTGTCTTATTAGTTGAAAAGAGGAAGCCTGTTTTAGAAGACCATTCTTCGATTTTGTATAGAAGGTTCTGTAGTATTTTAGACCCAGATATAATATTTTTGCATTTAATATACACAACTAAATCATCAGCGTATAAGTTTGCTTTTATAGGAGGCTTAATTGTATTTATTACATCGTTAAATGCAATTAAAAATAAAGTTGGGCTTAAAATAGAACCTTGTGGAACACCGTTGTCGAGTATTCTAGTGGTAGAGGTGTATCCGTTAACTCTTACTTGTATTTCCATTTTATTCAGAAAGTTTTTTATAACGCAAGCATATGTCCTTGAATTCCCCATTTATCAAGTCTATTTAATATGAGGTATCTCCATGTTGTGTCGAAAGCTTTATTCACATCAAAAAAGACTGCTATAACTTTCTGATCTAGTAAGAATGCATCATGAATGGTTGACTCAAGTGCCACTAAGTTGTCGTTAGCAGATCTTCCTCGTCGAAAACCACTTTGAATTGTGGTCAGGAGATTTTCATTTTCTAGATACCATGTAAGCCTGTAATTTAAAATTTTCTCGAGAAGTTTACACATGCTACAGGTGAGGGAAATAGGACGGTAAGATGTGGGACAATCTTTTGGATTGTGTTGTTTATAAATTGGGATTATAATAGCTTTGATCCAATTATCAGGAAAGTAATGATTTTAAAAGATGTGATTAAAGATGTCTAAAAGTATCTTTTTGCATTTTTGGGGTAGATTTTTTAAAAATATCGATGGAATATCATCAGGACCTGGAAATGTGGTTTTTAAGTTTAAAAGAGAAAAATCTAATTCTTGCAAAGTTATGGGTACATTTATGGGAGAGATCTGGTTGCGAATTTTGATGTCTACAAATTCTGTGGTAGTCTTATGCGTAGAAAAGATCGGATCTAGTACAGAATCCTAGAGTTTTTTTGAAATACGTCTACTAGAATTTCAGGAATTTTGTTTCTACAAGAGATGATTTGGTTGTTATATGAAAGTGCATTTATTGAGTAAGGTAAACTTGATCCTTTTATTTTCTTTATTTTGTTCCAGATTATATTTGCTGGTGTCGATGTGTTAATGCTTCTAACATATTCAATCCAGGTCTCCTTCTTACTCTTTTTTATTAAGAATCGTGTACTAGCTCTCAATCTCTTGAATTTTATTAGGTTTTCCTCTGTTTTGTGTCTCTTAAAAACATTAAAGGCGTGCTTGCTAGCAGCCAAGGCCCGACAGATTTCTTGATTCCACCAGGGTACCGGTTGCCTTTTACACGGTTTAGTTTTTCCTACAGATGTAGATGCACAATTTAAGATAATGTTGTTAAAGTCCGTGACGGTTTTGTGAATGTCATTTGATATCTCATAATTTTCCATCTCGTCTTCCAAATCTTTTTGAAAAAGTTCCCAGTTTGCTGATTTTATTTTCCATCTTTGATATACATTCGGATTAAGAGGTTGGTTTGTCTCGATTGAAATAAGTAAGGGGAAGTGGTCACTGTCGTGCAGAGTTTTTGCTGTGTTCCATTGAAACATGTGTGCTAGTGATGGGCTACACAGAGTCAGGTCAATTGCAGAGAATGATCCGTTATATGAATTGAATCTTGTTGGCTTTCCAGTGTTTAATAAGATTAAATTTGATTTATTTATCAGACTGTGTAGAAAGTTGCCACATTTATCGATTTTTTTGGCTACCCCACGCTGGGTGATGGCAGTTAAAATCGCCTAGAATTACTTTGGGATAGGGTAATTTTTTCTATGAGTGCTGTTAGTTCATTTATGTCGTCTTGGTTAGGATGCGGTAAGTATATATTACAAACATTGATGTTTTTACTGTAGGTTATTGACACAGCCACAGCTTCCAGGTTTGTAATAAGTGGAATGATTTTTGCTTCAGTGTCATTTCGAATGAAAGTAGCTACTCCACCACTAGCATGCATTCCATTTCTGTTTTTCAGAAATGGCACATAATTTCTAAGTATTACAGAATTGTTTTTAAAGTGAGATTCTTCCAGACAAATTACAATGGGCGAGAAATCGTTTATAAGAAGTTTTAATTGCTCAAGGTGGGTGTAGAATCCGTTTAGGTTCCATTGAATTAAAAATGTATTAGACATTATTTATTCTGACTAATTGTGTCGTTGTCAGATTCTTCTGTAGATGAATAATAATTTGAGAATAATTTTTTCTTAATAGTTGTAATTGTTCTTTTTAAAGAGGGATTTTGAAAATTTGCGTGGATAAAAGTGAGAATGTCAATAATTTCGGATATTTCATTGGTGTATTCTTTTGCTATAAGTTCAGTGTTTTTAGAGTTGGTGGCATTTTCTAAAAATAGGCATATTTCTGAATAACCTATAGGAAAGGGCGGATTTTTTTGTTCTATTAAGTTTTTAATAGAATCGAGGACAGCAAATGTATTTTCAGTCGACTTGGCCCTTTTTTTTGGTTTAGATGTTTTGGGAACAGAAAAGACATCTTGTGATGTGGGAATATCAGAAACATCTGGAGAATTTGATAATTGTCTTTTGGCCTTATCTCTATTTAAAGATGGGTTATCGTTGCTAATTATAGATAGGGTAGGAGCTGGAGGGTTATAGGAAATGTTGACTTCAGATGGAGTTTTATTGGTGGTTTCAGTTAGCTCTATATTGGTTTGGTTATTTGAATTAGGATTTTCAGGTACTTCTGTTTCCATTTGTTCACTGGGCGAATCTGTTGTTTGAATGCAGTCAATTTCTCGGTGTCCTATTGTTCGACATTTAGAACAATTAAATTCGTCTATAGAAAGGTATATTCGATATGTTGTGGAATCAAAAGAAATGTTGAAAGAGTCTGTTATAGATAAGTTTTCTAATGGATTGATGTAGATTTGCCGCCGAAAACTTAGAACATGGTTATATTCTGTCTCAGACATACCCACTCGAAGAAATGTCATTTTTGATATGGCTATAATTCCCATTTTCTTGAGTTCTTCTTCTATAACTTCGTTTGGAATGGTTGGACAAACATTCGAGATGACTAATCTTAATGCTGGAGTTATTAATCTGCGGACTTCTACTTGCAAGTTGCTGATTTTGACGTATTTGTGTGAATCAATGAGTTGGTCTACTATTCTTCTAGAAGATAAATAAATGCAAATGCGGTTGTTTGCAATTTTCGAGGCAAAAACTATGTTCTTTGGAAGGACAAGTGATCCAATGGCAACTATATAATCATGAATTTTGATTCCTTCTATGGCAGATAGTACAATAGCTTGGTCTTTTGCCGGATATTTGAATGAAGTTAGTATGTTTAAGTATGTAGATAGTGTGGTGTTTTTTGAAGGATTATTCTCTTTTGGATTCATTTTTGGTTAATAATTTTTGTCTTTAAATTTATTTATCATAGTCAATTTTTTACCCGTCCCAATCAGGCTCTGTATTATCAGCAGAGTTATAATAAAACCCGCTCTGAAACCGGTTGAAACGGCCTTTGTGATAATTTTGTTGACTATCAGAATATGTTGTAATTATGTATTATTGAGAATATTAATTTTACTCACTGCGATTGTAGACCAATCGATGAAAAGCACTCTAGATTTTTGTAGTAAACACTTTTAAATATTTTTGATCACTTTAATCTATTAGATTTAAACGATATTATCAGAGCTAACCTAAATGTGGTTTGGTAAACCAAGGTCCGGCTTTTATTTTGTTCATTGTATTAACCTTCATAATTCAGGTTTCACATCCATACAATAATACAGGATACACATAACATTTTAGAAACTTAATTCTCAACTGTAAGTTCAGCTGAGAATTGCTCAGAATATATCTATGTTTCATAAATGCCCTGTTGCAATTTCTATATGAGTTTTAATTTCTTCATCCGGATTTAGTGTCTCGTTTATCCAACATCCTAGGTATTTAAAATGATTAACTTTGTTATCGGTTTATTATTGACAATTAGTTGTATAGCGCCGAGGTCTTGTTTTCTAACTAAGTAACTTTGTCTTTGTTGTATTTATGCTTAGTCCGTTATTAGAGCATTCTCTAGTGACTCAATCTATAAGGAATTGAGGATCTTCGATAGAAGATGTTAACATATGGACTTATTTAATTACTTGTTGTTTGTTTGGCTGTACCAATTATAGTTATATAATATTCTAGAATGTTACAAGTAAAATTTTGTCTTCTGTTATTAAAAATATTTTTAAATGACGAAAATGTCCTTTCGGCGTGAACGAAAGCCAGATGTTTGGGAACTGTCCTACCTAAAGACAAATTTTTTGATAATTCTTTTTTTTTAGTTGAAAACGTTCATTCTTTGTTGTAATACTACAACGTTTATAACCCTGTTTACTATATGATATTTTTAAATCCTAATTCCCCAATACTATTTTCTCGAAAATCTTTATCATTCTTTGCCTTCAAATAACCATGGTACATAACAGTTTGTACTACCGCTTCTCACATTTAACTGTCAACTATTGATATTTACTAAGGACAATATAGAAAAGATAGCGAAAATATAATAATATATAAAAGAGTAAATGCTGAGTTTAAACTGTCAGATAAAAAAACACAGTTGGATTCGTGTGAATACCACATAAAAAGGTATTTTAGAAAACGATGGAAGAATCAGCGGGAGAACTATTTTCAGATACATGTTCTTAGCTATCTAAATAGATATATAAGCTCAGATACTTATAATATATGGAGGAAGAGTCTACAGAAATTGATGTGGGTATGGAGAAGACCGATATTAAACAGAGAAGGATGGAAAGTAGTTTTGAAATGGACCAAGTCTCACGAAAGGATATTAAAGCACCATCTTATGATTACGATATTTGATTGATTGTATATACTGTTAAACAGTAAGGCAAATAACTAAATATTGAACTCACCTTGATGTAATATATTCTCCGGTCATCTTTGCTTCCATCATGGCTTGGGTATCCATTTTCAGTTATGAAAATTCCTGGGTTGTTGTAATGGTCCTTAAGCCAATTTAGTAACGGTCTTATTGTCCATGGAACAACCTAAATACAGTTGAAATTGTAATATAAACATATATTTTGCTGCTTAAACGTCAATAATCGAAAGTGAAAACCAAAATATACAATATACTTCAATATGTCTATCACTCGTTTCTCCGTTTATTGATAAATTAAATATTAACAATTTAAAAACTTAAAGTAGTTATTACGCATTCTTCATGATTTTTTATCTGAAACTGACCAAGGAGATGAAGACAGATATATAGACACAACTATTAATAAAAATGATTATGAAAAATCAATTATAATAATTACTAGACTTAGGCAATTATGCAAATTGTATATTTTGCATATAATGCATAAAAAATGCAAAAATGTCAAATTTTGCATACTTTTATAAAAAAGTGAGCATAAAGTGCATATAATTTGAAAATTTGGTGTTAACTATATATTTTTATATTCAAAATTACAGATAGCGTGAAAATACCAATATTTAATTTTGTTTTATAATCACCTGGTATTCAAATTCTTGGTATAGTAACTAATAAAATACAGCGGGTTATAGTTTTGTCACGTTTTGTCCTGAATTAAGGGTTTGTGTAAACCAGTTTATGTCTCTAGGTAAAAATTTTTATTTTGATGGTTAGTTTCACTTGGTTTCACTTTTGTTGTAAAGTTGGAGGCGTAAACAACGTGTATTTCTAATTGTGAATAATTATTGTGCTTTGAAAATGCCGAAAATAAGCAATGTTTCAACTTGGATAAAACCTTACAAAGAGCTATCTATGGATATGGATAAAGTTTATTGCTCATGTTGTGGCAAAACCGTAAGTACACACGTATTATTTTTTATTTTATTTTAAAAACTTACACGGTTGTACAAAGATTTTAAAATTGGGATTTTTTCTTTTTTCGGGCATTTTTTATACTCCTTGCGATAAAAAATAGGATACCTATATAAAATATAGTCTACTGAAATGTCGCTAACATTTTTTTTTCTAAAATAGCATAGTTTGCTTTAATTTTGACAAAAACAAAAACATGTGATATATTGGACTTAATTAATTAGGTGCTTTTAATTTATGCTCACAGTATTTTTTCTTTAAATGTAAACAGAAAAGACCAAGAGCCTCTTGTAAATATTTGGGGGTTCTTCCTTCTTGCACAGTTATTTCTTGACATTTTCAAGATTACTACACCGATTTTTATTTGATTTAATTTAAATATTTTAATTGTTATGCAAAAACGGTTCATTTTTAGTTTATTTTTACAATCTTAGATTTTAAAAATGGGTACAACTATAGAATATTTATATTCTTTTTTAGATTTCATCTGAAAAAAAATTCAAATAGATCAGCATGTCAGAACCGCGAAACATTTAGCTAAAAAAGTAAAAACCACATCCGGTGAAAAATATCAACCTTCAGTGTCCAAGTGCTTTCAGTCAAGTTCCAAAAAACAAACCGAACAAGAAACTTTTAACGAAGACTTGTGTCGTGCATTAGTATCTTCTAATATACCGCTTTCAAAATTATCTAATGAAAACTTTAGTTCTTTTTAAAAAAATATTGCAAACAAAACATTCCCAGTGAACGAACTCTAAAGAGAAATAATGTCAATTTGTTATACTCCTCAGTTATCCACAACATAAAAGCCGAAATAGGTAATAATTACTTTTACATATGTGTGGACGAGACCACTGACTCGTCAGGAAGATACATTGGCACTTATTGATTGGTGATAACTTCCAAATCGTATTTAATTTCCTGTAACAGTGGAAAAAACCAACGCTCTAACAATATCACGGTTTCTACAAGAAGCATTAGCAAACTTTTTTCTTCCTGCTGCTGTGCCTAATGATAAATTATTGCTTATTTTATCTGATGCCGCACCATATATGGTGAAAGCAGGACAAAATTTAAAAATATTTTATCCAAACTTAATACATGTCACTTGTTTAGCGCATGGAATAAACAGAGTTGCGGAGGAAGTAAGAAAAAAATTTCCACTAGTTAACAGTTTAATAGCGAGCGTCAAAAAGGTATTCCTGAAATCACCTGTAAGAATACAATGTTACAGAGATATGCTTCCTGCTGTTCCACTGCCACCGCAACCCATTTTAACACGTTGGGGAACATGGTTGGAAGCAGCTAATTTCTATGCTGATCATTTTGTTGATTAAAAAAATAATTAACCTTTTAACGGATGATAGTTGCCAATCTTTATTGGAAGCTAAGCAAGCTTCCAAAATAACATCCTCCAACAGCAACTGTCATTCATAAAATCAAATTATAGTTTTGTCCAGAAAACTATAACTCAATTAGAATCCTCCAAATTATCATTGTTAGAGAGTACAGTTTTAATAAAAGAATTTGAGTCATTGTGTCAAAACGTTAAAGGTACTATTGGAAAGGAAATTTTTCAAAAATTTAAAGTAACCATGGAAAAAAATAGTGGTTACCAGATTCTTTCTGAAGTGGTTCAAGTACTAGCTGGACATTTTCCGAACCACTTAATTTAGAACCATCTATTATAGTAAATTTGAAAAATGCCCAGTTACATCAGTTGATGTCGAAAGAAGTTTTTCTATTTACAAATATATGTATTCAGATAGAAGCCATAAGTTTTTATTAGAAAATTTTGAACATCATTTGATAATCTATTGTTACCACAATTCAAAATAATATTTATATGTTAAAATAATTGTATATGTTATGGATTTATAATATTGTAAGTATTTTTGTAAATAAAAAATATTGTAATTATTTTTTATTACATGCATATTTTCTAGATAAATATGCATATTTTGCATAAAATACTGCATATTTTTGTATAAAATACTGCATATTTATGCGCATATTTCATACTTTTTTATTTGCATATTTGCCCACGTCTAATAATTACTAATGAAAGTGACAAACATCAGATATTAAATGTACTACAAATACTGTACAGAGTTATATGGAACAACATAAGCACGAATGAAAGACATTAAAAGATGGCTAATAATTAAAAAAAAAAAAACATAAAATCTAAGTATTATTAGAAATTATTAACTATTTGAGTTAATCACAGCTATACCAAAGAATATATTGCTGGTATTACCTTTGTATGATCAGAAGATGTAGATTCCCAGTCAGTTGGCTGGAATATATTTACACCAGCATCACCCCAGTTTGTTGGCGGATCTGTGACCGGTGGATCTGGAATACTATTGACTAGATAAGCGCTGTAGACATTCAAACCAAAATAATCGTGAGTTCCTTTAATATATTCAACTTCTTCTTTAGAAAATGATGGTAGACGGGATGCTTTCCTGCCTTCTGCAGTGCTACGGACAGCAATTCTTTTTTTAACTATATCTGGAAAGTCCCCAACGAAGATAGGATTGGCGTATAGACCAAGCTAAAAAATAAAAATGTATACCGAGTAGATCAAAAGTTTTGTATGTTAATAAAAGCAAGAATAACTGGAGTAAAAAACGTTTATTGTAAATAAGTAGGTACAAAAAGTGCATGCTTTACATTTTATGTTCGAAATGTAAACCACCTTCATCAATACATTTTTGGCAACACTTACACATAGTGAAACAAGTCTCTCTACAAAATTCTAAGCAGCAGGAAGAACTTCAAATTCTTTTCCCATCCTGTCTTTTTGGTACTACATATCCCATATTGGGGTAGCAAAAACTTTATGTAGCAGTACTCTCCACAAGGAAAAATCACAGGGCGTCAAATCTAGCGAAAGCCAATTGCGCCTTTTCTCCCTATCCAATTACTAAACTCGTATTTAAAAATAGTGTTATAGTCGGAATTGTAACGTAGGTACCCCACGGTAAGGTAACGTAGGTGGCTTCTCCTTACGACAAAAAAATACCAATCATTCGCTCCTCACAAAGCATAAAATATTTTTTTGGAAACGCCGCAAATTTACGCGTGATTTTTACGCGTTTTTTACGCGATTTTTACGCGTCTTTTGATCCACCCATATAAAGAGACATTCAGGGATTTACAAGGTCTTAATATAAATGTCTATTATCTGAACCATCTATGATATGACAAAAATGTAATTTAGATAGCTCATATAAAGCAGGTCTAAGATGTATCTCATTAAAACAAAGACTGATAAAATATTGAAAAAACATACAGAAGTTAAAACACTTCACAATTGTATTTAGGTATAAAAAAATACATAAAACATTGTATTTTACATTGTGAAAACAATTGTAAGTCATTGTAAACACAATTTTATACCTAAATACAATTGTGAAGTGTTTTAACTTCTGTATGTTTTTTTAACGATGGTATACAGCGAACCACGGGGATTTTCCCATTAATTTTTTTATTTTTTGATAAGTATGAATCTATAGAGGCTATATAATGCAAATGAAACATCAGACTTATCTCTGAATCTGTCTTATGAATTTGTCTTATAAATTGTCATTTGCACTGTTGCTTAATTGTTTCTGATACAAATGAATCTTGATCTTAAAGTGCCCTCTCCTCAATGAAGGTTGGCTACCACAATTATAAACTTTTCTCTGTATTTAGTTGTTCTTATTAGCTGTTTAAAATTTAGTCCTGGTCACCGTTAGGTGTTTCTTATGCATGATAGTCTTGTTCTTCCTAGTCCTCTCTTTCACTGTTTTGAAAAGTTCTCGTCCCTTGCCTATTCTAGGCAGCTTTTCAACGGTCTCCAATTTATTTAGGGTTGATTTTTTAAGAATGCACATTTCAGCAAATTTTATTAGAGACTTATATAGCATGCTTTTGATTTTTTGAAAGATTTTTGGTCTTTTCCATTCTCGATCTTATTTCTAAATGGAGATTTAGATTACTATCGAGATCCAACATCTTAGGTACTTGAACATATTGACCTATTCTAAACTGTGTCCCTTTTATCAAGGTTGAGGTATCTTTGGGTTTTTACAGATTGATTTGATCACTTCCCTTAACAGTTTAATTGCCATAAGAGGCCAATACGGACTATATGGGCCGTGTGATGCTGACGTGAACTCACGCGCTAAGTCATCAGAAATTTTCTAACTCTTTTTTTTTTTATTATTTAATTAGATTGCTTTGGTAAAGACCAATTAATCAGTGGAACGCATTTAAATTCTATACGGGGACATTTCGAGCTCGGCGAGATGGTCTAAAAAGCATACTTGGTCTGTGCTCCTGAGATGTCAACGAGGACTCACATGGTCCATAATATTTTTAAGCAAATTGCGTAATTATATATTTTTGTATATATAAACAGGAATTGTTTTCCTTGTGGATTTTATATATTTTTTGTTATATAGTCATAGTAAGAACACATTTTAGGCAAAATAAGCCATATTTTCATAAAAAAAAACGTAATAACATTATAAGTGCTATATCTTTGCAACATGCTACAACAACGGAGAAGCCTACTACAAGAAAATAAAAGAAATACAACTGAATACAAAACCCTTAATGCAGAAATTAGAAGACATATAAAACAAGATCTCAAACGGCATCAAGAAGAACGATTCGAGAAGATTATAGAAAATGATAGAAACTCAAGATCTATCAAGTCCCACCTAGGAAGAAATGAAATCATAGAGATGGAAAATAAACAAGGTGTAATAGAAAAAAGCAGAACCCAAATATCTAAGATAACAAGTGAATATTATAACTGACCTCTACAGCTCTTAAAACAGTCCACCTGATACAACTCAACAAAACCTGAAAAAGAAAATAATGAATGTAAACTCTGAAATATTACCCCCCATAACCGGAGAAGAAATAGAAAAAGCAGTTAGAGATATAAAAAGAAATAAGGCTCCGGGAGATGATGAAATTCTAATTGAAATGTTAAAAGAAGAAGGGGAAAAGATAAAAGAATACCTAAAGATACTTTTCAATAAATGTTAGTTTGAAGGACAAATACTGCAAGAGTGGAACAAGGCAAATACAATTCTGATATATAAGAAAGGAATTAGATCAAAATTAGCTAACTATAGACCAATATCTCTATTGTCACAAATCTATAAAACTTTCACTAAGGTGATCACAACTAGACTAAACAACAAATTTGATGCATACCAACCAGTTGAGCAGGCAGGATTTAGAAAGGGGTACAGCACAACCGACCACCTTCACACTCTTAAAATATTGATAGAAAAGACCAACGAATACAACCTTCCAATATACCTAGCGTTTGTTGACTATGAAAAAGCGTTTGACAGCATAGAACTATGGGCAGTGGAAGAAGCGCTAGTTAATTGCCGAATAGATTCACGGTACAGAATGTTAATCCACAATATATATCAAAACGCCACTATGAGAATTCAGCTAGACAGAGATTTGCAAACTCCATTAATTAGAATTTGTAGAGGTGTCAGACAAGGGGATACAATCTCACCCAAACTATTTACTCTAGCGTTGGAAGACATTTTTAAATCTATAGACTGGGACAATAAAGGGATTTGTATAAACGGGAAATATTTAAATCATCTAAGATTCGCCGATGATGTACTCCTGATAGCAACAACCATGGAACAACTACGAATAATGATTTCAGACCTAGAAAAAACATCTCTTGAGAAAGGACTAAAAATGAATCTAAAGAAAACTAAAATAATGACTAATACAGAAGACAGATCAGTAATTACCATAGGTGGAACAAACATAGAACACGTCCAAGAATATATTTACTTAGGACAAGCTATCAGAGCAGACAAAAGTAACCAAACTAAAGAAATAACCAGAAGAATAAGAATGGGGTGGGCTACATTCGGAAAACTCTCATATACTATCAAAAACCAAAAAATACCTTTAATACCCAGCCTGGGCTGTGCATAATGAAAGATATCAGGATGGAAGATGGAATAAAGAAATTGGCCGCTGGAGACCATATACTGCAAAAAGGTCAAGAGGTCGACCGCAAATGAGATGGAAAGATGACATTGAGCAAAGCGCAGGTCCAATGTGGAAAAGACAAACAGAAGACAGAGACAAATGAAGACAAATGGTAGAGGCCTATATTCAACACATGAATAGATTTTGGGCTATAGATAGATATAATAACATTGTATCTATATACATATACAATAAAAATAACAAATATAAAAATTGTATCTAAAGTACTAATTTAATTTGGTATCACTGAATGTATGACAAAAAAAAACAGCCAAGGCAATAGAATTTTTCACAGCTATCACATGTCAATGAGGTGTTGGTTTCTTTCCTCTATGCCACTTGCTTTTGTTCCTCTTCGACCATTTTTACGTGATACGTTGTACATTGACTTCTGCCTGCATAGCCAACATCTCTGAGTTTGTGACTATTTTCCATAATGACTGTTGCGACAATCAAATCTCCTACTAGTCCGTGAATTACCTTTTCCTTGAATTTGGTAATAGTCATGCTTTCATTGGCAATGCTTTGATGTGCGACATGTGTCAAGTATTATTAGTGCTGTGCCAGTCAAGAGCTCCATCGATAATTATCTTTACCATTTATTCCTGTACGTAATGGCGAAATATAGCTTTTCATTTGATCTGATCCATTAATAAAGCTTTTTCGTCACCGAATTTTTTGTAATCATCAGCCCATTCCGTTTTTCCCTTCACTTCTGAACAACGCTGCCCGAATTACTTTGTTCAGCTATATGTTCGCCTACTTTAAATTTTTTTGAAATGACGTTTTTGAGATTATATTTGCTGATTTGCACGTAGCGTAGCAATTATATCAGTTTCTCGGTGTAGGAGTTTATGTGCAAATGTGATAGAACTGTAGTACTTATCAATCGCAACTTTTGGTCCTTAGTTAAGCAGTCCATCTATAAGTTTCATCACTACATTTGTTGGTACGGTGCTACCTTCAGCATGTTTTTTCTTTCTTTCAAACAAAATTTGAATAATTTTATCTCAAATTTATGTCTCTTGTTGACAATATACTGGTTGAATTTTAGTTGCCCTTGAAAGGCACTAAAGTTTCGTCAATGTACACGTTTTTCTTTGGAACGGTGACAGCCTTGAATTAATCATTTATTCTGCTAACCAAGGAAACGATCTTCTGCAAACGGTCATCTGTTGTTACTGAATTATCGTTGAAATGCAGCGTTTTCCACAATAACTGCAAGCGATTCCTTGACATTACTTTTTTGATATTATTCACATAAAGATCATTCTTTGACCAGTAGAATGAAAAATGGAAAATGTAGTTTGCGCTCTTTGATGGTGTTAATAATCTCGCATTTCTTGCCTATTCTACGTAGGACCTCAACATTTGTCACACGGTCCACCCATGAAATTCTTAAGATACGACTGTAACACCACATCTCGAATACTTGGAGGTGATCCCATTTATGGAAAATGACATAATCCCATCGATATTACTATACCCAGGAATCGTTTACTGGCACTCTTTGCACCTCTTGATCATCTAAGATCTGCAGAAAACTAGGGACTGTTTCTGTTTATGATTTCACTATAGTTTTCTTAGGAAATAACTACCAGAGTAGTTTCTGTTGCCCTCTCTGCATTTTAGCCGATACTCTAGACACAGACGGTCTGTGCAGGCTGTCGCTCTGAGCTAGACGTGTGTACTAGTTTTGGTCCACCGCAGGTATTTTATTTTTCCCGCACCACTTATATAATAAAAGTCGTTCCTTTATCCACCACCTGGTAGTGTGTGTTTGTGTGTGTATGTGTAAAGATGTCTCTAATCTATTAATCTAATCCTAAATGATACATATATAAATTTGGTAAGTTACGTAGTATTTTTGGGGTTATAATTGACTCAAAGCTTACTTGGAATCAACAGATAAAATGAATTACCAAAATAAGAATATATTTTATTTATCTTACTGTATTATCAATAAAATAAAAAGAAAATACCGCCAACAATCCTTCACGAATAACACTATAGCCATATTAGTCAAAGAAATATTACACAGTCTTCATCAAACAATAAAAACGCTGATCGTCGGGCTTACACAGCTGCACAATTACCTTCATTGGCAGAACAATAAATTCCAGTCTCAGATATAAGCAACTATTAAAATCGATGACCTCAAATTTATGGAACGAAAAGTGAAGACATCTACAAGCTAACTAAGAGAAATAAAAGAAGATATTGGTCCATCGAAACCGCATTCAATCAACATATTTCACCAAGTTATCCTATCCCGTCTTAGGACACTTAAAACTCACTCACTACATTCGGCATACCCAAGCACCAAAATGCAGCAAGTGTAATATACCAATAACAATAAAACATGTGCTAACAGAATGTAGTGAATTTGACGCTTACAAACAATGGATGCTCAAATAATATGAGAGACATTCTTAACCTTCAAACTGACTGTAAACCTCTTTTTCTATTCTTTATCAAATGTAATCTAGTAAGTAAGATATAATGTATCTAAATTTATACTTTGTACATCTATTTTATTTTATTTACCTTAATAATGACCTTCGTGGTTAATGCGGTTATTTTCCAAATATAAAAAATTGACATGGAAAAGAGAAAAGTCAAAGAAGCAGTCCAGTTGCCAATACAAAAAGAAGAAGTCACCAACAAGAATATACCAACAATAGTGGAATACCGGGAGGTCGAAAGACATCACCTACAATCTTACGCACAATACATAATTCATGATGCCATACATAGACATCTGCAGGTACTAACTGTCTCTGACAACTGGAAAAGAATTTCTAAAACATATCAAATTCTCCCAACACCCTGGCATACAATCTTCTCAACAATCAACAGGCAAAGAGTAGTGGAAACTAAGCTTTCAACAGCGCTCAGACATTGTGATCTGTACCGTTTTTAGTATTCGTGTTCGCGTATTTGTGTATGTGTTCATCCCACTGGTAAACAAGCTAATATTTGTGTTCTGATGCTTTGGTCACTGGATCTTACATCTCTCTGACAGTGTAAGGGCAAACAATTGTACTTGTTGTTATTATTGTGAAACAGATTGTAAAAATCTTACATATTATTACAATGCAACACACAAAACACAAATCTGCATTGCACACTTTACGTTACACAATCACACTTATGATACAGTTTACACAAGAATATAATACAAAAAATCACTCAAAACAGTCAGAATTCGATAGTCTTAGGGTAAAAATATTACCCTCATTTTTTTAGCCATTTCCATGATGCTGCCTGCAAGATCGAGGCCAAGCATGTCAATTTTGAAATGACATAACCTAATAACAAATAACTTAGGTTATACATTTTCCCAGAATTTTTTATAATATTTTTTTTGAGAATGATTTTCGGAGTGGGTGTCGAAACGTTAAACACTAGTTAGTTCAAAATGTGATTTTCATTACAATCAATTGTAGCTTAATCCCATATAAACATAATATTTAAATAAATATCTTAATATAGCTATTTAAAATGGTCCTATTCAAATAAAAAAACCTATTAATGACTATTCAAATGAGTATGATTGGACTTAAAAATTTTTTGACAATTTTTATCGATTATTCATTTAGACAAGTTCTTATTTGTAGTATAAAAATTTATAAACTACTAACCATAAATTGGAACTTAGTTTCAGCTGCAACAGTATCTGCTTCGCTATTTGTTGCAGGTAAAAATGAATGAGTATTTAATACTATGGATATTTTACCTAAAAAATAAAAATAAAAACATATTTGTACTTTAGTCTTTTATTAGTTAATTTTAACTAAAATGTAGATCTTACTTCCTATTATTTAATAAGGGCAACATTTTCAAAGCTAAGAAATATGAAGATTTCTTTTCAATTATTTTCCGCCAACTATGTGATATGTGGCCTAAACTAGATGAAATAAATATGATGAAATCGTTTTTAGAGTTCATACAACTCTCCCTTCTATTTTCCTTGTGGTATGCTGAGTACGTTGGCAATTATCGGTGTAATATTTATTTTGTTCATTATACTAGGAAAGGGTTAGGAAACCAGCATATTTTTCTTCCTTCGACTTCTAGTACCTTTTCTGCTCTCCTGCAGTCAATTTTTCTTTAAATAATAATCTGAAATAACTCATACTTTTATTTGTTCCAGAGGTACTCCAGTCTTCGAATTTTTATTTATTTATTCAGCCTTTTAATTTTAAACTATAATTCGGATTTATGGGGTATATGGGATTATGAGGTTTTTTCCTGATAATTTACTATGGAATCACTAAGAGGAGAGTTTTACTGTTATCATGACATGTGTTTGTCTTTTTAAAGACGAATTACATGTTATGATTTTTCTGACGGATAATCTCAAGTTAAAGTTGACTTCATGTAATCGAATGAACTATATTACAAGTAAAGTCGTTTCAGGAATGCAACTCAAAAATATTGGCTATGTCATTTTAAAGTCGTCTACTTTAAAGTGTATAATGTATGCCTGAATTGTCAGTATATATGAGTTAGATAAAATTAAATTATTAGAAGAATTTTTTTCACCAACTAACAAAAAAACAAAATTTGTTCAATTTACTAATGTTTGTATTTTGAGAACGATTTCCGAAGTGAAAATTGAAACGTCAATAAACGTACTTTAACCATTAATTGTGGCTTATTCCCATTTAATAGTAATTACTTTAAAATACCACAAGAAAATAGCCTCAGACAATATTAAAAAACTGTCCTAGAAATGACCAAATTAATGTTTCATAAGAAGCTTTCTGGACTAAATTTAAAACGTAAAATGTACAGTTTGGCTATCCCAGATCGGACACTTGCGCTGAATGCAATTTGCTTCTTCAAAAAATTAATGCTGCTGAAGACCATCTGAAAAAGGCCAGGCTTTTAAAGGAGAAAAAAAAAGTTGTTGATTAAAAAGCGCAAGAATATGAAGTAAATTGCCTTTCTTTTGATTTTATGAAAAATATGCCCTTTCCTCATAATATATCGACTAGTATTGTGTAGTATTCTCTGAGTTCGCATTGGTCCTATAATGATTCTTTCCCAAGTTTACATGCTCCTTTTCTAACTTGTTGCCTTTACAAGACGACCAATAATCAGAAATACGTATATATGGTTGCCTTCCATCGATATACCTATTTTGTTTTTTGTTTTCCTGTCATGCGAGACATGCCATTACACTTTACTGTTATCAATTCACTCGCATTAACCTAAAACCAACACAAATAACAATTTGTTTTAATCGCTTTTAACATTCCTTTCCTTAGGTAGCTGTAGCTTCCTCCGTGGTTATTGTTAGTTGTTGTCCTTTTCTAACGGTTTTGCGAGACATGCCATTACAATTTTACTTAATATATATATATAATATATAATATATTATATAATATATATATATATATATATATATATATATATAAAATCTGTTTTGGATGGTTTGGAGTCAATAAAAGGGGCTATTTGTTGACTACTTTTTACTCGAGCTTATCAAGAGCTTCTAAAAAATACAAAATATCTTACAAAGTTGAACTAGAAATAAAAAATTTTTGTTAACTCAACAAATAAAATTAGTTTTTTATATAAAACTGCTGTTAACATATTATTACAAAAAATATTATTAAAAAAATGTACTATTCTAATAAATGTTTCTCTGAAATAAATTTTGATAAAGTTTCTTAACAAAAACAATTGAATTTGTAAACAAAAATTGAATAGCTACAAATCAGCCTCAATGTCATAAATACCAAAAATTTTGTCCCACATTCGCACATTCTATCTTCTTCTTTTATAGTGTGTCTTATACAATTTTTCCAAGATTCAGGTGTGATATTTTGTATGGCAGTAGCTAACCAGCACTTTACCTCCTCTATTTAAAACTTAAGTTTCCTCTTGCCACTTGGTTTTTTATTTGAGCCTATATAAGCTCGATAGGGTTCAGCTCACAAATGATAAGGAGGGAGGCGATGTACAATTATGTTGTTTGCACGAGCCATTTCATTGACTGAATATTTCTTGAAAATGGGCTCATATCGTATATGTCCTCGCGAGGTTTAATAATTGTACTTTTAACATGTTGTCATCGAATGGTATATTTTTTTGAGAGAGCCAGTTTATTATTTCACCTTTTCGCCAGGCAGTCGTTGGTGATGGCTCCAACCGTCGACTGTGGTATGACGCATTGTCCATAACAACGACAGAATTTGCTTCAAGGTTTGGTAGAATATTTGAAAACCATCCTTCGAATCTTTGAGCGTCCATTTCCTCATGGTAATCGTTGGTTTTCTTGGATTCGAATAGTAAAAATCCGTTCTTCAAAATACCCGAATCGCTGCCTATATGTGTTATTATGAGCCTCCGTCCTTTACCCACTGGTGTTTTTTAAACCTAATGAAAGCTCTTCAATGAAGGCTTGTCGACGACTTTTAATTTCCAAATCTTGCCACACCTTTGAGACAGTATGATCTTGATTTAGCCAAGTTTCATCTAAATAGTATACTTTTCGTCCTTCACGACGATACTCTCGGATTTTTTGTAATTTAAGTAATTTCTCCGCCACAAAACAATTTCATCTTTTTCTAAAAGAACACTATTCCTGCTTCTTTTCATATATTTAATGTTCATTTCTTCTAATGTTCGAAATAAAACAGGTCGCAAATTATCGGAATTTATTTCAACTTCAACTTTATTTAAGGTTGGGATCTCGTTCCGAAAAAAGAAAGCATGGAATTTCCTTCGAATAGCATATTTGGTATGATCTTTCACCCTTCATTAGTCGGGCATAGGTCCAGTGGACCTAGATCCCAGTTTTTTGCCTGTAATTTAAAATAAAATTAGTATATATATCATTGAGCCTAAATGACATCTAATGATGATCAGTCTTCTTTTACCTGCCGAAGTAACATTCCAATAACCGCCGAGATTTTCCGGAAATTTGCGAACAAATTCGACCGTACACAGAATAGGTCCGCCAGAGCTAGTACGCTCAACCACGTCAGTGCTATTTGGTACGTCTGCTGTGGCATATGAGAGTTATATACATAGTGCTTATTGTCTTTTACTGACTCTGAATAGTGTGTTTTGTAAATAATCGACCTTACTTATTTTGTGACAATTACGTAAAAAAGTATTTTATCAATTTGGCGACACTTTTGAGAAAATGAGTAATCGTATTTACAAACTTGATAATCCGGCAGACGTAGAAGAGCTTAATCGTTGTTTTCGAAGAAGGTGACTGTGACACAAATACTTTACCCCAAGAAGATTTTGACGTATTATTTGGAGACAAGTTCGATGGATTCTGATACCGATCATGAAATCGACGACGTAGATTACAGAAGACATGGTGGGCGCCGAAAGCGAAAACTTTACGTTTCGATGAAAAAACCACACAGCCTCAAAGACTCAAAGACAAGCAACAGATAAATTAGCTTCAGTGAGAGACATTTTTAACTATTTTTTGGAAAATTGCAAGACATATTATAGCCTAGAACAAAACACAACAATTAATAAATGCTGCCACAGGATTCCGATGACGTTGCGGATTTAGACAGTACGTACCATCCAAACCGAGCAAGCAAGGAATCAGATATTCTCTTTATGTGATGCAAAACTTTTATATTTTTTATTTTTATACTTAAAAGAAAACAATTAATCTGGTTCGGACATGTTAAAAGAATGCCAGAGTACAGATGGCCTAAAAGAGTACTGGAATGGATCCCTCCTGAAAGAAGAAAGAGAGGACGACCACGGAGAAGTTGGCGCAACGATATTGATGAAGCAATGGCGACAAGAGACTTACAAGAGGCAACTGCGTATGACAGAAAAAGATGGAAATTGGGGGCGGAGAAGCGGCGACAGCCGTAATCAATCCGTTATTATATATATTTTTATTCTTATAATATGAAAATTTATTGAGGGCAACAACTGGAAGGACCTTACAGGCAGAGTAATTCTGCAGATGCAATTTTATGCAGGTTGGCAGAACCAATTTTCGGCACAGGCAGGAATATTACTGCCGATAATTGTTTTGACCAAAAGCTATGAGTCATGCCGATGCAGTACACAAGTTTACCTATTATTTTCAAGGTCATAGCTCTTGTTAAAATCCATTACATCTAACTCAAATTTATAAAACAATAATAGAAATTATTGAGTTGTTACGGCGATGTAGTATATATTTTTCTAAGTAAAAATATTAAGACAATAAAAGTTTTGATTCTAAAAGTATGTGGAGTGGGAGATAAAAAAATTGAACGTATTAAACGAGCACTGAAAGACGTATGTGACCTTCATCATTTTTAGTGGCTAATTTGATTTCTCATCCCAAAAACTCCAGCTTACCAAATTTTGTGTTGTTATACCATGCCTGTCACGAAATATTCAAAAATAAAAGTTTACCTTTGACACCCTTTATTTTGGTTATTATCAACATTCGTACTAAAGTAAGTTAGTTTAAATCGGCCTATTTTAATCTCAGGAATCTAAGATTAAGTTATGGCCATTCGTTGCCAAACACCATGTATATTATATTAATATATATATAACCCAAATGTCAATAATAATCATATTAAAATTAACATAATTATAAATAGGTACATATTTATTTAATACAAGTAGCTTTGTCGTAACTTCTTATGACATTTTTCGTACGCCATTGGAAGACCTACAATAGCGATGAACCGTCACTATTACTTCCAAGAATTTACTGCCTAGACTTCTGGATTCTGACTATAGTGAGCGAAGGCAAACACATGCGTTTGCTATTGTTTGTTGGGGCGTACACATTTACCGAAGGCGTTTGGTCGCAAGGCTTCGGCCACATGCATTCGCCAAATGTGTACGCGCCTTTAGAAGAATAGGTGTTCACACGTTGGCTTTCTAAATAGGAATTAAAAAGTATTCTAAAATAGGTTAACTAAATTATTATTGCATAGAAAGATAATAATTAGTTTCCATAATATAAAAATGACAATGAGGTGCCCTTTATAAAATGTTTAAAAAAGTTTAAATAATAAATTAGTTTTTTGTTAAAATGGTAAAAATTAACAGATGCTTTATACTACTTACCTCTTTGTTTCTGTCTAAATTCTTTATCGTATACATGCCATGCTCTGGCATGAGCTAATAATAAATTATACACACAAACGTACTCCTTGATTCCTTCTGATCGGATGAGTGGTGGAACCAATCCAGAAGCATAACCTCCATTGCAAACAGCAATGGGCTCGTTAAAGGTTGCCCAGTACTTCACGTCATCTCCAAAGAGCGAGAAACATACTTTTGCATACTCTTCAAACCATTGAACGACACTTATATTTAAAAATCCGGCTAAAATACAGTAATATAACAAAATTTCTGATTTGGTGTATAGGAAATACAGATAAATATAAATAAATTCCACACTTCCCTCTCCACATGCTTTTCGCGGTACTGTTTAGGATAGTTGATGGTACAGGTTTTTAGTATTTTTATACATATTTTATATAATTCTTGCTATTTGTTTACAGTTTTTTCACTTGTTGATGAAATTTTTGAAGTTCTTCATTTCTCTCGTTCAAGTCATCCCTAATTTTTGGATTTGGACTTTAACCATCTGCATAAATGGCTCCTACAGTATATTGAATCAATTATAAAACTACATAAATTCATTTCTATTTTTCGTCAAATATGTTGCTCTTTGTCAAGATTTTTTTTTATTTCGTAATATCTCTGCTATGTTGCTGTTCCGTTTTTTTTATTGGTCTGCCTATTCTTTTTTTTTTCTTTTTTTTTTCATATTGGTTTAGCTTGCCACATTTTTTTTCACTTTTCTGTTATTGTCCATTTATGTGACGTGACCAGATCCTGCTAATTTTTTTCTTGATTGTGTCAAGTAACGGTTTAGTTTTAAATAATGTTTCTTATTTCTTTATTTTTGAGTCTGTCTGTTCTTCTTGATCCTATCGTTCTTCTGAGATATTTCATCTCTACTGCTTGTATCCTACTCTGATGTCTTCTATATAAGATCCAGCAGTCTGCACCACATGTTAGCGTTGGCCTATATATTGTTTTATATATTGTCATCTTTGTTTTCCCTGATATTTCTTCCTTCTTTACTTTAGTTACATTTGGGTTGTAATTTTTGTATACGATCCATCTCCATCATCCACTATACCATCTGCAAATACGCAAATCTCTGCATTTACCATTTTCATTAAATTCCATCCCATACAGTATTTCTTAGGTTTTCATAAATTCTATCACTATCTCATCCTGATAGAATTATCAGGAACTTAAACAACCTCTTTGTTCAACTCGTTGCGTTATTTTAAATGATTGTGATTGCATATTTTGTGTTCTTATTGTATTTATTGTTTTAGTTGCTTGTACCAGGTCTATGCTTACTTGTTTCTTTTTTAGGCTCTCCCATATAGTTTTCCTTTCGATTGGATGAAATGCTTTTGCCATGTCTATGAATATTACATATATGTACTTCTTTACTTGTTTTTAATGCTTTCTCTGTTATCTGTTGCATATGGAATATATGTTCTTTGAATACGATTTGAACGTCCTCTAGTTTATTTTATATTTCTATCTTTATTTTTCTTTCTAATATTATTTCGTCTAGTTTTGCTGCTACACCTTTTTAACAGTTATCAAACGTTCTGTCCATATGTCCATTATAGCCTTGTTATCGGTTAATATTGTTCCGTTTATGGTCATTATTTGTTTAATTTTATTTCCTTGTTTCTTCGTAGGTTTTTTGATAGTCTATAAAATAATTTAACATTTTATTTACTGTTTTATTCCGTTTTTTCTTTAAGCTTGTTCCAGCTTGTCTTTTTCTTAAAGACAGCTTTAAGTTTATCCTAGCGTATACATGTGTAGTAAATGACTACTATATATTTTTGAAGTCTCTTGGTAACCTTGAAAATGTGTTTTGCTGTCTGGGATCTAGTGCCTGGGAGTCGTGCAGGATGGTTATCTCTTTTATGTTGTCTGCTATATAGTCCATTTTTTACCACATGCTAGATTAGATATACTTTCTTAGTGAAAGTTATGTTGTATTTTTATGTATACATATATGTGAATTATAAATATATACATTTCCACCACTAGTGAGTATTCCTACAACCAATTCTTCTGCAGTTTTATACCCATCTGTGTAGTAGGTAAAACCCTGAAGCTTGCATTGTGTATTTTTTCTACCCCATCCCTTTTATGGGCATATGTCACTTCTTCTTCTCTAAGTTCCGCTCATATTGGAGATTAGAAATCATTCTGGCAATTATAATTTTGTTGGTTAGGCGCCTGAATAGTTTAATTAAACTGCATTGGAATCATTCACAAAGATTGCGTAGCTATGAGATTTTATGTCATCCTACTCTTCTTCTACCTTTGATTTTGTCCTGCATTTTTTTCTTAATAGTTTGTATTTTGCACACCTGTCCTGATGTGCCCCAAGTATTCCAACTTTTAGTTTGAGAACTAGTTGTTCGAGAACCTGCGTTTGTTTTGCGTTCGATCCATGATATTTTGAGAATATGCCGATAACATCGCATTTCGAATACTTCTGTGTTTTTAATATTGGATTATTTTAGTGTCCAGGCCTCAACAGCATACAAAAGGGTAAAGAAAATATAATATCGAAACATTCTTATCAGGATTGTTATATTGGTATTGCGAGTACAAAAAAGTTTTCTCACTCTGTTAAAAGGTGACCGTAAAATTTTAATGTGACATCTTATTTCTTTTGTTTGATGAATATCTATTGTGATCGATGCTCCAATATATTTGTTTAAAAGATATTTGTTTAATTTCTGTGTTGTCAAGTACTAGCTTAACTTTGATTTGTTTTGTGCTTTTGTAAATACCACAACTTGGTTTTCTTCAAATTTATTTTTAGTCCATATTCGTTGCAATATACCTATATTTAGTCGTTGAGTAAGGTGTTTCAGTTTTTCTAGTGTTTCCGCCAGAAAGACGAAACCGTCACCATTTATAAGCCTTTTAATTTAACTTCATTTTCAACTTTCACTTTCGCTGTTTGATTCCAATATAGGTTACATATAATCCAAATGTCTCTACTGTCTACGTTTTTATTTAACAAAATTTCTTTGAAATGACTATGCTGCACTCTTTAGTCTCTATCTGGGTACCATATGGGGCGAAGTCATCATCCATATGGTATCTGTAGTTTCATTTATATTACTTAATCTCACCTTGATCTAACCAATACTCAAGTTTTTTTGCAGTCTATAATATATTTTTCTAGTGTCTTTCTTATAACGATGATCAAAAGAGCGAAGTTCAGTAGGACCTCCATAATTGTTATTAGCGTCCTCTCAGAACTCTTGCAACTTTAAGACAAGTAACTCTTTCATCTTGGCTAATTTGAGAATGATAATTTTTTGCTGCACCTTTGGGCACTTTACCATTAATTTCATACGTTATTATTAGTTTTACCATTATGTTACAAATCTGATACATACATCTGGTTTTAAACTTTATATTTTTTATGAGTGCGTCTAGTTACCATTAAGGTAGTCACTGCTTTATTAATTATTTGTTATATCTGCAGATTCCAAGTAAGCTTCGAATCTAATGAAACGTTCATGTACTTTACTTTGCTTATAGGATTATACTTATGCGATTAAGTTTTATATGCACTTATCGCTCTAAATTCCTCTTACTGGTAAATTTTATGACTTCTAAGTACTCATGTTAAGCATGTTAAGCTCTACGTTGCATTGTATATCTCATCAAAGCATGTATAGCATATCATCAAAATATTATCAAATTTACTGCTAAGATGGCTAAGATGACATGGTCATTCGCATGGCCAATGACATGATGTATGTCATTGCTGAGTCTATCTGTTAAGCCATCCATAATCAAATTTCATAAGAGAGGAGATAAGACTTTTGTAAGTCTCTGGGTACCTGTGCTTACACTATCTTTCAGTAACGTGCCGTACATGGCTCTTCAACAAGCAGTCTAACTACCTGTAACTCGTTTTATCTATTTCTTTTAGTCAAACCGTCATTGTAATTGATTCGTATAAGGTCTTGTTAAAAGATCTCTTTCTATCGAAAAATGCACTTTGTGTCACATCTTGGTTTTTTTAGAATATACACCACCCTCTGTAGATGACGCAGTGCCATTTTCGTAAATAATCCTGCTTTATGCACATTGTCTCTGATAAATTGAACTTTCAACCAAAACACCAACTTTATATTACCTATGAAGCCGTTTTTGATGTATTCAATATACATGATAATCGATTTATGGATGTCAGGGATTTAGCGTTTTCTTTTTCAATTTTGAATCTTGGACAACGGTATGAGTCTTAGATAACTTTCTTCGTCGATGCTAATAAGATATAAGGCATTAGTAGCATTTATATTAATATTTAAAAAATACTAAACAATATTGCTTGTAGATTTCATCATTTCAGCCAATTTTGTTTAAAACAAATATTTTGGTTTATTATGAAAATAGAAATGCTTCATATACATTAGACAGGGTTATATCTTTTCTTACATCTTTTCGACGTTTGATTTCATGCAAACCGGTCGAGGTAGCTAGGAAGTCAGCCTCAATGCCACATTTTATATCTAAAATAATATGTCTCGTCTTTCTGTGGTTCTGTACTAAACTTATACATTATTATCTAAAATAGTTCATAAGTTCTATTAAAAAAAATATAAATATATAACACAATATATCATGCAACCACGAATATTACAATGACAAAATACATTCATACCAGTTCATATTTATGTTCTAGTACTATGTTCATGTCATCAGTATCAGTTTTCCATACCCTGGTAATTATTTATAATAGACATTATTTACTTACTTTTTTTTAAACTTTCTTGCCCCCTTTAAGTTTTACCTTCTTGCTCCTTTTTTAATTTTAGTTAGAGTGGATCTTACCTTTTTCTGGTTGTTGAAGTGTATCTGGAAGGTCCCAGTGGTAAAGCGTTACGAAAGGTTCAATATTGTTTGCTTTTAGTTCCTTAATAAGATGTTTGTAATATGCTACACCAGCATCGTTAATTTTGCCAATGCCTGCAATTAAAATTAATTTTAATATAAACATAGCACAAAGTATATACAGTTGCAACAAATATACAGAATACTTAAGCAAGAAATTTTTATGAAATCGTAAATAAAGAACTTCCTAGGATGTTCGCTTTAGTCCACTTATTTTACGAACTTAAAGAAATCAATACGACACTGACGCAATGTAGTATTAGGACATTAGGAAATAAGCGACAATTGAAGTGTAAATTTCAATTTTGGCTTATTCCCATTAAAATAGTAATTACTTTAAGATGCTACAAGAATGAACGTAATGAAAATGCAACAAAAAATTGCAAACCGTTGGTAACAAAATTGAACTGAGTACTGTCGAATTAAAAAAAAAAACGATATCGGTACATATTAATTTTAAAAGTAAGAAGAATTGGCACAATCACTATGGACTAAACACTAGACTACGCTGTAGGATCAACGTTAAAAACCATCTACATATTTTTCATGTCGACTATGTAAAAATTAACGACAAAGAATTAAAGTAGCAAAAGACCGATGGCTCCAAGAATCCTGTTTAGAAATTGAGAAACTGGAGCAACAACACGACAGCTTCCATTTGCATAAAAAACTAAAAGAATTAACAGGTAAAAGCAAAACTTATGGGCAAAATATATTACAAGACTCTGGTAGAATTTTAAGTGATATTAAAGAACGCTGTACCGAATGGGAAAATTACATAATAGACTTATTTAACGATGACCAAAGAATCTACCAACAAATAACATCTAACCGAGATACAGGCCCAGCGATTCTAATCTCAGAAGTTCAGAAGGCTATCGACCAAGCGAAACGAAGAAAGGCTTCTGGTCCTGACGAAATACCTGCAGAATTGTTAAAACTATTAGATAATGAGAGTGTTGCGATTATCACATCCTTCTTTAATAAGATATACAGCAGCGGCAAATTACCAGACAACTGGTTAGAATCGATATTTATAACTATTCCCAAGAAAAAGAATGCCAGACAGTGTAGCGACTATCGACTTATCAGTTTAATGAGTCACACGCTCAAAATTTTTATGAAAATATTGCATTGTCGCATATATAAACTTTGTGAGGGGATAACTGGTGATGAGCAGTTTGGTTTCCGAAACGGTATGGGTACTCGAGAAGCTCTTTTTTGCATGCGAATACTCTTACAAAAGAGCATTGAGTTTAGGAAAAATATTTACGTATGTTTTATAGATTTCGAAAAAGCCTTTGATAGAGTACCACATACATTATTATTTCAATGCTTAGACTCAGTTGGTCTGGACACGTATGACATTAGATTGCTCAAAAATCTTTACTACAATCAGACCGCTTGTGTTAAGGTGGACCAAGAGGTTTCAGCTAAAGTTTCTATTAAGCGTGGTGTCAGACAGGGATGTGTTATGTCACCGATGTTGTTTAATGCCTACACTGAACCAGTTTTTGAAATAGCGTTAAATAATCGCCGCGAAGGTGTTAAGATCGGTGGTGAAATTATTAATAACATCAGATACGCCGATGACACCGCAATAATGGCAGAGAGTCTAGAAGATCTTCAAACCCTGTTGAATGCTGTAAACAACGAATGCACTGAAAAGGGCTTAACAATCAACGCAAAAAAAAACAAAATGGATGGTGGTCGGAAAAATTAATATCGAAGACTCAGTACTAAGATTAGATAACAAAATCCTGGAAAGGGTGGAACACTTTAGATATCTGGGTAGCTGGATTGACTGCAGGGTTGAAAGTGACGAGGAAATTTCGACCAGAATAAAACTCGCACGGAAAAACGTTCTATGGTTGTGAAACCTGGACAACAAAAATAAAAAATCTTAACAAATTAGAAGCGTTTGAGTTGTGGTGTTACCGTCGCATGCTCAGAATCCCGTGGACAGCACACATATCTAACGAACGTGTGCTAGAGACCGTGCACAAAGAGCGAGAATTGATCAACATCATCAAAATGAGAAAGGTCCAATACTTCGGTCATATAATGAGAGGACCTAAATATCGCTTACTCCGGTTAATCATTCAGGGCAAAATCGAAGGAAAACGTTGGGTCGGAAGAAAACAACTGTCCTGGCTGCGTAACATTAGACAATGGACAGGTCGAACGGTCGAGGAACTGTTTCATCTAGCTGCCGACCGAGAATCATTTCATCAGCTTGTCAATATGACGATAGCCAACGCTTGAATACAAGCATGGCACACAAAGAAGATGTAACAAGTTTATGTGTTTTAAAGATTTAACATGAATTTGTTTGTTTGGATTGTTGCGCACACTTAAATTCAAGTATTGAAAATATTTTTGACTTAATGATAACTTTACATTTACTGACTCTACTATTCAAAATACTATCAACTGTTACTTAAATTATCATATTCTTGTATTTGTATACACTTTCTGATATTTCAGACATTACTAGACATTTTGGGATTTTTGATGACATCTCGAATATTCTAGAATTTTTTAATACTTTTTTTTTTTCATCAAGGAACTTTTTCTATTTGGAATAAATTTTACAGAGCTGCCATAACGCCGTTCTCTCCTTTATAGTAATTGGACCCCAATAATTGGTCTATCAGGAACCTAGTAAAGCCAACAAGGTGGATCCGTTTCATGGTATGGCGCTAATCTCTCGATATGAACTATCTTGTGTTTACTTCTAGCTGAAAACTGTATGCAGTAGATCAGACCGTTTATTTTCTGCAAGACGGTATACGGGCCTTCCCAGTTTTGTTGAAGTTTCAGACAAAGTCCTTTCTTACGTTTGGCATTGCATATCCATACTGGGTCACATTTTTCGAAAGTTATCCCAAAAGCATGTTTGTCGAGCCTGGCCTTGGCTTTATCTTTTTGAAGCGTTAAAATTTTACTAGCGAATTCGTAGATTTTTTCCAATCTTTCTTGCAAATTTTCGATGTACGTCAGGGATGAAAGTTCTTCTTCACAGGGAGGCTCTTCCTAAAATAAGACCGAAGCTTTATTTCTATATCAGTTATCATCATTGAATGAGAATAACCGGTTGCTTTATGTTCGGAACTTCTATAGGCTAACAGGAATAGAGGAATTAGGTATCCCAATATTTTTGAATATCAGCAACAAGCATTGAAAGGTATTAACAAACAGTTCTATTATGTTTTTTGCTATTTCGTCTGAATGAGGATGGAGAGTCAATATTTTTATTAATTGTTGCCAAAATTCGAATTCAAAATTGCATCCCTGATCAGAATGTAACTGTAAAAAACTCCATGTCTTGATACGCTATAATGTTTGGTTTGTACAAATAAAATAGCAAAGACGGTTTATAAATAATGTAAAAAAATATAACAAAAATCTGCAACATATATCACTGACAGATGACAATATATAATGTTATGAATATTTCTGCTACTAGTATCGCTTCTTGATAAGGAAGGGGTGCAATTTTAGGTCATGTTAAAAAATAATTAATTTCTACCATTAAGTACCTATTTCCTCCCTATGTCATCGAAAGTAGACCGAGGATATTCACTGCAAATCGTTCAAAGGGCTCTACGAATAGATATTGCGACATTTTATCACGACAACTTGTTCTAGGCTTTTTCTGCCGTTACATAAATAGCATTTCTTAGACCAGTCTTTTATATTTCGGCGATAATTATTCCAGTAAAATCTGTCTCTAACTCTGGTTAGTGTTTTTTTGACTTTAAAATGTCCCCCAGAATGGCTGCTATAAAGTTCTTGCACAATTTTAATGTGTGATTTTGGCAGTACCTCGTGTTAAACTGTACTTGCTCCATCGGGACTTTTTCATTATTGATATAATAGACCATTCGAAAAACCCAAGATTTTCATTAAGCCCAGTATGCCTTTAAAGTTTCACTGTATTTGATTATTTCCTGTCAGATAGTTCTAAATCCATTTTTAAACCATTCTCGTATGACTTTTAAGTCATTTTCTGTCTTTTAAATATTTTTAAGGTTTTATTAACACAACTACAATATTACAATACTTATTTACAACTTTTCAGAACAATGACAACTATTCAAAAACTACTGTTATTAACTATCAACTTTCTGTGTTTATGTATATACGTTTTCTGACACTCAAGACATTACTAGACATTTCGGGATTTTTCGATGACATCTCAAACATTTTGGTTTTTTAATACCTCTTCTGTTTCGTCAAGGGACTTTTACTATATGGAATAAATCTCACTGAACTGTCGTAACAATATTGTTGCAAATTAACTCACTAAATAAGGATATTTTTTGTAACCTTATGTGCGTATTTGCAAGACCGCCATGTCGTGAAAGGTTCAATATATATAGTGGTTTATAACGTCATAGGTTGTTGTAAGGACAATATAAAATAAACATTAGTAAAAGAGTTGTAAAAACAGCCTATTAAAAATCTCCAACGAAGCAATATTTGGAATTGTTACATACTTTGATGAAGTAAGATACAGTTATTACCAAGCGTTCAGCAAGAAATTACCTTGAAAAGCACAAATAATTTTAGTATATTAGTACTAGAGAATAGAAAAAAAAATTTGCCGTAAAATAAAATAAAAGTACTTTATTTGAATAGGGTGTAAAAAGAAAAAGAAAAACAACATCCTTATTTACTTACCATCGGGCAATATTCTAGTCCAAGCCAGAGAAAACCTATAATGCGACACTCCCAGTTCTTTAAGGATGGCTATATCTTCCTTGACCTTGTGGTAAGAATCGCAAGTAATATCTGCGTTGTCACTATTGGCGATAATGCTAGAGTTGGCGTGTATTGCGGCATCCCAGATACTTGGCGATTTTCCATCCTCATTCCAAGCGCCTTCAAGATTTAAACGAATATATATTAAGGTGTCATATAATAAACAAAATATTTTATTTTTATCGTATTCTTATGAGTATTTAAGAACGCGGTCAACTTAAGGGTTCTGTAAACCACAGGGAAATTAATGAAATTAAACAAATTTGTAGCAAAAATTATTCATTGCAATACCATATCGTCGTGGTACCTGCAATAGTGCGTATGTCATTTTCATGTAACTTTTCAGGAAGGACAAAAAACTTCCCATCTTTACAATTTTTCATCAATTCATTCGAAATTTTATTTACTTAAATAAAGTCACGACCCATCTTTCTTATTGGCCCATCGACATATGACTTATTGGAGTTGTGTATTTGACTGAATCGGTCATGTATGTTTCATAAACCAGAAATTGGTTTTTTTGACATGGGACCTATTGCAAGTACCACGACAATATGTAATATTGCTGTAAAGACCTTTTATTATAAAATGACCAGAAAAAACTTTTAAGGCCCAAAAAAAAAATTTGTTAAATATTTAAATTTGTTATTTTTATTAGTAACTTTTTTATTTTCCATTTTACGATAAAAAGTAATAAAAATAGAGTTTAGAAACAATTTAAATTTGTTAGAGAGATACAGCTCGAAAACCCATTGCACAATTATTTTCCCAAGATGGCGAGAATTCAAGAACCTAGTCATTTTTGGAGCGCTGTAAAGTCCAAAAAAAATTAATAAAATTAACCAAATGGAAAGGTTTCGAACGTAGTTTTGAGATTCAAATCGGTTTGTAAATGCCCCTTTGTCTGCTTCTTGTCGATCGATGATGATAGGTATAATCAAAGGTTGAAGTTGTTGAGTAAAGTGTTGATTTATTGACAGTTACTGGTAATTACACAATATGATGTTCGTTAGGTAACTACTAATGATTGACTGTGTTCATATGAGCTCAAATCCCCAATTTATAATCTCACAAATAATTCATACCTAAGCACATAGGTCATTGATTTCTATCATACCATACGAACAAACTTTGCTTACAATATAATTTAATCTACGCCTCAATTGCAACACTTAGGAAGTTCAATTAGAAAATATATTATTCGGGAATCTATTTAGTTGTATGTAAATGAACTAATTATTAAAATATTATACGATATGGTTTTGCAATGTCACTTATACACGGTGAAACTATAAAGGATTAAGAAATTAAGAATAATGTGAGATTACAAATTAAGGGGTTAATTTGTGATTGAACACCAAATTTGTAATAAAAATTATTCTTTGAAAAACCCTGTATAATATAATTTTATTGCAAAATTAACAACAAAAAGTATAAGGCACAAAAAAAAATTATTTATTAATTTATTTATATCAGATTTATTTTCTATTTAACGATAAAAGTAACAAAAATAAAGTTGTAGACAATTAAATTAGCTACAAATAATGTCTAATTTAATTTTCTGTAGGGTTACTAGTGACTTTAAATTTACACTACCATTAAGCTCCCCTAAAGGTTAAATTAATAAAATTCTCGTCATACTAGGTCAAAATGCTATCCTGACTGGACTATTATAGAAATAAAAATAAAGGTAATTAAAACAGAGAGAAGATGAAAAAACAAAAGAAAATGGAACCTGGAGAATTAAGAGTGCAGGAACTAAGAGAACGGTATGCGACTACCCTAAAGGAAAATCTAACAGAAGCAAACAAGACAGAGGATATATTCATATATAACAAGAGTTCATTTTAAATTCAGCTGAAAAAGTGCTATGACAGAGGGAAATAGAAAAAAAGGAACACAGAAGAGGATACAGAATGCAAAATCAAAATACAACAGAAAAACCAAGCAAGAAATAAATGGATATTAACTAAAGGCGAACATTATCGAAATGAATACAAAGAAAAAAAGAAAGTAGCTGAACAATATTGCAAAACCAAAAAAAAAACTGTGACAGAAGAATTATTAAAGGGCCTAGAAGAGAATAGTAACGACAGCGCTAAACTCTTTGGATACCTAAAATCTCAATAAAGAAAATGTAGACCAGTGGTTAAAATTGACAAATAATGGGAAACACACTTCACAGAACTATATAGATGGTAAGAGAGCCCTGAAAAAGTAGATTGTACAATGAAAGACATGAGAAATAATAAAATAGGGATACAATCATATAATGAATATTTACGCATCACTTAAAAAATTTAACATAAAAAAGCATATAATCCAGATAAAATTCTAAACCAGACAATTAAAAACCGAAGGGAAACAATATTAACAGGCATCTACAACCTAATAGTTATAATATGGAAAGGAGAAGAAAGATTTAAGGATTGCACAGAAGGTAGAATTATACCAATATTTAAGAAAGGAACAGGCCCTTTAGACAAAAACTCACTGAATTCACAGAGAAAACATTGGGAATTACCAGTAAGGATTCAGGAAAGGCAGATCCACTACAGACGCAGTCCAGATAATTACACAAACAATCGAAAAATATCACGAACACAGCATAGAACTCCACGCCCTCCTTGTAGATTTCAGGCTGTCTTGGAAGAAGTAAATTATTTAATGAAGTGAAAAATCAAAATATTCCGACAAACCAATTAGCTTAAGAAAAATGACTATGGGTTTAGCTCGAACTAAAATAACAACAGAATAAGGTAGCACAAACTTAATTGCAATAGAAATAGGAGTACTACCAGGCAATTCCCTGTCAAGCACACTATTAAACATAGCGGTAGAAGGAACACTCAAGGCCAGCGGAATTAAAGGAACCATAGCCCACTCCTCAGTACAAATAGTAGCATATACAGAGGACATAGTTTTTATGGGAAGAGACAAAAAAAGATTAAAAGAAACAGCAATAATCCTGGCAAATAAAGCACGGAAAAGAGGTCTAGAAATTAACGAAGCAAAAAAAAATTTACTCTGTTCTAGAAAAAAAAGATAACAAGGCAAGATAAATCAAGATAGAAAACTACACTTTTGAAAAAGTTCAACAATTTAAAATTTTGAGAGTAATTGTGAATAGCAAAAATAAAAGTGAAGAAGTAACAAAACTAAAAATATACAGAGTTGTAATCAGACCAGTAGTTACATACTCAAACAATGTACCTCATAAATAAGTATGAAGAAAAATTAATAATACCCGAAAGGAAAATCTTTAGAAGATTATGAGAGCAATGAAATGAAAAACGGGGAAATGAGAAAAAGAATAAATCATGAACTAAGAGACGTAATGAAGGAAAATGATATAGTTAAGTCTATTAAAATGCAGCGATTGAGATGACTGAAATATAAAAAGAGAAGGAAAATGACCTGCTGATTGAGAAGGTCACCAGATAAAAGCCAAAAACTAAAAAAAATAAAAAACATTAAGAAATAGATTGGAGCCAAGTTATAAGATATGCCAAAATCTTGAAAGTGAGAAATTGAAGGGAACTATGTACAGATCGAAATCGGGTGAAAGTAAATTGTAACGAAAGCCATGTCATACAACAAACTCAATGCATAAGAAGAATGCGGATTGATTCACCGCAATAAGAGAATCTGCGAGATCCTAGTGAGAGCCGCAAACATTTTATCTGGAATGAAAGACCTTGATGATGATGACCATGATATTATTTCTGTTAAATATCATCTCTACTATTTTTGTTGTCATCGGCTACTTCAATACAAATATTTAGATTGTTACTTACATCTTCAATATCACAGTATTCATTATTGTTATACCAAATCGTCTTTGCAGAAGGATTAGTGTTGTCATTTATTTATGCATCAATCGTATTCATAGAATTCATTTTTCACTTTCTTACTATTTACGTATAAAAAGGAAAATAATATTTATCCGAAATTTATATTTATTAATATTATATATTCTATTAAACCAAAAGTGGAATATTTGCTGAGTAACACTGCACAATATACATTAGCAGAACTCGCTAAGCAAGTACCTTAAATACTAAACAAAGGAAAATCGACAAATTTGTGCTTAATTATAATAGGCAAACATTTTTTTCTATTTCATATAAAGCTACGATGAATCTGGTAAATTTTAAAATATAATGAGCGTTTCTGTGAAACCTATTATATAGTTTAACAAGAAATTAACAAATATCCTTTTGTTTTAATCATACTTAAAACTAATTGTGTTATATTTTTGCTACATCACTCTCATATGTAAAACTTTCAATCGGCTCTCATGAAGGTTAACAATAAGTTTAGAAGACGCGATACGTTTTCCTCGGTTAATTTATTGTCCATCTCTATTCTTGGTACTTAGGAATTTGTTTCTGTGACAATGTAGATGCTCTACAATATTTTATTCAAAGTAACTATAGTTACATAACACATAATATTCATCAGATGAAAAGTTTACACAAATGTCCTTTGTCCTTCTTCTTCGTATTCTACTTATATCTAGGAATATTATTTGTTTTTCTTCAATTCCATCCCTGTCTAAGTCGACCTTTTTCTTCTGATGATGCGAATTATCTCGGACTATTCTAGCTATTATATTTTCTTACAGTCAGTTATAGTTTCAGAGAGAAGAAAGGTAACTATTTATTTTGCCTTTGGAAATTACCCTTTATTATGTTTTTCATTTTATAAGTGTTTCTGATGTCGTTACCACTTGCTTTGCCCAACAGCATCATAATTTTTAATAAAATACATTATGCGCGACCCTAATCTTGAGGACCACTAGAGGCCTTATGCTCGTGCCACATGAACTTGTATGCTTCACCGGAATTTAAATTATGTACTCATAAACAATATGTCCAGAGTTGATAATTGTAGCATGGATAAAAGTCCCAATGTAATCCATCATAATTTTTAAGTAAACCTAAAGACCGCTAAAAATGTATTGACGACAGTTGGATCATCCCTCATATTTCTTGTAGTTCTAGGATGGTTTGAAACTCTGTTGTTAGCAATGTGGTACCAGTAGTGTAGAATACTGTAACAGTTCGAATTTTTTACCCTTGATTACATAATATGTATTACATATTTGTCTTACATGAAATATTTGCTAGTATTCTACGCACCGCAGATACCTTGAATATCAACAGAGATGCCGGCTCCTCAAGCGTTGGAGTGTAACTGAGTTTAAACTCCTCGACGTATAGGACTGCAGAGTGTTGACTCTTCGACTAGCCCTGGTCTGCGGAATAAAAGTCCCCTTAATTTATTTCCAACGACTAATTTGGCGACGAAGTGCTTCAGCTCGTCCACTGATTGAGGAGTAATTCTAAGTCCGGTCGTGCTTCTATTCACTCCTATCCGTCGGTGGTCTATTGGAACACTGTGCTGGTTCGACACGATCTAAAATAGCTTTAAGTCGATCTGACTTTGTCTATTTTTTTCTTTCTTCTTGTAGTTTGATAAGGTTTGGTATAGATGAGAAATAAAAAAGCAGAAGTTTCTTGAAGTGGACTCCTTAGCCAAAATAGGTCTTAACAGTATCAAGATTAAGACTAGCGTGCTAACTATTGGAAGGTACGCTGATTTTTATGCATTTCTTGGTTGCATGTCCGCAACGATCTTTCGTCGCAGGGCCAATACAATAATTGTATAGGTTATTCCACGAATATACGACTGTTTGGAATTATTGCTACAACGAATATTTTACTGTACAAGTAGAAGTATGAAAGTAAATTGGTCTAATTATTATTCCATAAAAAAGGATCTTCTGTTACTATGACATATAAACTAAAATTATTTCAGTTAATAGATGTTCGGATAGACGCAAAATTTATTGTGAAAATTAATCCGAAAATAACAAAAAAAAATTATGTAAACGCTTCTACAAATAAATACAATGACCTCTCTGAAGTTAAAATGTGTTCATCGGCCATTTGGGTTGGATTTCGGTGAAATGTAAACACCAAAGAGGCGAGCCGGGTATCTTTATTACTTTATTACTAGGTACTACAACGGTAATAAAAAGAAATATATTATTTTTAATATAAATAAAAAGAAATTGGCAGAAGGTTCAGAAACCAGAAAAGGAATCTAGTATTCCACTTTGTTAGTTTTTGGTTTGCTTTGAGTGGATATACTCTTAAAAGTTCCGAAAGTAGCGGGTATAACATGGCGGCTATTGATAGTTAAAGTACCGAGTAATTACAGATATTAAAAAGTAACGAAAATTTACATAGTTTCATAAATCGCCGACTGATTTTTGTTTTAAAAACCGTCATTATAGAGGTGTCCGGTGAAGAGACGTGTCCGTTAAGAGGGAGTTTAGTGTAGTGTATTTGTTTGTAATGATGATAAGGAGAATAAGAGTAAGAGTAAGTTTTTTTGTTTTTTTAATACTAATTGAATGTTCGACTAAATAAATTAAGCTATTTAATCACTTAAGTATTGTTACACTTTGTTTAAATCACTTAATTCAAAAACCAACTTGTTTACAATACTAAAGTCAATGAGAGTAATTATACGAGTATACATTAAAATCTGAATTACAACTATTCTATAAACTATCAATTCTATATTTAGATCATAACTTCATATTTAAATCTAAGGTGTATATCTGTCATAACAGTATTTTAAAAATGGGGAGAATTTACTATTGTACAATTCAGCACATTGGACCATTTAAGTCGACACCTTAAAGCGAATTTAAAATAGTCGTATATCCGTGAATATAGAATATAGTCCGAACCACAGGTTCGGACATTTGCTTGACGCACTTACTCGAGCGGGTAATGGTGCGAAGCTACCATCCGTGGGATTATGTCTGAACGCCTTTAAGGCCGTATCCTTTCTAGTCAAAGGTGGAAACCATATCTCTTGGAGTTCCGAGAGTCGAAACACTCAAAACAATGTGACTTTACTAGGCAATCGTAGTTCGCTTTTTTTGGTAAGTTGCCGGTCTTACCAGAAGTTCTTATTTCTTTATCCTGGCTTGTAAAAGGTAAAGGTGTACCTATAACCCTTTTGACAGATCAATCCCCTTTAGCAAATGTACAAAACATTTTTAATTATATAATTTTATTTATCTTACCTTCAATTTGAAAGGCAGCAGTTGCAACTCCGAAAAGAAAATCAGATGGAAATTTCTTATTGCTAACATCTTCAGCAAAACTAAAAAGGAAATACATATAATTCCTAAATAAAAATAAATCACTTAGTGTTCTGGCGGAGAACAGAAGTCGAATTAGGAAAAACTAAAAATTCCACATAATTTATTTATATTAATATTGAAGATAAAAGTTTTATTGAAGTAAAAGTGTGAATTTGATATTCCGATGGTAAAAATACAAGCATATCTATAATGCCGAGGTCTAGTATGTTAATTTTGAACAACATACGTCATATATAGATTCAACAGCAGAATCTGAGTCAGCCGGTTAAAAAGTACTTTTCTCTATGGTTGCTCAGCTGTCTTGGAATCTTTTGAAAATACTTATTTGGGGGAAGTTTATTATGCAAGACAAAATTCGAGGAAAGTGAAATGTGGGAAGAAGAAAAATATCGTGGCTTAAGAACGTGGGGAATGGTTTAAATGCAGTAGTGCAGAACTATTTAGAGCGGAAGTCAACGGGGTCCCCATAACCATGATAATTTCCAACCTTCGATAGAAGATGGAACTTAAAGTAGACGAAAAAGGGGGCCAGATGATGTACTACTCATAACTTTATCAAACTCAGATTCAACTATGGGTTCCAAAATATGGTAGCAACAGGCTAAAAAAAAGTAAGACCTTTCGCAACTTATGCACAAGAATGGCACATGTTTTAGACTTCGGTCCTCTATTAGATGCAGTAATATCGAAACATAGAGCAGTGACGAGATGAACAACACCCCATGCCTGCAAAAATTTAAATAGGCATTTAATACAACAACAGGAAGGAAATCCACATGTTTCGTAGAACTTAGGTCCTCTAGCTTACCATTCCAGTGAACAATAACAGGGCCAGAAATTAAAAAATCTTTTTTTAATTTTGTTGAAATCTTGGCTCAAATAATCTCTTTCTCGCGCTAAATATAGCTTAGCTGCGATTGATGACCAACGAGCTTACAACATGACCAAAACTGAATGCTGCCTTAATAATAATGAATGTGGCATTCCTGGACGACACCTGCGTTCTATCGAGTGCAGACGAAAGTTCAGAAGTCATGATTTTGATCCCTGCTCTTTTTGGTAAGGAATTCAGAGGTCGCATCCACACTAACATTAGTAAATAACTACGCATTTTAATCACGCAATGTATCCTATATGGCCTAAAAGTATGGGAAGCATACTTGGTGAAACTTTTTCATGACCTTAGAACAATACAAGAACCCACCGTTGAACAAAATTCAGGTCCCGAAACCCTACCAGAAGAAATAACAGCAGCCACCAGACAAATGAAGGACGGAAAGACACCGGGACTTGATGAAATTCCTGCAGAACTGCTGAAGCTATATTAGATACAGACAAATAAAAATAATAACTGATATATTTAATGACATATACAATGCAGGAAAAATACTAGTAGAGTGGCTCAAATCGGAGTTCGTACCATTGCCCAAAAAACCAGGAGCAAAAGTATGTGAAGATTATAGGACAATAAGCCTAATGAGCCATCTGCTGAAGGTGATCCACAAAAGAATTTACCGGAAATGCGAGGAACAAATTGCGCCCAATCAGTTTGGATTTGTGAACGCCGTTGGTACGAGGGAAGCTTTAATTAGCGTGCAGATCTTGTTTCAGAAATTTAGAGATGTCAGCTGTAATGTTTTTACATGCCTGATTGACTACAAAAAGGCTTTTGATAGAGTCAGCATGAACAAATGATGGAAGTGCTGAAGAGGATTGATGGAAAAGACTTAAAAATTATAGCTAATCTGTATTGGAATCAATCAGCGGTACTCCGAATACATGAGGAATATATAGATCAGGTCAAAATCTTAAGGGAAGTGAGACAGGGGTACATAATTTCACCACTGATATTCAATCTGTACTCGGAGCACATTTTTGAAGAGGCCCTAAAAGATATTGATGAAGGCATCTCAATAAATGAAGTCAAGCTCAATAACCTGCGGTATGCAGATGATACAATACTGTTTTCTAATACCATAGAAGGGCTGCAAAACTTAATGAACAGAATGACGGAAACAAGTAGAACATATGGACTGGATATAAACATCCGCAAAACCAAGCTAATGATCATCAGCAAGCAAAACATAACTGGAGCAAATCTGTATGTGAACCAAATGAGAATTGAACGTGTCTCACAATACAATTACTTGGGAACTATAATCAATGAGTCGTGGGACAATACCCAAGAGATTAAATGTCGCATCGGAAAGGCCAAAAGTGCATTCTTGTGAGAACGCTCTATTCTTTTACCATTACTATTTAATGTAATACACTACGAAGGGTTTTTATATAAGCACTTGAAAACTGTACAGAAGAAAAGAAGATATATTGTGATAATATAAATAAGACCTGCAGACGCTACTAAACACAATTTATGATACTGGGAAACAGTTTGGTTTAACAATAAACATAAAGAAAATAAAAACGAAACGAATTTCCGAGATCAGAATCCGATCAAGACGAGCATTCAAGAGCAGCCTTTTTGAAGAGGAGGAAATTTCTGAATAAACCAAAGACTCATTCAGCAAATCGTATATCTGATGGTAAAATGTTATATCCACTCTATAAGCTTTTAAGATGTGGCTTTTTAGAATTTAAAAAATACCTTGGGCCGATCATATTATGAACGAAATGTCGTTGCACAGAATGAAAAGAGAGAGAAGTTTTGACCACCATTAAAAGAAGAAAGAAAATAATCATATTTGGGGCACATACTTAAAAATAAGAAATACGAGTTGGTGTAGCTAATTATAAAGGGTAAAATCGAAGGAATAGTCGGTAAGATAGCCAAGCTGGCTGAGCGGCTAAATTATCATTCGCTTCACTGGGAGTGGTTCAGCGAATTTGAGTCCGATTCCCAGCTCGTTGTACAGAAAACAAAGAGGTTATCGCAACAGTTTAAAATTCTAAATGAATTTGCGGCTTAGACTAGAATATGCTGGTGCCTAATCAGCCTATGGTGGACCAGTACGGTAAGAGATAAAGGCTTGCGTCTCGGTGATACTCCTTCATAGATCCCTACCGGAAGGGCGTGTGCTGCCTAAATATCGGGTATATATATATATATATATATATATATATATATATATATATATATATTATATATATATATATATTTAATCGAAGGAAAAAGGGATCCTGGTAGTAGACGAAAAATATCCTGGCTAAAAAACATTCGCGACTGGACCAAGTTACCAAGTTTAACACACAAACACTTTTTTTTTTAAGAAAGGCATAAGACAGAGACGAATTTGCTATGATTATAGCCAACCTTCTTTAGCGGAATTGGAACTAAAAGAAAAAGAAACATAATATTTAAATTTATAGATGACAACAGCGAAAAAATGTTCTTAAATAACAGACGTAATGGCAGTAGGCTAACGAGGATATCATGAAATGATGACATGATGGGAAAACAAGGGTAAAACATAACATTTTATCTACACCCTTATTTGAGAGTCGGCTTTATTGTCGAACTCAACTTACATACAATTTAAAGTATTTTCTACATAATGGTAAGTACGATTTCTTCGAATTTACCACTTCCTTATTTTAGGCCACAAAATTATAAAGCAATTCTCGTAAGTAAAATAAGTAAATATGCAATAACGATAACTCTGAAGCCATTTTTTATTTTCTAGTCATATCAGCATAAAAATTTTAAAAATTACCTTGCACCAATAATCAACACTAGCACTATAAATATCATCATAATCTATCAAGTTCTAACAAAATTATTAAACACCTGCAAAAGCATTCAAACATAAGTACAAATTTTTTGTTAATCTATCTGGTACTGATTATTGACGTATGAATAACATTTTACTGATAATAATAACAAAATAATATCAATAAAAAAATTTATTAGTTTATTAAAATATTTTTATTTTAGTTTAATTAGAAAACAATTAGGAAATTAGACCATAGGACATAAAAACTAAAATCTTTAATAGAAGGGGGATTGAGTGATATCTCATTTTAAAGGTCGTTCAACTAGCATCTTAAAAAATCACATACAATATATTTATTATTAGTACTTTTGTAAAAATCAAGCTAAACCATAAGGATACTTAAAGACATAATATTTTGCACTAAGACAGTGATAAACAGTGATAAAGCCTAATCTCAAACTACTAACATTTTAAAAAACTTTAAGCTGAATTTCCATATACGCAGCTGTTGTTCTTCCCTTTAAATCTTTCAAATTTCGAGGTTGTGTTTTATAGATAGTTGACTTTAGATATCCGTAGAAAGAAATCTAAAGGAGCTAGCTCTAGCAATCGTGGTGGTCATTCTATCGTCTTTGACCAATCCATCTTTCTTATTAATAACTTCCTCTTTCAATATTGGTAACCAGATCCTACTACATTCTGCAGAGGAAATTTGCGACACAATTGGCCTTATTTAGCATAATTAAAACCACTTCTTTGATTTTTTCTTTTTTTACCATCCGTTTTTTGGACTACATTTGAATTATGCCATTGAACCCTATGTTCATTATCCCATGCATGTTTACATATTTGAGATCTATCAAATTCTTTATTTTTAATATAAGATTGATGTTCACTTATTCTAACATTTAATGGTCTTGATGTTTCACCTAAATAAAACTGATCGCATTCACAAGGTATTTTATAAATACAATTCTTTGTCCTTTCTTGTTCATTGTTAGGTTTGGTTTTAGACAAAATAGATCTCAACGTGTTTGTTGTTTTGTGAAATGTTGAATTTATTTCCTATCCTTTTAAGTTTTTCTGATAATCCTTTTATGTACGCTATTGTTATTTTCCTCGTTTTATTCCTTGTGTATGCTGTAGGATCTTGTTCTAAGTTGTTCTGTTCTATTCGATCGATTGTTGAAAATTCCTTATTTATAAACAAGGAATTATAGGCAGAAATTTGCAGATCACGAAAAAACATAGAAAAATAATATAAGTAGTAGAAATGGATTTTCTAAGGAGAGCGTGTGGCGTATCCAAAAAAGATCATATCAGGAATGAAGATATTAGAAGGAGGACAAATACTGTATATTTCAGTGCAGACAGAATTGAAACGAGACAACTAGTGTGGTATGGTCACGTGAAGCGAATGAATGAAAATAGATAGCCAAAGAAAGCTTTAAATTATATACCACAACAAAAAAGAAGAAGAAGTAGAGGTAGGCCTTGATTGAGTTGCCCGAAAAGAAAATGTATGACACATAATGAGAGATAGAGCCATCAAAGAAGACGAATGGATGGACAGAAAACAATGGCGGTCGAAATGCGAGAAGCGGTAGAGGTTGCAGGAACCTCGCTACAAAATTATACAAAATACAAAATTGTTTGCAAATTACCGTTTGCCTAGAATTTATTTCTATAACCCGCCTACTCGCTAGGTTGATAAAACACTAATTTACGGTTCAGGAGTTTGGATATTGATATTTTGGGTAGTAATTGGTGAAATGGGTCCTGTTTTGTTGATAAGAATGGTAATTACTCAGAAAAATTCCAAGTATTCGATATACTTGGAATTGTAATATTTCTAAGCATAAATGGAACAGGGAAATTACTTCACGTAGTAATATCTATAATATCCACTTCACCCCACATTTTGACAGCTTTTATCACAATTTTGTCTTCCCTAGGAAGACTAATTGTTCTTAATTTCCTTTTAAAAACTTCTTTTGAAGTTTTAGTACTTAAGTAACCGCCTTTCTAAAAATAGAAGGAGCATTTACTAATGCACTACAAAATTATCTTTATGATGCAGTAGCATCAAAAGGTATATCCGCAACTGGAACAAGGCAAATGCTAAAAAATAGGCTGATTCTAGTAGTCCTACAAGAAGAGATTTTAACCAAAACAGCTAAGGAGTGCCCACAGGGGAAGTTTTTTCTTCTTTCCTGTGGTACTTCTAGTGGATGACTTGGTTTGCAGTTTGACGCACAGGGGGTGGAAGTTCAGGTCTATGCCGTTGATCTAGTAATTATGATAACAGGAAACAGAAATATGGTCATGTTTTATATGTATACCTCGTAAGGATTAACCACAATTTTCTTTAACCTTAGTCAACATTTTAAATTCAACGTTCTTTTTAATTAAAGTGATTATTTACTTTCAGGTTAACACTGATGGTGAATTTAACAATCCGAAAACGTTTTGTAATATATTTGTGATAGCCCGTTTGGGCATTTTATTATATACCTTTTATAAAGGATTTGAAATAAATTTACTATGAAATTAGAATGTTTGTTTATTTAAAATAAAGCTTTCTCCTAGAATCTTTTAAAAGTTGACTGCGAGGTGAAAAAATTTACTGGCAATTGCAAGGCATCAAATCAAACATTCCTGTGGTAAAATAACATCGATTAAAATCAGTCATATTTGGATAAGTAATTTTCCGATAAGTTTCTGTGGCAGCCAATAGTTTAATTTTGTAAAGGTTTATCATTAAATAGTAGATATAGTTTAAATAGTGAAGCAGTTGATTTTTGAGTTATTCTACCAGATGAAATAATGTTAATGGAGTTTAGTTAAAAACAAGATAACCAATATAAGTTTACCTTCTTTTTTATAAATAACAAAAATAAATATTATATTTCAAATAATCCACAATCCGATTCAGAATCTGATTCATTAAAATCAATGATTACAGTAGATATGTGGCTGGTATCAATTATATCTTACATTTCAAGAAAATGGCGTGGTTTTGAAAAGAACCGTTTTTTATACATATAAATATCCATAACGGTATAAGTTTAAGATATTTCCTCAATATCATTCGTGAATTCACAATCTGATTCGCGAATGACAGAATCTGATAATAAAGTTGTCCCAGCCTCTTTTTCTAATTGAAAATAATTTAATAATTTTAATATTAGTCTTTGTGCGTTCTCGGTATATCTCGGAATATTTAAAATATTTTTATGACAATAAATACAAAATTTAATTTTCACTGTAGGTAAAATAATAACCTGGAATGACAATTATAATTTTATCAGTTGACGTTGTGAAAGTACTGTAACTGTCACGATCGAAACCATCTGCGTCAAATTATATTTATGTGCATCATTGATTGGATATCTATTTAGCGTATTCGCTCCGTGGGTCTCGCTGTCAGATTTGTAAGGATGTTTTAGTATTGAGTCTTATGGGATTATTTTTTTAAACTTAAATATTTTATTTTGTAGTGTTAATATCCGGATACAATTTTTAGAATTATTTAGTTATTTATTTATAGTGACATTCATAATTCAACAAAAATATTTTTGTCGTTAATAAAGATTTATTAATATACCTAATCTGCGAAAGTAAGGTTATATATATATATATATATATATATATATATATATATATATATATATATATATATATATATATATTATCAACATCCATGGTACAATGAATATGTTCATTAACCATGCACAAAAGCGTCCTGATAAAATTTCAAGCAATCACCACCAAGAGCAGGTTAGTCAATTTTGCTTTGACACTTTGTTAACCCTCGGAGCGAATTTTAAACTCCAACCAACTACATCGTTATTTAGAGCTGCTGCCAATATAGTCACGATAGCGAATATGGTAGCCAACATGATATCCAACGATCGATAACGGTCATGGAACTAGAAGAAGAAGAAGAACCAATTATACAGCCGTAAATAGAATTCGCTTTAACCCTTTAATTATCTCTGGTATTACCCTTGTACCACACATTTCGCCAGAGTAAATGTAGTAAATGTAGTAGTACAAAGCAGAGTTCTACTCATTTACATCTATACATGTATTTTAATAAATAATGCATAGATGACTCTGATATCGGAACTATTTATTTATAACTATTTACTCCATTTGTAAACATTGTAGCGGTACAACATTTGTACCAGTAGATTCTAGGGTGCTTCTTTTTTGCAATTAGCACGAGGCTGAATTTGTTTTGTTATTTTTTCTTTAAAATTTGACCATTGAGGAATGCTATAAAAGGTAAGTGTTTTTTATTACCAATATAAGGATACTATACAGTAGTTTCAGAATAAAAAATATATATCAAAAGTAAATAAAATTGAAAATTATTTTCAATATGATATTTTATAAAAATGTAACCTCAAACTTTCCTCTAAAATAAAAATATTTATAACCATCACAAATATGCTAAATTGGTTGCATATATGTTGTGTTGGTCATTTTTGTACATTTTCGTCATACATTATGAACCAATCTATTTGCGCTCAGCAAATATTTTCCACAATACCTCAACATGCATTTTTTTTTTCAGATGTCAGAAAACTATTCTGATATACAGTATTGGAAGAAGGGCCTTACAACTGAACAGTTAGCCAAAATATTACATGAAATAACGGATGATCAAGCTGAACATTCCGAGATTGAAGGGGACTCCGATGCTGAGGATGTAGTAGAACCTGACACACCATCAGAAAGATCTAGCAGAAGTTCGTCTACACTGCCGTCTACTCCGTCTGGAAGTGGTACAGCCAAAATAGACATAGTAACTAACTACACGCCCCTACGTAGAAAACGTAAAAATTCTACAATTTACGACTGTTTAGAATACGAGGATTCAGATGATTCTGTAGCAGACAGAGATTACCAGCCCGAAAAACCCTCTCAAAACAAAAATATGAATGCTTCATCATCAAGTGAAGATGAAGCAACTTTCGATGTTACCAATCATTTTAAGGGGTGGTCTAAAGAACCAAGAATACCCACTGAATTTAAAAATTGTAATTATGCAGAATTCAAGAATTCGAAAGTGATACCGTCTTTTGAAGACCCAGTAAGTTTTTTTAATGTTTTTTTCAATGACACCTTACTACAATACATTGTAGAACAGTCAAATTTATATGCTGTCCAAGACAACAAAAATTAAGGTTTGTCCTTAGAAGAATTGAAAGCTTTCCTAGGAATTTTAATTCTAATGGGATTTAATAGTTTACCTTCAATCCAAAAATACTGGTCTGCAGATCCAAATTTCCATAATGAAAGGATTACTAATATTTTCCCTTTAAAGAGATTTCTTAAAATATTAAGATAAATCCATTTGAATGATAACCAACAAATGCCAGCCAGAGGAACTCGGGAATTTGACAAGTTGGACAAAGTGAGATCTCTTATTCAAAAATTAAAAAAAAAACCTTTATGGAATCTTTTTCTCCGAGCAGAAATATTTCAATTGATGAAAGTATGGTTGCCTTTAAAGGAAGGACTACTTTGAAACAGTACATGCCAATGAAACCCTTAAAGAGGGGTATAAAAATTTGGGCAATGGCATGTGCTGAAACAGGTTACCTCATCAATTTTGAGGTATATCAAGGTAGAGAACCTGAACGGACTAACGAACATACTCTAGGGGAAAGAGTTATACTGAATTTAATTAAAGTTTTGGAGAAAAGGGGTCACTGCTTGTACTTTGACAATTTTTTTACCACACTTCCACTTATGAATAAGTTATCAGAACTAGGTCATTTTGGTTGTGGAACAGTAAGACAAACACGAAAATATTTTCCAAAAGCACATTTAGTAGATGACAGAAAAATGAAAATGGGTGAAATTGATGGAGTTGTCTGCAATGATATTACTATAAGTAAGTGGAAGGATCGTGGCTTAAAATCTGTGACCGTATGCAGCAATATGCATAATTATGCAGAAACTGGTTTTGTTTTGAGAACATCAAAAACTGGAGAACGAGAAAACATCCGCTGTCCTCAAGCCATCGTAGACCACAATATGTATATGGGAGGTGTTGATCGGTTTGACCAACGAATGCAGACATACTCAGTAGCTTGGAAAAGTCGTCGATGGTGGATGAAGTTATTTTATTACCTTTTTGATGCATCCATAGTAAATTTTTATATACTTTATAAAGAATCCCTTAGGCAAAGTAACAGTAGAAAAAAAGCAATATCTCACCTTGAATATAGATCTAAATTGGCTACCAGTCTTAGAAAAGATTTTTCTGCGAGAAAAAAAATTGGGAGACCATTTAACATGGAGTATTTTCAAAATGTTGGTCACTTGCCTCAGAAAACCACGCGAAGACGATGCCAGCAGTGCTCAAAAACAGGATTACAGAAACGCAGTGATATAAAGTGCGTAGACTGTAAAGTGGCTTTGTGCTTGGATTGTTTTAAACCATATCATTCAAGTGACTGAACTATTATTTTTATTATTATATTTTTGTTTGTTTATTACAATATTGTGCAGTATTTTTGTATTATTTTAAGTCCTATACCTATTATTGATACACTTTTTATTATTTGGTACACCCTATGTACCAGAGAAACTAGCATGAAAATTATTCCTTGATTGAACTCTGATACAACGGTTGACCACCTATTTTTTCATAGAAAAAACAAAAATATATTCAAAATCTAGTAACTGATGTGCTAACTGTAGTATTCAAAACTATTATCTGAAATAACTTTTAAAAAAGTTCATCATAATAAACTTGCGCCTTAAAGGGTTAATATGCGAATACCCGTAAACGATACCTAATTTTCTAAGTTCTATGTATAATAATCACTGACTTACGTTTTTTTCTGTCACTTCTAGCTTAATGCGTTAGAGAGAATTGGAGCAACTATAACGCATTGAAAGAAGGGTTTGGGACGGGGTATACATCCGTAAAGCTTCTATACTTACTGGTAATATGACGAGTTTATGAGTCTTCTAGCTATAACTTCTAGAATAATGTTAGTATTAATATTAATATATCGTTTTTAGCAAATCCGTATGCAACAAAAACCATCGCGCGACAAAAAATAATAAGGCTATATCTTAGATTATTCCTACCGTCAGTATAGCTTAGAACTGATGAAGCTACTAGTGTGACATTTTGATATTAAATACTTTGTACAAAGTCACATTTTACGTCAATTACCATAGCTTATATGAAAATGTCATATTTCACAAATAAATATCGCGTCAAGTGAGCCTTTCAGGAACAGGAAGGGAGTGGGGGTCATTCAATTTTAAAATTTTGGGAATTGAGTTTTCGTATGGAAAGTTAACATGTCCACGGAGTAAGGTTGATTATCTACTTCTATAGCAATCTTTTGTCCGTTTTTGGTTGTTACTTCTTTTTTTTGTTATATTTTAACATTTTTTGTACTTAAAGTAATTTTTGCATATCTACGATATTTAATTTTTTAATCCATTTATTATATTCTGTAGCATATTTTATATTCTTTTTCTTATTTACGTAAACGCTGCTTAAATATCAATGTCAAATTTAAATAAATTGTTCCCATTTATAAAGTAATTTGCAATATTATCTGCATTATTTATGAATAATTTTCTCGATAAACTATCAATGTACTTTTTAGTAACCTCTTTTGTTAATTCTTTTTTAGCACGCCCAGAAGTTTTTAGGTAAGTCATTTTTATTTTTTTTTTTATTAGTGGTTATTACCATTTAAATATAGATTTATATAAATTATTTAAAACTAAGAGTATGCTATTAGAGATGGTTTTAAAGTCTTAATTTACCATCTATAATTAAACTAAAAATGTGCTGTTTTTCTGGAGCTATTCTGTGGAAAGGTTTTAATAATATTTATTACCGTTACTGGGAAAAAATCATAATTTCAGCTCAAAAAAAGTTTATTTATAAACTGAAATTGTGGATAATTCCTATTAAAAATAATGAATAAATACATTGTTGTCATACTTGAGATGAAATTGTCGTTGATTCATTACATACCACTAAGTTATTACTTCATTTTGTGTGTATTATATATAATGAAGGAGTACATTGTGTCATAACTAATTATATTCAAAATCATATGAAAAAATTTGCTATGAAAAAACATTCTGGGTTAACTGGGTTATCCTAGGGTTAACTGCACAACATTCGTTTTCGTCATGAAAAAGTTTTCATTGTAATAGAAATAATTTGGTTTCTGGTGTATACTAGTATTAGAACCATATCACATACATCGAACTTAAATGAGTTCATGTAGATAATCTGCCTTTGAAGAAAACTTTAACGATTTTACTCTAAAAGTTTTTGTTAAATATGGAAAACGTTTTATAATAATATATAAATAAATAAGTAAGATAATATTTTACAAGATAGTTTTTTATTTTTTATTAAGTATCAAAATTAATATTCTAGTCTATGCAATTGTCAGTAAGACACCTGGTTTTGCAAACTTTGGTGTAGAATTCAGCTGAAGGTCTTGCTGTCCTCGGTCTATTGGGATCATTAAAATCTACTTCGTAAAGCCCATATTTTTGTCTAAAATAAAAATACCATATTTACTAAAGTTGGTTGTTTTTCTTAAAAATTTAACAAATTAAGCAAAACAAAGGAATACACCTTAGACAGGACTTACAGTAATTTTCGAATTTTTTTCAAGATGTTCTACTGTAAACTTACGTGTATCCTAATTGCCATTCAAAATTATCCATTATACTCCACACGGTATATCCAATTACTTTAACTCCATCTTCTACCATGGCATCTCTAATGTAGCTAAGATAATCCTAAAAAATTTTAATTCGGAATAAAGACATGTACATATCATATTTATTTTGTGTAAATATGTGCATACATTAATTTCTTTAGACACTTAGAAGGCTAGTCCGTAAGGGGATCCTAGTCCCCGATAGAGTGGAGTTTCTAGGTGGCGTATGTCTTCCAGATATGACTAGTACCATGGCGTCAAGCGCGGCTTTTTAAATCTCAAAACCCCTTGTCTTAAAACAATTAGAATACATCAGGTAATGAAGATCAGAGGTCAACAATTTCACACTGATATACAATCGTTCAGCTCCAATCAAGAATTTAGGAAGGACAAAAAACTGGTAAGCAGAAAACTTACAGATATCACAGAAGTGACATTGCCAATTGTTATTACCAAATCACCATTTGTAGATCTAGAAAATGAACGTGGGATATACTAGGCATATACAAAATAAGAAGAAAAAGCGAACACTTCAAAAAACTACAATCCGAAAACATATTCTGTTTTAAACAAATACCATCGGGAAATTTTCTTGATCATCTTGAACATCCACAAATAGTGGGTACAGTCAGTTCTTAGCTATACCGGATAATATCAGATAACAAATAACCTGAATGAAATTATAAAACTAGCGGAAGAACAACACGTTTTAGGTCGAAAAGATAGTATATACCGAAGCTATATTTATAATGAGGCGAGTGCAACAGAAATCATTAAAATACAACAAACCGGCATATATATGTTTCCTGTACCTTTCTGTAATTTTCTCAAAAAAATACAAAACGCAACGGAAAGCTCGAAACAGAAGTGGAAGATTTAGTGAATAGAGCAAACAGAGCCGCATGTTGCTTAAATAAAACAATATGGAGAAATAAAAATATCAGTAAAGTAATGAAAGGTAGAATTTACAAGACAGTCATCAGACCAATAATGACATATGCGGCAAAAACACGACCTGACACAGAGGAGACAAAAGAGATATTAGAAACATCAGAAAAAAAAATTACATCCGAAAAATTGTTGATAAAACACTATGGGACAAAGCTAGAAGTACAAATAGAATACTACTACAAGATAGTAATTATTAACAATACATGTATACACTACAGTACAGTCAACTTAATTTATCGTAATATTACCTAACTAGAGGTTGATTCATTGATTCTATAAATAACATAAAATTCTAAACTCTAACATAAAATAATTAAATGACATTAATACTACACTAACTTAAAATTATAAATAAATAAGCTTAGTGGATCAAACGAACAACAAGGTTTCCGCAGCGGAAGATCATGTAATGATGTCTTCGTAGTCAGGTAAATACCAGAGAAATCTATAGAATACAATAAATCAGCCTACTTATGTTTTGTAGACTTGGAAAAGGCTTTTGAGACAGTAAGACTACCAGATGTTATATACCTGCTATACAACAAACCAATACCATTTGATATCATAAAAATAATAGAGAATATATGTACTTATACGCAAGAAAGACAACCAAAGTTCAAACAGAAACGAATAAACCGATAGACATTACAACTGAAATCAGACAAGGGGATTTATTGAGCCCACTTATGTTTAATCTCATATTGGACAAGGACGTAAAACAAGTAAAAACAAATCAAGATAATACACTACGCCGACTACGGAGTTCTGATAGCAGAGAATGAAGATGATTTACAACAAATGCTACACCAGTTACTAAAGCCAAGGAATTTGCATGAAAATTTTATCATATAAAACGAAAAGCTTAATGATATCAAAGGAAACAAGGAAAAGGTGAAAACTTGAGAGATTAAAAAGCAAATAATGGAACGGGTAATGAAATTTAGATATCTGGAAATACACTTATTAAGAGGCAATAACATTAAAGAGGAAGTAAGAGACCAAGTGGCAAAAGCAAGCAGAACAGCGGGATACCTTAACTACACAATATGTAGAAACGAACATTGAAAATGGAAACAAAAGTTATATGTAATCTGACCTGCCATGACAGATACCGCAGAAACAAGACCAGACACAAGCACCACAAGAAGATATTTGAAGACAAATGAAATATTAATCTTAAGAAGTATAACCCGAAAAATACCACTAGGCAGAACAAAGACTAGAGGACCTACAAAGGATAAACAGCATTAATATATGGGTGCAAGAAATAAAAAGAAAATGGAACAGCTATATTAGTCGAACTGCAGAAAACAGAGTGGTTGAAATAATCCGGGATAATTAGTCAATTTGAAAAAGAAGCACAGATGGTCCACGGAAAAGATCGAATTATAATATTCCATTAGAGCAGGAGGTGACGTCAAAGAAAAACGGCCAATTTGCCTTTATAAAAGAACTAAGGAGAAGTTTTGAAATGTCTTCATTTGAAGAAAAAATTACTTCAAAAATTGATTTGAGTAGACAAGTTATTTGTAAATTAGAGTATTTATTTCAAGAAAATGCAAAACTTACAACAAAAAACTTTTTTATGTTAAAATAATCGTGTTGTTTTAAAAGAGCTATGTAAAAGTTTAACAAAAAATATTTTTGGTTATGTTAATAGTAATATTCTAGAAACTATTTTCTAACCCTCTGGCATAATATGAACAATAAGGCGCACAAAAATAAATAAAAGAACAAAAAAAGTTCAGATGTGAATACATAAAAACTACTTATCAAAAATATAATTCGTCTGATGATTTAAATAGCAAGGAATATTTACTCTAATATAGTTGATCCTTTTGTTGTCATCATCGGTACATAAACCATTTTCAGTAATAAGAATTTCAGGATTTTCGTAGTGGTCTTTTATCCAATTCAAAAGAATCCTCATTGTCCATGGAGCAATCTGAAATTGATAAATATTAAATAATACAAATAGTTTTTATTATATTAATACTAGAAGTTACCAAAAGAATGCATACATTATGCTAATATCAGTTTAACACTAAACATAGGAAACTGAAAGTTATAGATAAAAAATTAAAGGCATTAAATAAAGTTAAAGAATATAAAAATATAGAATACTTTAAACAATAAGTGGCTCATGAAGGCATAAAACATAAAAGAATTATATAAACAAAATGGTATTACAATTTAAATGTTCAACATAATGTATAATGTGAACCAGGTAGAAACAAATAATATACCGAATGAGAGACGGTACCGTTAAATAAACACCAAACTCTGATTTTATATTCATGATATTTAAAATCATACATGATATGTTTTCGATATGTTATTGACTTACTAATAGTGATACATTTTTTTTATTTCCTTTTTTAATAAATATCGTTAACCAGATCACACTGCATTCTGCCGAGTAATTTGCGACGCAAATCGCATAACTAGAGCTGTTTCTTTGATTTTTATCTTTTTACCATCTGTTTTTCCCATGCGTGTTTACATATTTCAGATCTATCAAATTCCTTATTTTTGATATTAGATTGATGTTGACTTATTCTAACATTCGATAGTCTTGATGTATGTTTTATCTTAATAAAAATGTTCGCATTCACAAGGAATTTTATAAATACAATTCATTGTTCTTTGTTGTTCATGGTTAGGTTTAATTTATAAGTCAAGTTCAATAACCTGAGGTATACAGATGATACAATAGTGTTTTCCAATACCATAGAAGGGCTGCAAAACTTAATCAACAGAATAACGGAAACAAGTAGAATATATCCATTAGATATAAACACCACCAACACCAAGCTAATGATCATAAACAAGGAAAACATAACTGGAGGAAATCTGTATGTGATTCAAATGAGAATTAAACGTGTCTCACAATACAATTACTTGGGAACTATAATCAATGAGCCATGGGACAGTACCCAAGAGATTAAATGTCGCATCGGAAAGACCAAAAGTGCATTCTCGACTATGAGCTCTGTGTTCAAGAGCCATGACCTCACCCTGAAAACAAAAATAAGGCTCCTTAAATGTTACGTGTACTCATTACTTCTATATGGAGTAGAAACGTGGACATTGAAGGCGGAAACTCTATCAAAACTTCAGGCTTTTGAGCTATGATTATACAGAAGAATCCTGAAGATACCATGGACAGACAAAGTCACCAATGAAGAAGTACTACGGATGATGAACACAACCGCGGATTTGGTCAACATCGTGAAGAGCCGTAAGCTGGAGTACTTGGGACATATAATGAGAAATCAAGGCAGATACAAGCTACTCCAATGCATTTTGCAGGGTAAAATTGAAGGAAAAAGAGCCCCAGGACGAAGAAGAATATCCTGACTTGCTAACTGAGAGCATGGTATAGAAAGACCTCAACACAGCTATTTCGTATAGCAACCAACAAAATCATCATAGCCAGAATGGTCGCCAACGTTCGGAACGGACAGGCACCCTAAGAAGAAGAAGGTTTAATTTTAGACCAAATAGATCTTAATGCGTTTGTTGTTTTAAATGTGAATATAGTTCCTTTTTTTTAAGTTGTTCCGATACTCCTTTATTGTCATGTTCCTTGTAATATTTCTCGTGAATGTTGTAGCATCCCATTTTAAGTGGTTCTGGGGATAATCAGATACACAGATTAACATATGTTAACAATTTTTTTTCTTCTTAGGACGAATTTTCTTGAGAATAAGTAATTTTGGCTGAATTATTTATTAATTAAGCCAAAATTACTTGTTCTAACAAAAATTCGTTCTTGGATGAACAACAATTGTTGACATCTGTTTTATTAATCAATTATTATCTGTTCATAACTGAGCTTATAAATAGGGAATTTTTATGAATAGCCCGTATGGAACAGAACAACTAAGAACAGTATTCTAAAACATACACAAGAAATATTACGAAGAAAATAACAATACCATGCATAAAGGGCTTATCAGAAAAACTTAAAACAATAGCAAATAAATGCATAATTTATAAAATACCTTGTGAATATGAACATTTTCAGTTGGGTGAAATATCAAGACCAGTGAATAAACATCAATTTTATATTGAAGACCACAGAAAAAGAACTTGATATTGTCCAATTTTTGATATTTCTTGTTTTTAATACCACTTTGTAGCTTAAAGTCAAAAGATATAAGTGAAAAAACTCGTGCAAAAGATATAAGTGAAAAAAGTGCGGGGAAAAATTTGACATTTCCATTCACAACAGGGGAAAAGTTGATAAGTCCAGGTAATCCTAATAGTTGGCAACAATAGCATGCGCCATAGAAAACTGGAATTATATTGTGAAATGTTTTTTATGACAATGTGTCGTTTGATGCGTTTTTCTATTTTTTTCTGTTATATTTTTTACCAAAAATAGACAGTCAATGATTTTATAGGGAAATAACGTGATACCTCCTTCTTTACATAGGAAAACCTTTAAGTACATGTAGACGAATAAAAACAATTAATACTTTTAGTATGCGATATAAATTTAAAAAAAATCTAAAACTTAAACCAACAACCAATATAGCAAGTTTTTATCTGTCTATTACTAATTAATTATTGTAAGATGTATTTTATTTTAACTCTGTGATTATCTTAAAATACATCTTACAATAATCACAGAGTTTTAAACTTTAAAAATGAACAAAACCAAAAAATTTATTTTCCTTGGTCTATATATCAAAAATAGTGAATTTGATAGATCTCAAATATGTAAACACGTATAGGAAAATGAACATAGATTTCAAATGCGGCTCTAACTATATTACATTAAACCAAATGCATTATTAACAAATCGAGGATAGATCATTTGTGTTTTAAAATAGCACACATATAAAAACAGAGTTTGGTGTTAATATTGGAAGTAATTTAGTTTACTTCCAATAGCAAAGTCCAAGACCAAACACTTACCATGTCCCATGGTACATAAGGTTTTTTCCTGGTTTGTTTTGTATGATTTGCTATAGTATCACTAACGGGATAATTTTACTGTAATCATTGCATATATCTTTCTAAACACAAATCACATGCTATGATTTTTCTAAAAGGTATCCAAGTAAAAGTTGATTTCATTTAATGAAATATCGTCCAATAAAGTCGTCCCAGGAACGCAACTCAAAAATATTGACGATATCATTTAAAAGTCATCTGCTTTAGAATGTATAATATATGTCTGAACTGTCAGTAGAAATAAGCCACATAAAATTAAATTATTAAAAGAATTTTTTTACCAAGTAAGAAAACAAAATTTGTTTAATTTACGAATGTTTGGTATTTTGAAGTGGAAACCAAAATGTCAAATAAACTTATTTTAAAGTATAGTTGTGGCTTATTTTTAACAAAAATCGTAAACTATATTTATGATTAGTGGCAACAGAATATTGTGTTTGTGCTTAGTTACTATCATCTTGGTATTTTTCTAGTTTTTAACTTTGTTCCGAACTCGAAACATGTGTTACTTAATTGGCTTAAGATGATTCGTAACTATGCATCCAAGTCAGCAATGAGTACTTTGTTTTGATATTTGAATATCAAAAGTTTTATTCCCGCAGTCCCTGTTTGTGTTGGTTCTAATAACTATTCGAACATAAATAAGATAATATAGCATTGTCTTTTGTCGTGTGTTAATATTGTTGAAGACTTAGTCGTTAATTCTGATATTAACTTTTTTGTCTTATTCTTAAATTTTCATCATCTACTTCAATAGTATCAGGAGCTTCCAGCAATTTCTTATTATATTTACATAGTCAAATGCCTTTTTGAAATCTATTAAGGACAGAAACATATTAAATCTATCATTATTACAAATTATTAATATGGTCATCCAAAGTTAGACTTAAATAAATTAGTTTAATATGTAAGAGAACTCTTGGAAACTAAAACAGAATGCACACCATACCTTAAACCAACTGGGTTGAGTACTGTTGGCCCATTCTGAAGGCTGAAAATCGTTAACCCCAATGTCTTGCCATTTAGAAGGAGGATTATAGATTGGAGGATCATCCATGTGCTGAACCAAATTGGCAGAATAAGTGTTGAAAGCAAAGAAATCGGCTGTCCCTTTAAGCAAAGCTTTCTCTTCCTCAGTGAATTCTGGTAGCCGCGATTGGCTCCTTCCTTCGCCTCTGCTGCGTTCGGCTACTCTGCTCTTCATAATATCGGGGTAGTCTCCGAAGTGGACGGGATTGGCGTACCATCCCAACTACAAAAAAATATTACAAAAACTGTTAAATCACAATTCAATAGATGTAGTAATCTCAAAACTATTAGAAGGTGCTGAGAAAAAAGAAAAAAGTATTTGTATTTTACTAAGCTAAATTAAAGTCATAATGCACTAAAAATATGGTAGATACAAAAATTAAAATGTAACAATAAAACACTGTAAACTTTGTTTTCAAACTTCCACAAACTTCTGTCTCAAAGTTGTATTTTGAATTGAATTAAATATAATTAAGCAAATAGCAGTAAACAACAGATACAACGAACAAACAATTAATAAAATGTTAGATCAAAAAGTACACAAGAAAGCCCTGAAATTAGTATTTCCACCACCAGAGAAAAAACCCAGTACATTCTGCTCAATTACATATACAGGCAAAATAACAACAAAAATTGCCAAACACATAAAAAAAAGGAATAACACCAGCTTTCCGAACAAATAATAACCTAGGCAAATATATTAAAAATAACAAGAGCCAAAATAAAAAACACTTAAATAGTGGTGTGTACAAACTTCAATGTGGCGACTTACATCGGTCAAACTGGTAGAAACTTTGATAAACGAATAACAGAACATTAAAGGGCTTTCAAGAATAGAAAAACAGATTCGACATACGCACTTCACCTTCTAGATCATAATCATTCTTGTAATGACAAATTTAAAATTCTTCACATTCAAAATAAAGGCCTTAAGCTATATTTGTTAGAATCTATGGAAATCAACAAACTAAAAAAACACAGATATAATTCTGAATGACCAACTTGAGACAAACAGTTCTCCCCTCCTCAACCTATTTCATTAGAGACTATAAATTTGTAAACCCAAGCCAAAAATAGATCACTTGAGAAAGGCAATCAGCCGAAACAGCTGTAGTGATAAGATTTAAAATAAATTTTGTGGAAGTTTGAAAACAAAGTTTTCAGTGTTTTATTGTTACATAAAATGAATTTCCATCAAGTAACGGTCGAATCCATCAATTATTCAAAAATTAAAAGCTTATATAGGGCATTTATATCGCAAAACTATCGCAAAAAGTGAATTTTTTTGTTTCATGGTTTTTGAAGGTACTACAGATAGTACGGTTAAATATTTAAAAAGTTTAAATTATGCTACAACCTATTTTGTTACAGTCAATTAACGTGAGAGAGATACTATCTTGTTAACAGGAAAATTATCTATCTCATAAACATCACTTCAAGTCAAAGGTATTATACATTTTTGAAATCAGTACAAAAAGGAGAATCTAAATATAAAATAAAAAAAGGGGGAAGTAATTTTAAAAAATAAAGGGTTGATACAGGGGGTGAGAGGGTGCATTTCCCAGCAACCTTAAATATGATATAATGTCTCCCCCTTCAAAAATTAATTGACGTGTTTTTGCGTTTTTACAAAAAATTAGAGGTTCAAAAGTTATTTAAGGTGGGTAGTTTTATCTGCAAAGTACTGTATATTAAATTTCAAGTACTTCTCCCCAATTTATTTTAAGATGAATACTTCTTTATCTGTACACTATCTTCCAGTAAGGAAACGTTAATGGTTTATTTTCCAAATTTATCTTGTGTTCTGTTGGTTCCTGCAGAATTTTAGTTTTAAGTTGCAGGGTGATATTTAACAAATTAATTGGTTTTATCATTTCTGATCCACAATATTTTAGCAGTTCACTTGGTTTTCCACCTTTGCCTACAGTTTTTCTATTCTTTAGCTTTTTAAGTGTTTCTGAACTTCCTGTTTTATATTGATTTCTTCGTTTGTCTGATTTTTGATCTTTTTGGTTCTAACGTCATTTGTTATTCCTCTGTATATATCTGTGCTAGACAGTCAATCAATGTATCATTTTCTATGTGCTTCAGATGTATTAGTTTCTTCACCTCTTTGCTTTTGTCTTTTAAATATAAATATGTTTTAAAGGCCATCAAATAATATTTCATTTCTTTTGAAAAACGTCCCCAGTGATCATTGTTTATTCTCCTTGCAAAAGCATATGTTTTATTTCATATTGTCTTGTAATTATGATATGGATTTTACGGTATTTCTGTGCAGAACTATAAAGTATTTTTTTTTAAAGAAAAAAAAGTTAAAAACCTGAATTTTACCTACTTGTTTCACTCCTCTTGTCTCCTAACGTTGCTAGGACAGAGTAGCTATGTAAAAAGAATTTAGTGTAGTTCTTAATTTTTTTTATATTCTACCATCCTCTTAAGGCTTGAGGCCATCTCTAGTCTCAAATAGCTTTAGGCGATTGATCGTATTAGCCTCCTTGTACTTGTTATATAAATTTTATAAAGTATTAGCAGCACCACTTCTTCTTCCGGTTTCTTTCGCAATACCGAAAAATTATCTAACTTAATTTCACCTCATATTTTTGTATATCTATAGTTTTGTCTATTAGTTTTTTAATTACGAGTATTTGTTTCTCTCTCGTGTTTAATGATATTACATTGTCCTCTTTGTTGCGTTAGACGTCATTGATCATACGAGCTGAAATGCTCTTCCGAGGCATAATACTATTTCTATAAGCTGTCCTACTAGTAGACTGTGGGCTTATAGTTTATTAATGGGGTGTAGACGTGGATGTTTTAAGTATAGTGAATATTATAAATGTACATCATATTCAATTCATTTCTTCAAGCATTTAAACGTCGACACAATTTAAAGATTTACGTTTTTAAATTTAAACAACCTGCTTCTAAAAGTCTATTTTTCTATTTCATTTATTTTCTGTATAAATAAGTTTCTTATTGCCTGCCCGATCCTTATATCACTGACCAAATCCTTGGTTTTTCGAATAGAAAAAAAGAAGTATCTTTTCGCTTATATTAGCCTCATTTTGCCCATCATAATAAGTTGAAGAATATTATATCGGTCTCCCCTTATTACGTGTCCAAAATAGGCCATCTTTCTACATTTGATGTTATCAAGCAGCTCGCTAGCAGCATTTTCTCTCTCAAGGACTGCCACATTTATCAGCATAGCCGTCCATAGAATTTTTAGTATACGTCTGTGCAGCCACATTTCAAAGGCCTCCAGACGATTAATGGTGGATATTTTTAATGTTCATGCTTAGACACCGTATAAAAGGACTGACCAAGTGTAGCATTTAACCATGTGCTTTTGAAGTTGAAGTTATCATTACAGAAGAATGACCTCATTTTTAAATATGTCGTGCGGGCTATCTCGATTCTACATTTTATCTCTTGATCTGGAGCCAGTTGTTCAGTAATATGGCAACCAAGATAATTAAAACTGGACACTCTTTGAATTATATGACCATCAACATATAATCGGGCATCTTGATGTGCTAAACGGCTAAACACCATGTGTTTTGTTTTTGAACAGTTTATGTTTAGGCCAAACTCTCTTCACACTCTATCAATGGCATTTAAAAGACATTGTAGTCCCACTCATGTCATCACTTAAAATATACGAAGAATGTTGCGTTTCGATTTAATTTGAGTCTCTTACCACTCCCTGACACGTGTTTCTGGGTCTACCCGTCATCAGAAGGAGTTTGTAAGAAGACTCAAACCAAATCAAAACGCACCGATTACTCTGGCAATTACATAAAAATAACTATCAGAGTATGCAACTAGAGTCCTCTAGTGAGAAAAGATGAAGATACGTCGATAGCAATTAAAGTAAACTGTATACCCAAGCTTAAACAAGCTATTCAGAGCGGTACTGAGAATAAATATTTCACTATGTACCAACAATTTACCCATATAAATTACCATCAATTTTGTACTCATTGCGTCGAGTAGGGACGATAAATATACGAAGAATGTTGTGTTACGATTTAATTTGAGTCTCTTACCACTCCCTGACACGTGTTTCTGGGTCTACCCGTCATCAGAAGGAGTTTGTAAGAAGACTCAAACCAAATCAAAACGCACCGATTACTCTGGCAATTACATAAAAATAACTATCAGAGTATGCAACTAGAATCCTCTAGTGAGGAAAGATGAAGATACGTCGATAGCAATTAAACTTAAAATAACTGTATCGTTGGCATATCTGATTGTATTTATCAGAATTCCATTAACTTTCACGCCCCATTCCAAATTATGCAGCGCTTCTTTAAATATTCTATGTCTGACACCTCTTTGTATTTAACATATTTTTGTTGATTTTCCGTTTATGCAAGCTGTCGCTGTTTGACGCCAGTATAACTTTTCTATGAATCGTATGCCTTGACTATTAACTCCTTTATCTTTTAATATTGTAATTAATTTGTGATGCTGTACTCGATCAAAGGCCTTTTCATAGTCAATAAATACAGCAAAGACGTCTTTCCTTTGATCTCGACATTTCCGCAGTAATACATTTAGTGCAAAGAGGGCGTCCCGAGTTCTCAGTCCATTTCTGAAGCCAAATTGTGTTTCATCCTGGTCTTCTTCACATTTATCTCTGATTCTACTGTGGATGATGCGTAGAAATATTTTCAAAGTGTGGCTCATAAGGCTTATCATTCTATAATCGCTACAGTTTTTCGGACGTTGTTTTTTTGATAGTATTATGAATTCGCACTTTAACCAATCTTCAGGGATATCACCAGTCGATGAAAACTTGACCAGTATTCCAATGTTACAATTATAGGAGAGAAGAATGTCATTTCTGTAAAACTTTTTAATAAATTCAATTAGGTGCTGATGACCTTTTATTACTTTTGGATGATTTTTACGTCACCAAAAGGAACTATTTATTTTGGAGTTAAGTTCCTGTATTTTGTCAGATCTTTTTTGTGCTGGGAGTTTTGACATAAAAACATCACAAATAGAATGGATAGGCACGTAAATTAAATTGTATAAAGATGCATTTGCTCGTGGCCTAGCTACAGGCTTAAAAACTCGTGCAGCTCGTGGTACTCGCTTTGTCTTCCTACTTGTAGAAGGTAAAAATGGCTTTGTGAATGGAGCAGAACTGACCTTTCTGACAAAGAAAATCCCCCAAGATTACCATGCCGAAATGTATGGTCCACTCTGCGAAATTTAATTTAAGCATAACCTAATTCCTAATTTGCTAGCAGAAGCAGTTGTGATGATGTATAATGCTCCTTATCATAGCAGAAAATTAACAGAAAACATGGCTTCTATCGTAAGATATATTTTTTAAAGAAAATTAATTAAAAACAGAACTGTTAAAAGTTGTCAACAGTTATAGGGCAAATCACGATCGATATAATATAATTGAAGATATTGTACAACACAATTTGAAAATTCTCCGTCTTCCGCCCTATCACTGTAAGCTCAACCCCATAGAGTTGGTATGAGGCGACGTAAAAAGATATATTGCGGCAAAAAACAATACTTTTAAAAAAGAAATTAGGAATTTAATTACGGAAGTGTACTTACTAATTGTCCAAGAAAAATGTAAAAATTATGCAAAATACGTAATAGGAGAAAAAATGGACATGTGGAGACACGCAACCTGATGGATGATGATATTCAACCAACTATTATAGAAATTAGTAGGACAGAGAGTGACAGCGATTTTACATGTAGTGACAGGAACGAAGCTGATGAACAGTAACGTAAGCTATTATGTTTAATTTATAATTTAAAAATATTTTATTTATGCGCGAGAAGATAATGCGATTTTATCGTCGTGTGCAATACAACATTTTTTTCTATAGCAAGACTTCAAGTTCAGGTGAAAAATAGAATTTCAAAGAAAATTGTAATTTTTAGCACAAAAATCGCAATTGTGTTGCTCCGTTGCTAGGGATATGAATTACTCTGTCAACAAATGTCACAGAAAATCAATCCAGTACCTCGAATCAAGTGTTTAAGCAAACGAGTACAAGTTGTGATGCTCCAAAAATAGATATTTCTAATAATGTTAATTGTAAAATTTTAGTTGTTTTTAATCCTTAATGTGTTTGAATTTGTAAATTTTATTGAATAAAAAAAAGTTAAAACATTTTATCTACTCTTGCTGTTAAAGTGTCACTTTATCTACCCTTGCGGTTAAAGTGATACTTTATCTACTCAAAACAGTTGTTATAGCAACACTTTAACATTAGCAATGGAAAAAAGTAGTTTTAAACTTTAACATTATAAATGGAATAAAAAACGAGGATCTATTTATGATAATTTACAGAATTGGCTTAATATGGCAAACCTGCTTGCAATATACAACCACACTGATTTTAACGTTTGAAACGCAGTATAGATAGATACTAAACAATGGCTTCGTTATTTTAGCGCCTTCATATAAATCATGGCTGCATTATGCTTTAGCCACAATTAGAACTATAAATAATATAACCACACAACTTATGTGGATACAAATAGAGGATTGACGTAGCATAGAACAAACTTTTCATAATCTCGTTCATGTTTTGAACAGAAAAGAACTATTAATCCATAATAATAATATATTTTTTTATTTTAATTTACCTCGAACTGGAACTTTGTATCTGCAGCAATTTTATCTTCTTGGCTATCAGAAGCTGGCACGTAGGCGCTTGTATCAACAACAATAGATATTTTTCCTTAAAGGAATACATATTGTAATTAAAATAAATTAAAAGAATATAATTTAAAAGAATTGTTACAAAAAATAAATATACGTACCGTTCTGACTAGGTCTAAATTCTTTATCATATACATGCCAGGCTCTAGCATGAGCCCTAAGCAAATTATGAGCACAGCTATATTCAAGAAGTCCCTCCGAATGAACAGCGGGTGGATAGTACCCGTAGCCGTATCCTCCCATACAAGTCTGCCTCGGTTCATTAAAAGTGATCCAATACTTAACTTGTTCTCCGAAGTTCTGAAAGAGTACTCTGGCGTAATTAGGGAACCAATTTTGGATGTCTGGGTTCTGAAAACCCCCCAGCTTTTCAAGAGTTAGAGGTAGGTCCCAATGGGATATGGTTACTAAGGGTTCTATACCATTGTCTCTGAGTTCGTTAATAAGGTTTCGATAGTATGTTATTCCTGCTTCATTAATTTGGTCTGGGTAACCTAAAAATTCATTGATAAATATTGTGCATAAACAGCAACAAAGAAAAGAGAAAGTACTAGAAAATGCATCAATCGCATAACAAATTCTTCTATTGGAAATGGGTTTTGTACAAAGTCATGAAGATTTTATCATTTAAAACACTTCAAGATTGCCGAACTATGGAGACGCATTTGTCTAGAAGTGGATGCAAATAGACTGAAGTAGAAGACACACGCATACTCAGACGCACATGCGCATGTACAGGCACTCGCTCACACATAAACACATATACCTACACATTAGACATCGCTATAAATTATTTAAACAATATGCCAGATACTGCATATCTCTCAAGTGTAATCAAATAATATTGTTAGATAAATTAAATATAGAAAGTACTAACATATTCCATTTGTAATTTAAATTGTTTATTATATTTATTTTATTTCTTTTTTTATTATCTGCATCAAACTTACAAGAATATAAAATATTTATCTGTTCAAAAACATAAAATCTAATGTATTTACAAGTGCTTCTAAGTGTTTCAATGCGTTAACATTATTAATAGTATTTTGATATAATATTAACAGACTTATCAGACTTCGAATAAAGGTGTTAACCGATGCAGTTCCCAAAAAGAAACTATTAAAAATATGTAGAGCAGCGTTTTTCCATGTGTGCTTCACGGAGTCCCGGTACCCCGCAAATTCTTTGTTAAGGCTGCGCTCTTAGCCACAACAAAATGAATACATCTATTGAAGGGAAACCTATAAAACTAAAGTTACCGAAGAAGAAAAATAAACTGCTAAATCTAGCGTTAAAGGGTTAATAATACGTTAATGTATAAATTTAATAGATATATATATATATATATATATATATATATATATATATATATATATATATATATATATATTGTTGTACTTTTGAATGTCCATTAGCAATAAAAAACCGATATACAAATTTTATTACTTAAATAAAAATTAAAATTATTGATATTTCATAAAGACACGGGCATATAAATTTTCAAACATCCTGTATAAGACAAAATATGTATTTTAAGTTGTTCGAAGAATTGTTCATTAGGCCTCAGAGACAAGACTTTCAAATATTATCGATAAGAAATTTAAATAAGTCGGTTATTGTGGCATGGATTTACCCGGAAATAAAGTGTATATAGACAGTGTTTAAACAATAGACCGGGATTTGCGGTGGTTTTTCTCCCCGAAAGATTATATCGGTAAAAGTTTATTAACAAAAGACATTGAATTGAGAAACAGGTATCGTTTGTAGCTATTAGTAAGAAATATTTGTAAAGCAGATAGATTTAGTTAGAATAATTAAAGAATGTTGTTTTCTGGAATTACCCGAATGACGTTTTATAGAGAGAGTTGGTTGGTAACGATATACGTCACAGAGGTGGATGATTTTTATTGGTCAATTTTTGAATGCAAGGAGGTAGTGGTTTTGGCTATGAGATAGGAGAGAGGAAAAGAGTTAGTCAGTTTTCGTCGCCCAAGAAGGAAGGAGCTTTGTGGTTTGTGTTTGTTTGAAGTCCCGAAGACGTAATTTACCGGGTGTGTTTATTTGCTGTGTAAAAGCTGATCAGTGTAAGGAACGGGGTACAGAGAGATAGAAAAACCAAAGGGTATAAGAATATTAATATCAGACGAAGCCGGAAACATTTGAAGTTATAAACAGGCGCGGAGATTCGCTCAAAAGGAGGCTGCATAGAATTACACGAGTTGTTGGGTTGCAGATACAAGGACAGATAGGAGAAAGGTGTACGTCATCTGGACCACAATAGGAGCAGAAGCAGAGAAAGGTTTTTTTTTATGGCGTGGCCATAGAATTACAACGGCAGAGAACGAAAGGTCAGTCAATTTTCATTAGAGCAGGAGTGTGGTTTTCATTTATTAATTAAATAAATTGAATAAATAATAGAGACAGTTAATTTTGCGATCATTTAAAGAAAAAAATTATAAAGAGAGCTTAGTTATAACACATATTAAAAATCAATGTAAAATAACATTTGGGTCCATGATAGAAAACAACTTCTCATATATATTTAAAGTATTATATTGCAAATATTACAGGATTGATTGTTATATAAAATTTCATTAAAATAAAGGACATCTCACATATAGTTCAGTTGAAATTCTGTGTATTTTATTCAGGTCATATTACCTATCCCAATTAGGAAGCCAATTGGAAAATATTTTGAATCCACGATCAAAGGTAAATAGTACAAGTTAAATAGCCTGAGATTGTAATTAATTAATGCTGATTTATTGTGATTAATTGGAGATTAGATCATTTAATAAATATAGACAGGATCTTTTCTAAATAAGCAATAGAATACAATTTAAATAGCATAACAATATATATATATATATATATATATATATATATATATATATATATATATATATATATATACATATATAGCAAAACTGGTAAGATTATCGACCGAAACGTAAATAACAATTTATTGTGTTGGAATATCGGGTATGCGGTCTGTTATTATTTAAAAAAAACTCTTTTTTCTTTTAATCCTCTATATTTCGCTGATTTTTTGTCAGCTTCATCAGGAGACAACTAAAATATGATTAAAAGTTATATAAAAATCAGTTTAGAATAAACAATGACTCACTTACAGATTTAGAGTGGAAAGTATTTAAACAAGTTGTTGAACATAATTTGTTCAAAACAGTACTGACAGTATTGGTTAAAAGCACCTAGGTCACTAGTAATTCAATATAAAAACAGAGCAAACAAAAACAACCAAGAAACAATTAAAATACAATAAAATTACACATTAAAAATATACAGGGTGATTTAAAATATAATTGTTAACAGAAAAATTATTTGGACATACCAAGAATATTACAGTAGACATTGCTCAACTGTCCCATGTCTGCCTTGTAATTTACTGCATAGTTTTCTCTATTTATATGACACATTTCCAAAAACAATCTTTTTTTATAATTATTTTCTTGCTGTAGAACACTGACATTTGAGTAGTCAAATTGATGGCCAGTTTTAAGTGACCATTTAAGACCATCACTTATACTAATAACCTAAATACTAAATAGTGCTTTTATGGTTTCAAGGTTATTGCGGAACCCCAACTGCGGGTCACCAAGTTGTACTTCTATTTTTTGACACATCCTTGAGTAAAGAATTCAAAGAAATATTTTTAAAACATGGCTCATCAAGTTGCTTGTTAGGTAGTCACTACATCTTTTCGCATTCGCTTTTTTAGATGTCGTCGATAGCAACTAATCCGTTGATATATAGTCAGTTTCATAAATTTTATTGTAAGGGTTAAGTAGAGAACTTTTACCTGAACTTTCCAAGAGTTTTATTATTTCACTTGGCAGTTCATCCGGCCCCGTCGCTTTTCTTGTCTTATCTAATCTTTTTGCTCGTTTAATTTCGTTCATAGTTATATAAGGTTCTATCACTACTTCTTTAATTTTAAGATTAAGTCTTTCATCATTAAATATACTACACTCCAAAATTAACGCATAATTTTAAAAACCCTGGTAAATCAAATAATTTTAATGTTTCGACTTTTGTGCTAATATATTATTGTTACCCCTGGTATATTGTAAAATTGATCGAAAGAACAGTAAAAAACTCAGATGTTTTTACCATTTTTTGCAAAAAAATTAAAAACATGCTAATTGTGCTTCATTTTATTTCGAATTTAGTTGGGTTTGATTGCGTTGTGCTGAACGTTTAAAGGGGTTTTTCAAGTTTATTAAGTGTTTTTTCTTTGAAATAAACCAGCAACAGCAAGAAAATCAAAATTTATCAGAAAGTGCCTGTTTTAGAATCGTTACTCTTCGCGAAGAAGGATACACTCAAGTAGAACTCGCTGAACGTTTTAACGTCACCCAGTCAACCATTTCAAGAATGTTACACGTTTTTCTGTTACTGGAAGTACCTCGAGAAGACCCGTTCAAGACCGTAGAAGGGTTACAACTCCTAATCAAGACCGGTTTTTGACACTTCGTACACTGAGACAAAGGTTTGTTACCAGTACTTCTCTACAAAATGAATTTTTGGATCGTTATAACTTTAGAATCAGCCAAAATACGATTAGAAGAAGACTTGCCGAAAACGACCTACACCCTGGAAGGGCACTAATTAGCCCATTATTGACCAGAGACCATAGAAGGCAAAGATTGCATTTTGCTCGTGAACATGTTGATTGGAATAATGACCATTGGGAAAAAATATTGTTCACCGATGAATCCAGGTACTGTCTTTTTTCTGATGACAGGAGAAACCGAGTGTATAGAAGGCCTGGGGAACGCTACGCATAGTGTAACACCGTAGGGACTGTACAGTATGGCGACGGCTCGATAATGGTGTGGGGTGGGATTAATTTAGAGGCTCGTACGGAATTAGTTAAAATAGATCGCGGTCGGCTTACATCGCAGAGGTATATAACAGATATTTTAGAAAAGCATGTCGTGCCATTTGCACCATTTATTGGGGATAATTTCATGCGTATGCAAGATAATGCCAGGCCACATACAACAAGAATTGTGCAGCAGTATCGTCAGGAGGTTGGAATTCCTGCCATGGATTGGCCTGCGAGAAGACCTGACCTCAACCCAATAGGACATGTTTGAGACATCATAGGCAGACGACTACAACAACTACCTAATGCACCAAACACATTAGCTAAACTGTTTTTGCGGATGGTTCAAATTTGGGATCAAATTGAACAAGCGGAAATCATAACGATTATTCTCAGTATGAGAGATCGTTGTCAAGCAGTAATAAATGCCAGAGGATGCAATACTAGATACTAGTACACGGTACTAGTATTTTTTTCAACTTTAAAAATTTCAATTTCGTTATTAATTTATAATGTTAGCTTGTTTAGATCAGTCTTATGTTTAGATGTTTAGATTTATGATGTTATATTGTTAATTTCAATATATATTTTAAAAAAAAAGAAAAGTTTTTTTATTTAAGATGTTCTAAAACAACCATAAAGCAGAAAATAACAAACAAAAAATTTTTCATTACAGCTCAGAATAAGAATTTTGAAAGTGTGCGTTAATTTTTTAGTGCAGTGTAGTTTCTCAATGTATTCTTTTTATCTGTCTATTTTATCCAATTCAGCGATAATCAGTTTACCATCTCTATCACCAATTTTATTTATTTGTTTTTTTGTACTGGTATGGGTTTTTTGTAACGTAGACATAAAATGATGTATTCTCGATGAAAACTCTGCAAAATATCTTTCTAGGCTACCGTTTTCTGATGATACAGTTTTGCATCGGATTGGGATCTCGTAGGATACATAAAACAAAAACAGGTTGCACAGCTTCTAAATACTAAATAACTTCGTCTTAAAGTTGGATAAGAAGACTGATGCCGCTGAACTGAATATCTTGCTACAGTAGTAATTGTTCGATATCCATATAAATATTTCCTCGAAGAAGATTTTGCTTATGTGTTCATCGCTGCTTACTAAAATAACCGGTGAAGAAAATTTTAACAATATTCGCATATTTTTTTAAGAAAACGATTAAAATGATTAAAATAACATTTGTACCAATGAAGCTAACTAAGGAGATGACGGATATAACAGCAAAAGCAGTATCACGAATAAAATGAAAGGGCCAAATTTTAATTCCACTCATTGCATCCTGTATAGACAATCACTCTTGCTAAAGAAAATGCAGCCAAATCTAAAATTGGTTCTTAATGAGGCGGCAAAAATAATTTATTTTGTTAACTCACGACTACTACAATCTCGAATGTTCTCAATATTATGTAAAGATTATGGTAGCAATTATAAAAGACTACTACACCATACCAAAAGTGGAATGGTTGTCACGGGTTAAGACTTTGAGATTTTTATACTATAAACAGAATTACAAGCTTTTTTGACAGATATTCCTTTTAATTTACATTTAAAATTTTTAGCAGACATGTTGAAAAACTTAACAATTAAACCTGTCACTACAAGAAAAACAGAAAATATGTTTCAATGTTAACAAGATAACCGTCTTTTAAAAAAAATTGGATTGTTTTGGATTACTTGTTTGGGTAAGAGAGAAACCAAAAGCTTTTAATTATTAAGTAAGTTTCTTAGTCACCGAATAGTCTCAGAGATACAGAAATGTTTTAAAATAAAACATTTGTTGGATTGGTATAACATCGCAATAATCTACAAACAGCTTTTGAATATTACATTTCTGAAAAAACTTTTTGCAGAATCCTAAAAATATATCAAATCAGATCTAGAAATCATTTTTAAAAATCACATTAGACACAAACATGTAATTATTATTCAGAACAATTTCATTGAATGATTTTTGGTACACGGTTCATGATGAATATCTACAACTTCCCACGGAGGCTTTGAATATGCTCCTGCTATTTTCAATAACATACTTGTGTGAAACCAGATTTTTAGCATTATAGAGTTTTATAAATAAAAAACATGTGACCTTATTTTATCCATTTTGGCACATGAGCTTCTTTATTCCTTTGGTCGTCCATCTTATTCCAATCTATTTTTTAAAATATCGTCACTCTACCGTATCTCAGTTTTTATTATTTTTTTTTAATTTTTTTTGTATTTTTGCCGTTATTTTTCATCCACCTTTCTTCTCTCTATTGTGATGATAGCTGATGATGAATAATGTGAGCTGCAAATTTCTGTCTAACTTTACCAGTTTCTCTTTTTTTATGCATACCTGCTGGTCTAATTCATTCATATCTGATTTTAAGTTTTATCTGCATCACTTGTCTTTGCGTTCATCTTTACATCCTTGCATTTTCTAAAATTAATTAAATACTCTCCTTTAAATATATTCTGAGTATTTTTTGTTTATCAATGTTGTCTTAACTTTTTTTCCAAACCAGTCTAATTCGTGTTTTAATTTAGTTTAATCTTTTTTGGATATAATATGTTATAAAGACTATTAAAATTAATTCATCCGTATATTGCAGATGATTCAGGGTGTTATTCATTTAATGTAGTAAGTACATTGTTCCTTCACGCGCTAGATGGTTTGTTAATAATTAAAGCTAACAAATGCATGATTTTATTTGTTGAAAAAAAAACAAGCAATTATTTTATTAGTCTTATATATTAACTTACCAGTAGGAAGAATTCTGGACCATGAAATGGAAAATCTATAATGCTTAACACCCATAGCTTTTAGAATTTGAACATCTTCCTTATATTTGTAGTAAGATAGACATGCAACATCACCATTGCTTCTGTCCGGAGTAAACGCGGGGTTTTCGTGTGTCATGTTATCCCAAATGCTTGGAGTCCTTCCGTCTACATTCCAAGCACCTGTAAAATTTTATAATATTAAAAATTACGATTCGAAATATATTTTTAGATTTAATATAAACAAGCACATGCAACGAGAAAAATCACTATGTGATAAATACATACTATAGGGTATAGGGTAAAATAGAAATCGACGCTCTTTTCTAATGTAGGCGAAATGGGGGAGGTATTAGATCTACAGAGTTAATTATAATAATAATTCTTTTTCTTCTAGTGCCGTGTCCACCAATGAAGGTTGGCTATAACCATTGCAAAGTCGTCTCTATCTTCTGCTTTTCTTAAGAGCGTCTGTGTGTTTAACCCGGTCCAGTCGCGAATGTTTTTCAGCCAGGATATTTGTCGTCTACCAGGCCCCCTTTTTCTTCGAATTTTTCCTTCATAATCAGCTGCAACAACTCGTACTTATCATTTCTAAGTATGTGCCCCAAATATGCTGTCTTTCGCCTTTTAATGGTGGTCAAAAGTTCTCTGCTTCTTCCCATTCTATGCAACACCATTTCGTTCGTAATATGATCGGTCCATGGTATCTTTAAAATTCTCCTAAAAAGCCACATCTCAAAAGCTTCCAGTTTTTATGCATAATAATAATAATATAAAAATATTCACATTTTACCAGATGTAATTTTTGTCATTAAGATCGGTCTCAGATTACAATATGTCACCGATTTATGTTTGACTAAAACTCAAAATGATTTAAATTGAAATGAAATCGTAGGCTTCCACGGCCAGAGTCAGAATTATAGTTTATTCGTCTTCCGGGTTTGGACCGTGTCATTTGTGAGTGACCCAAAAGTGGGTTCATCTCGACGTTTCGCTACAATTGTATGTAGCTTCTTCAGGAGACAAAGAAAAAGGAAAAAGAAAGAAAGAAAAGAAATCAAAGGACAGGAAGATGGGTAGTTAGCAACGGTAACTCAGTTACTCAACGCAACCAGAGGCGAATACTAACTACCAAGATGGGCATTTGGTCACAGTAACTCAACTACTCAACGCAGCCAGAGGTGAAAACCAAATGCCAGGACAGGGATTCACGTCCAACAGCTCAGAACACTAACGCGTCGAGAGGCGGGGAGTGAATCCGACGATTACTCCGCTACCGCTCTATTTATAGTCGCGGTGACCTGTCGTGTCGGGACGTATCGGCACACTTCGTGGCGCGAACGTCAAGAAGCGCGCGCTGGCCAATCATGTGGCTGCATCGTGGTAGCGGGACCGGACGGTGGCTCTAGACTGAGATTCCAGATGGGAGACAAGTAGTATCCTTCCTCTCGATTGATATTATGTGGATTTTTTCGGATCTCTAGAGATTCGCGGATTTTTCTGGAATAAAAGAAGGGGCTCTTAGAAATAATATGGGTTTTTTCGAACAATATGGAATGACTGTTAGACCTCATTTCCTATCATCAAGCCGATAAAATCCTTCTTCTAAGCAACGAAACTCACAAAAAGAAATTCCAATCCCTTGTATCTAAGAAAAAATCACATTCCACCACTTCTACTTCTCATTCACCTCTTACTAACACCGTCGTTAATCTTTCTTCTCACCAATTAACAAGTGCAGAAAGCAGTCTTCTATCTAAAGGTCTTAATTTTGCTATCACTCCTTCCAGAATTCCTACCGAAGAAATAGTTTCAAATGTGGAAGCGGCACTCCGCACAATTCCCAAAATTCCAGCCGACCGTATCCGCTTTGACGTCGCTAAATGTCTTGATACAGCCAAAATCCCTACTTCCAATATATCTCGTGAGGAATTCATAGCTCTCAAAAATCTCCGTTCTCTTTCTGAGATAATAATCCTTCCTGCAGACAAAGGTAATGCCACAGTCATCCTGGATACTCCTTCCTACATAGAGAAAGTAAACGACTTACTTAGGGATACATCCTGTTATAATACAATTTCTCGAGACCCCACTCCTAGAGTCGAACGCGAAATTTCCCATGCCATCAAACAATCCGATCTTTCCGATGATGTTAAGAAGTCCATAGTTCCGAAAAACTCCATCTGCCCCAGAATTTACGGTCTTCCCAAAATCCATAAAGACAACGTACCTCTTCGTCCCATTGTGACTACGATTAACTCTCCTACCTACAAACTCGCAAAGTACTTGTCGAATCAGTTTAAGACCTATACTGGTCGTACCTCTTCTTATGTCCGAAATTCCACACATTTCATCACCTTAATCTCCTCCCTCACGGTCGATCCCCAAGACATTCTCGTCAGTTTCGATGTATCATCCCTATTTACCAATATCCCCATACATGACTCTCTAGTTGTTCTGCGAGATCACTTGACCAATGATAACAAGTCTTTGGTTTTGGCAGATCTTGCAGAAAAATGCCTCCTTTCAACATATTTTTCTTTTAGAGGCAATTTCTACAAACAAATATCTGGAACACCAATGGGTTCTCCCCTTTCCCCTGTCATTGCTGACATTTTCATGGAAGCCTTTGAGTCTTTAGCCCTAGAATCTTACCCCTTAAAACCAAAAGTCTGGTTCCGCTACGTTGATGATACATTTATCATCTGGCCCCATGGTCAACATACCCTTTCTCCCTTCCTAGATCATCTTAACTCACAACATCCGAGTATAAAATTCACAATGGAAGTAGAAAATAATCGGTCCCTTCCCTTTCTCGATGTGTTAGTCACCTCCAAGCCCAATGGCCGATTGGGTCACTCTGTTTATAGAAAAAAGACTCACACGAATCGTTACCTACATGCTTCATCACACCACCATCCTGCCCAAAAGAATTCTGTGATCAACTCTCTCATCCATCGGGCCATTTCGATTTCTGAACCCGACAACCTTAGAGAAGAACTTGGCCATCTGCAAAAAACCCTTGTCGCCAACGGTTACTCCAAGTCCACAATTCAAAATATTACACACCGACATCTACATCCCCCTTTACACCCTAGGACGACAAATTCAGAATCTTCGGGTAATACTCCTGTGGCTTTTCTTCCGTATATTCGAAGCGTCACTGATAGGATTGGCAAAATTCTTCGCAAAGAAGGTATCAGGACTACTTTTCGACCACCCAAGAAAATCTCACAATATCTACCCTCTCCTAAGGACCCATTACCGCCCCTATCTTCCTGTGGTGTCTATTCTATTCCTTGTTCATGTGGACATGTGTATATTGGCGAAACTGGTCGTTCCGTCAAAACTCGGATTCAAGAGCATCAAAGATGCATTCGATCAGGTCTTTTCTCCCATTCTGCAGTTGCAGAACACTGCCAAGAAACCGGTCATTCCATATTGTTCGAAAAAACCCATATTATTTCTAAGAGCCCCTTCTTTTATTCCAGGAAAATCCGCGAATCTCTAGAGATCCGAAAAAATCCACATAATATCAATCGAGAGGAAGGATACTACTTGTCTCCCATCTGGAATCTCAGTCTAGAGCCGCCGTCCGGTCCCGCTACCACGATGCAGCCACATGATTGGCCAGCGCGCGCTTCTTGACGTTCGCGCCACGAAGTGTGCCGATACGTCCCGACACGACAGGTCACCGCGACTATAAATAGAGCGGTAGCGGAGTAATCGTCGGATTCACTCCCCGCCTCTCGACGCGTTAGTGTTCTGAGCTGTTGGACGTGAATCCCTGTCCTGGCATTTGGTTTTCACCTCTGGCTGCGTTGAGTAGTTGAGTTACTGTGACCAAATGCCCATCTTGGTAGTTAGTATTCGCCTCTGGTTGCGTTGAGTAACTGAGTTACCGTTGCTAACTACCCATCTTCCTGTCCTTTGATTTCTTTTTCTTTCTTTTTCTTTTTCTTTGTTCTCCTGAAGAAGCTACATACAATTGTAGCGAAACGTCGAGATGAACCCACTTTTGGGTCACTCACAAATGACACGGTCCAAACCCGGAAGACGAATAAACTATAATTATGATTTAAATTAATCAAATCATAAATCTATCGATTATTGAGTGCTACAAAATGCATAATAACAGCCTTTATTAATGTAAGAAAGACAATATGATAAAAGAGCTAGAAATGACAAAAAAACTTATTCTTTTTCTTCTTCCTTTATTTGGGCATACTGTCTGTTTTCCGTCTACATTGCCGTTTATGCTATTAGAATCTGATCAATTATGATTGCGTCTCCTTCTAGGTTTACCTGTACTACTTTTTACTATTGGTGACTTATTTCAATAAATTTACTCAAATCTATTCTGCTTTCTGCGACAAAAAATAATCAAGTTTTGGGACCAAATAAGTGGACACGGGGGAAACGAATAGGAAGCCTTCTTGTTGACACTCTGTGTATAAATGAAGGCAGTGCTTTAGAAGTGATGCCACACGTACAGTGGTTATTTTGCTTAATAACAGAGGAGGGTCTGGTTTAGCAGGTGTTCAGCGTAGACTCGGTGACGAGAAGGCGTTTTAAAGTACTTCTGGAACTATCACCGGGAGTGCGAAGAACGTATCTGACACTAAGGTCAGTTAGGCTGCGTTCTGGACTGAGATATCTTTTGAAGAGTCCAGAGTCCCCACCCCGTCTATTAATATGTTGATTCTTCACTTTTATCTTGCACCATTTATTTCCATTGTCTATCATGCACACGTTTTTATCAATATATTTCTTGATTGCCCACCTTTTCCAGTTACTTTTCTTAAGATTCTAATTTCATTAGTTTCCAAGTATGTTTGTGTTGAGCCAGTTTTGGGTCGTGTTTCTGAGGGTTTGTATGCGCATATTTGTTTCTTTATTCAAGTGCTTGTTTCTACATATTGAGTCGTTAAAGCATTGATTATGTCAGTTTTTGCCTCGTTACTTGCTCAATAGTTTTGCCACTGATAACTTGATTGTAAGGTATTTAAATTTGATTACTTATATTACCATCTGGTTTTTAACTTTAAGAGTGCAACTTATTGGTTGTGTTGATAGTACTAGTATTTCTGTTTGATTTGGGAACCACATTTTTAAGTTGAATTTCTTAGCCTTAGTATTAAACTGATCTATTACATCGTCTTTATTTCCCATTATTAGAACTGCGTCACCTGCATACTATCTTCATTTGCTTTATTTTGTTTCCCATTGGATATCCTTTTTTATTTTGTAATGGTTTTATCAAGTTAATAAATTGTAGAATAAATCTGCCAACACTAGACAACTGAATATCATGGAAAAGTTAGGACCACATAAAGCGGAGCAAATAATTACCTATTTTGGACACCTCCTTCCACTAGCAGAATGTGCAAATTTGGGAGAAGATCGAGAAATATTTAGAAATATTGTCAATATATTAACTCATAATAACAAAATATCTATACAAGGTTAGTAAATAAGGGGATCAAATCATCTAATAAATGAAATTCTTGAAGTTAAAGATACAGTTAAAAAACTAGCCAGAATCAAATCACCCGTAATATATAATCTCCCAGCTGAATTATAAAACGAAGGTGGCCATGATACCATTATGGTATTACAGTAGCTTATAAAAAAAATATGGAAACAGAAATACCTCCACAATGATTGGAATATTGGAATACTTTGCACCATACACAAAAAGGAAATATCTTTAAATGCTCCAACCACAGAGAAATTGCGCTTCTAAATGAAGCATATCAAATATTTTTCACACTAATATGTCATCGTATGGCATCATATACAAAACGGATAGTAATAGCAGGCTGGTTACAGAGGTGGTATGTAACCCTAAAACAAGTTTTTGAGAAACACTGGAATATGGAATTGATACTCATCACATTTTTATAGACTAAAAAGCAGCCTACGACTCTGTGAACAGAAGAGAAACGTTTAAAGTAATAAAAGAGCTAGGAATACCAAATCAGTTGGTAAATTTAACAAGACTAATTCTTGAAGTTGAATGAAGAGTACGAATTCAGGGGGAACTGTTTGAACCTTTTAAAACAAATAATGGACTGCGCCAGGGAGACCCTCTCTCCTGTTCAATTTTGCCCTGGAAAAAGTAATACGTATGGCACAAATCACAATTACTGGTTTAATATAATATATATAATAAATCAGTGCAAATCCTGGGCTACGCTGATGATATCAATATTGTTGGGAGAACGAAAAACGTTGTACGAGAGGCGTATGTAGCATAAAAGAATCAGCTGCAAAAATGAGTTTAATAATAAACACTAACAAAACGAAGTATATGAAAATAAGCACGCAACTACAAGTTCTACGACTACTCGTTATAGAAAACAACGTCATCGAAGCAGTGAACGAATTTGTATACCTAGGAGCGCTCCATAACACTGAAAATAATAGTACGGCAGAGATAAGCTGCAGAATTTGCACGGTCAACACGTGCCATTTTGGGCTTAATCCCCTCCTTAAATTTAAAAATATATCGAGAAATACAAAAATAAAATTCTACGAAACAATAATACGCCCAGTCCTAACATATGGTTCAGAGACCTGGACCTGGACAAAAAATAATTAAAACATGTTGGGATGTTTCGAAAGAAAAGTAATACGGCAAATCTGTGGAGCAATGAATGACAATGGAGTTTGGAGAAGACGATACAACTTCAAACTTTATAAAATATACCAAGAACCCGATATCGTAAAACATATTACGATAAGACATCCGGGGTGGATCGGACATTTAATGCGAATGAAACAAAATGACCCACCTAGAAAACGCTCATTGATAGACCCATTGGTCAGAGAAGAAAAGGAAGACCTAGAACAAGGTTTCTTGATAACATCGATGAGACATGAGTCATCACAATACATGAGAAATATAAGAATATGTGCTTGGTGAAGAAAGGCGATGGATAGGGACGACTGGAGAGAAACTCTTGTGGAGGCTAGGAAACACGCAGGGTTGTTAAGCCAAAACGATTATGATATTAGTAGACTTAATGACTCTCCTTCTTTAATCCCAGTTGGTATTTTACTGTTCTATTTACTTTTCCTCAGCAGTTTTTCTTCAGTTTAGTTTCTTGCATACGTATTTATTATTAGCTTTATTTTATCCAGTGATACTTGTCTATTGTATAGTGGTTGTAGTTCATATAATAGTGATATCCTGTTGAAGATTTTCTCTAAGTTTATGAAACGTAGGTAGGCTAGTTTGTTGTATTGTATAGCTTTCTGAGATATTGGTCCAATTTTAAATACCATATCGGTACAGAATATTTCGCTTTGGATTTCTTATTGTTAGTCTGTAATATTAAGTAATTTTGTCAGTGTATTATATTTTCATTGCGAATTTCAGAATAATGCTTAACAGATTTGTTCCCATATTATTCGGTCATATCTGTTACGTTTCTTAAAGAGCAGATCAGCTAGGTGAAAAACTAACTTTAAAACATATAAGATAAAAGGTAGTATAAATTATTTCATCCAAATTAACAATACAAAATAATTTCAAAAAACTGTGGTGCGAGAGAATTATTTGCAACGTGCCTGGAATAAAGATTAATATTGGTATGGTAAGATGGAAGCACTAGGAGGTTTGTAATAAGAGGAGTAAACATATATAGTAAATTCAAATATAATTCTTATAACAAAGTAATCGAAGAAATTCTCAAAATTTTCTATTTTTTTTTCTTTTATGTTTATGGGAAATTATGGAAAAATGTAATTAGGGAAACAGACCTTAGATAGGGATAATGGCAAAGCGTTTAAAGATGGTGTTGATGATGATATAATAATATTCGATAAAAATAAGAATTTCTCAAATATACTGGAAAGAAATGACACAAAATATTAAATTACTTACCTTCTACTTGGTATGCAGAAGTTGCCACACCAAACATAAAGTTTTCAGGAAAACGTTTGTTGTTAGTTTCATACTCGTTACCTAAACTAGATCAAAACAAAAAATATATACAACACAAGATATTAATAGAAGAAACTTATGTAGTGTTTGTACAATGAAATGCTGTAGTTACGGTTTTATTGTAGTCTTAAAATTACTGCTTTGTTTAAAGTTACAGTTACAGAAGAATTACATTTCACAACATTTTTATTATTATTCCAACAAAAGTCAATATCATGAACTATAGCGATTATTACACAGGTCAACAATGAATTTGATGTTTTAAAATAAACATCCTTTGTTAATTTTGGTAATTTTTACCTCCTGAATCCGAAACTGACATTAGTTTTTTTCTATCACCTTCCAATTTTTCGCAAATCGAGATCTTATAAAAATTCCTTGATTATACGAAAAGTTTACATATAAAATTAGAAAAACGGTTTTTAGTGTAAATATATGGCACAAGCAGTTGTCCAAAATATTTTAATAAAATTCTGAATTGTGGCAACACTGTAAGCGGCTGCACCTCTCCAATCGTAAATAAACGCATCAAAATCAGTTGTTTGTTTTTAGCAGTTCGAGGAAGTTTATCGCTGTGTTTCGAATTAGTGCTATTTATTTGTTATTCTATTCTTTTTTCGAGCTATGGAAAGAAGACATTGTGTTAATAATGCAGACTGCTTTTGTTATATTTGTAGCAGTTTTTTGGTTGCAAAACAAAGACATAACATAACCTTATTTGTTCGTAATGAGTATCATGTCCATTTTGGAGTGAAAATAGGAGAACAAGACAAATCTTGGGCACCACATATTGTATGTAAAGTTTGTGTAGAAGATTTAAGAAGTTGGATAAAAGGAAGAAAAAAGTCATTAGGTTTTGGAGTTCTCATGGTGTGGCGTGAGCCACAAAACCATGCTGATAATTGCCACTTTTGCTCCTGCGATTTAAAGGGATTTAATAGTAAGAATAAAAAAAGTATTTTATATCCGGACCTAAAATCTGCTATTAGGCCTATTTCTCATGGCCCTGATACCTATTCCATCTATCATATAGTTAGAGAATGTGTTATCATCTGATTCGGAACAGTCTGCATTTGGGTCCACAGATACCGATGTTACTTTTGAATCAGAAGAAGGGCCACGAATATTTAATCAAATGGAATTAAACGATTTAATAAGAGACTTAAATTTTTCCAAAGATGCCTCAGAAATTATAGCCTCTACACTTCGTGATAAAAATTTGCTGGCTCCAGGTACATCAACCAGTTTCTACAAAAATCAAGAAAAGGACCTGAGTCCATATTTTACTCAAGAAGATTCTTTAGGATATTGTAACAATATCTCCGTCTTAAGCTAGGTGCTGCCTCTTCTGAAAAGGAAGAATGGCGACTATTTATTGACTCTAGCAAAAGTAGTCTAAAAGGTGTTTTACTGCACAATGGTAATACACTGGCTTCTGTTCCGGTCGCTCATTCTGTTCACCTTAAAGAAACATACAACAACTTGGAACTTCTCTTAAAAAAAATTAAATACCGAGACCATAACTGGATGCTTTGTGGAGATCTAAAAGTTCTGTGTATGCTACTTGGGCAACAGTTACGTTATACTAAATATCCTTGCTTCATTTGTGAATGGGACAGCCGAGCACGAGGTAAACATTGGACCCAAAAAGAATGGCCTACAAGAGAATGGTGTGGCTTTAGAGAAAGAGAAAACCTTACGCCATGAAGTAAAAACATAAAGCACAATGCCTTAGTTGATCGTGAAAGAATTTTATTGCCCCATCTGCACATAAAATTAGGTTTGATGAAACAGTTTGTTAAAGCTATTGACAAAATCGGAGAATGATTTAAATATATTTGTTCAAAATTTCCCAAGATGTCCGATGCAAAATTAAAAGAAGTAGTTTTTGTTGGTCCCGACATTAGATTTTTTTTGCAGAGACAAAAACTTTTAAAATTCTATGACGCTTATCGAAAAGAAAGCGTAGACTTCATTTAAAGAAATTATCGAAAAGTTCTTGGGAAATAAGAAAGTTCCAGATTATGAGAACATTGTCACACAAATGCTACAAAATTTTTGTATTCTATAGTAAAATTCATTAAGCGATACAGGGATATGTAAACATTAAATCGTGTCCGAATCTGTATGAGCTGCCGACAACGTCGGCAGACGAAATAAAGATGGACATTTCGGTTAGTTTTTAAATATTTTTTAAGAACTGTTACTTGCATTTATGCATAAAATATTTATTTATACAACTTTATAAATCGGATTATTTTTTCACTTACTATGTATTCAGTGATAACAATAATTTATTTACTATGCAATAAACACTAATATTTGAGAAAAGAAAAAAAATAATAAAGTGTCATAATTATACTGTTACTTATCGGAACGAGTAGACTCATTTGGAACATCTTTAACAATTATCTGGTAAATTTATCGTTGTTTATATGCCCTGCATCGCTTAATGAAATAAGGTATAGGATGCAATATGAGTTAAAGTACATTTTTTATTCGCTCATCTAGACCAATTTCCACGAAATCTTGTAGCTGTTAGCGAAGTGTAAGGGGAACGTTTCCACCAAGATATTAAGCAAATGTAGAGAGGATATCAAGGTAAATGGAGCGTATCCATGATGGCATATTACTGTTGGATGATACAACGTTATAATCCGACAAAATTTATAGAAACATTTCTACCAAACGCAGTTTTTTGACAAAAAGGAAAAGATTTCATTAAGTTGTGCATACAAAATATGTAGTTTTCTTTAGTTTGAGCATTACTCTTTTACTAGTGTTTTTATATTTTTTAATTTGCTAAAATATGTTAAGTAATATAATTTTTTTTTTGTAGACCTGTGTTATTTAATGACCATTAAAATATTTCTGAGAATTATACACTAAAGGATTTGAAAAAAAAATACAAAAAATTCTTCTAAGAATATGACACATACACAACATTAGATATTAAAATATGTGTTTAATGGAAGTATCCGTGCTATTGACATCCTTCATAACGGTACCCCCATAAAACGATAGCGTCCATTTCGTCGAACCTTTTCACAAACAAAAAAAATACGGTAAACGAATTATTTATGGTATATTACACATTAGCTGTTGAACATAGGGGTTGTGTTTAATGTTTAAGAGGTGTAATACTAACCAATTAACTTTTCACAAAAATTGAGTTATATGGAAAGAAACGTCATGGAATATCAAATACTTAAGTAGCAATTAATTTTATGTAATTAAATGAATGATTTATAAATAAACACGTCCGAGGAACGCAAGTTGACAATAAAATTTTCAATACCTACTTAAAAATAGTATCGATAGACGATATCATATCTCCAAATTGTCAGTATACTATGTGAGATAGATAAGAAATAATTAAAATATGGTTTAAATGTTTTGTTTCTAATGTATCAGATTAAGATATTTTAGTCTTCTTTTAAACTGAAAAAAAAATCATCAGATAAGGAGTTTTCTTGTTCGGCATTTTCCTATTAGAAGTTTACTCTTTTAACCCTCCACAGCTTTCTATCCTCTCAGTCACTTTTTCCGTAAAGGTAACTCTGAGTATCATCTTATTACCTTTATATAAATATATCCTCCATCTCATAGCTGATCTTTCTCTCCTTTTTTTTCCTGGAGGTTCCAATTCCATTACTCCTTTTGGCCACCTATGGCCAGAAATTCGTTAAACATGACTATGCGACTGTAGTGTTCCAATTTTCTGGTTATTGGGCAATCTACTTCCATTCCGTGTTATATTTCCTTAGTTCTTGTTCTATCCCTGCCGGTAAGCTAAAGATACATTTTCATAAAATTCAACTCGTCTGTTCTTGTAACATTGTGTAATCTTTTGTCCATTAATTTGGTCTAATTATTTGTTGTAAAATTTATTTCTTCCCCTTGTTTATTTCGTTTAATTTTTTACTTTTTTCTAAAATTTTGTTGACCTATTATAAATACATCTTTTCTTTTCTTTTACTAATCTTTTACTATGACTTTGTTATATTTTTCCAGATATTAGTTATTGTATTGTATCATGCGAAATACTTCTTTTGTCGCTTTTTTACTGTTTCTTTTTATGTTGATACTTTTTTTGGTTTGAGTCCATGCTTCGTTTGTACATAGCAAATTTTGCACATACTTGCACATTTTATTTGTCTATATCGCACCCTCAGCGCAAGACTGCAGTAAGTCAGAATAAGTAAGTTTTGAGATAAAGACCATTTTTTTTCGTGCTAATATCGGTGAAATAAGAGACAAGTTTTAAGAAAAATTAACATTTAATTATGATTTTGCATGCTTTTTAGCCTATGTTGCATTAACCAAAAATAGAAATTTAAATAAAATAATATTAATGCTAAAAAAAATAGGAATTTCAAAGTTACAACACTTTTGCACGGAGAAAATTGTTAATCACAACACATTTAGTATTAGAATTTTAAAGTTACAATACTTTGCACGGAGAGAAATGTGAAAAGTGTAGATACATTTTCTGTTAGTTATTGTCCTCTTCTCGTATGGGCCAAAATATTTTTATGAAAACTATGGTGGGCTTTTGGTATCATACCCGAATGGCAATAAATCATCGAGTAAGTAAAAAAAATAATCCCCAACAGCCATCGGGGTTTAGTATGGTATTAAACCTTACATTTAATATATTCGAAGAAATCAGATAGCTATCTAGAATAAATAGGTACCTTTCTATGTCTGCACATGTTTCTGATAGCCACAATTCCTTGGCTTTGTAATGACAAGGTCATAATAGGGAGAAAAATTATTTGTAAAACTTTCAATATTTTTCTTTAAATTTAAAACAAAAGGACTAATAAAAATATGCAATCAGGCTACCTTAAGTACAGTGATTAACAAAAGGATAGAAATTCACTACCTTATAAAAGTTACGGGGGGATAATATGATAAGACAATCGCCCCGGAAGGTTACATGAAGATTTAATACAATTTGGGATTTAGTTTTTATAGAACAAGTTTTCTGAGAATAGATATTTTTAACCTGTCAGTATTGTTAATACACAAGTTTTAAGATAACTATTTTCCTTTTATAAGAAAAAATACTTTTTGGCTGTAAATAATTAGTCTTAATTCGTGTGTTTTTAATCCAATCTAATAAATAAATGGTCAAATGAAATCGCACACATTTTATGGAAAATATAATGTCACACAAAGGATATAAAACTTACATAAATAAATTGATAAATCGTAAATATTTGTTTAGTGTCTCGGTTGTTAATGGATTACGTAGACATGCTGTATATTAAAATTAAACACCACAGATATAGATATTAAAATAACAAATATCTTACTTTTTTCGTGCCTTTCATTGCTTGTTATCAAAACCATTGCAATGTTCCGTGCAAAACTGTTGTAACTCTTGTTACATTAGAGTTACAACAGTTTTGCACGGAACTTATGTACAAAAACGTAAAATAGTTAAACTGTTGTTGTTGTAATATTTAGCCGGTTAAGCATTTGAAAGTTACTAAAGTTTTACAGGGGATAGATATGCATGTTTACAATCGAATTCCATGATTACTTCATTTTCATAAAATTTTGAGTTACTGCACTCTTGCACTGAGGGTACGATATATTCTTATATCCTTTTTTATAGGTGTGTTATATCTTCTTAATACTAGTAAGGTCCGATAAGTATAGAGCCAACAAAAAATAGTCTCCTTTTAGCTCGATACACTTAACTTAGTGATGCTCCAATTTCTTTAATCCGTCTGAAAAATACGTTTTTCCGAGTTCTGTAAAGTAGGCTTCCGTAGATGCGATGACCTCTTCATTCGGCTTAAATTTCTGCCCCGCGAGTGCCTTTTTCAAGTTTGAAAACAAAAATACGTCGCACGGGGCTAAATCTGGAGAATAGCGTGAATGAGGCAACAGTTCAATTCGATCAATTTCACCATGGCGACGGTAGAGGTACGATCCAATGCGTTGTCATGGTGAAAGAGCACTTTTTTCTTCGGCAAATGAGGTCGTTTTTTGCAATTTGATGTCAATTTGGCTCAGTAAGTAGTAGTAGAGCGCTGTTATCATTTTGTCCTTATCCAGGTAGTCGATGTAGATTACCTCTTATGAATCAGTGACAGAAAATGGTGACCATCACCTTTGCGGCTCATAGGACAGTCTTCGTCTTCTTCGGAGTACGTTCGCCGGGTGCTGTCCTCTGTTTCTGAGTACTGAGTTTTTTTAGCCTAAATATTATTTCTGCTGCCTGTTTTTGACCCTGTCTTTCACCAGTATTGGTAACCACGATAACTGTAACCGGTAACTTTTACAGGGTTCCTCAGGTTACCGGGTAGCACAACTATAAGGATCGAAAAATTTAGTGTGAGAGGCTAAGTGATGCTAACAGCAATTAGCGTCATATATTCACTTTAACACACCCTTTGCTACTCAAATGAGAAGTTTCTAGGATAACTGTGGTGTATTTCCAACATTCTAACCAGATATTTAAATAAAATTAAAGGTAACGTAAAACATTAAATTGATATTAACGACGATATTTTGAGTGACTAAAACATGAAACTGTATTCAAGAACAGAATTTAAATACCACTAATTAAAAGATCAGTACTAGAAAAGCGTTAAAAAGACTCGACAGCAAGTATACAAGTGAAGCAAACTATTAACTAAAACGTAAACAATTTAACTTACTGATAACCGGTGACTGTGGCTGCAAACAATAATAACATCAACATATTTTTGCCGTTGGAAACATCCATGCAAAAAATAAATTTTTGAAGTTTATATACTCTTTATCTATATCTTGTATCGATATCCACATAAGTATCCACTCAAGTTCACGTGTCAAGATACAAATACTTCCAGTTGCAGAGAGTATTAAAAATTGTCTTTTTAACTTGAAATATGTATATATCATAGATATTATCATAAATATTATTTGCAAGCTACTATCAATTAAATTCACAAATACCGGACTAACAAAATGTATCGGACTCAGCGTAATAGACACTTTTATAAATACACTACAATATAATTATGTCAAATCGTGAATTTTTATATATAACGTCGTAAATACCTAATGAAATACAATACATACTTTTAATTAAGCATTACTGTCCCCAACATGTGTTTTTGGTATTTTTATAGACAAACTACTGTTTTACAACAAAAAATTTACGGTAAGTTTTTTGTACCTATAATTTCAAAGATTATTAACTACTTTTTATCTTAACGTTTAATTACATAAATTAATTTTAATCTCAATATATATATATATATATATATATATATATATATATATATATATATATATATATATATATATATATATCTTCTAGTTTGCTGAGTCCATTCTTCTATTTTTTTTTGGCCTATTGGCCAATTTTGATCTATTTTCAGGCATTCTCTGAAGGTGTCCATACCAGTAAGTCTTTTGGCTTCGATTGTGTCTGTTATGTCTAGATCGATTTCCATTTCTCTCCGAATATCTTTGTTTCTCACCCTATCGAGTCTAGTGAGCTGGCAACATCGTCTCCAGTAGTTCATTTCCATGGCCTTAATTTTTGACTGGTTTCTTTGGTTTATTTCCCAGAGTTCGGCACCGTACAGCCTAATACTTTCTATTATTGTTTTATAAATTCTTCTTTTATTTTCTTTTGTTAATAACTCATCTTCCAGTTTTCTAAGCATGTAACCTACATCACTCTCGTCTTCAGCTAGAATGGCTTGATTGTCAGCGAAGTGTATCGTGTACAATCTAATCTCCGATTGGGATGCCCATATTCCAGCACTTTCTTCTCCACACTGAGAGTGCCTCATTCCGATATATTTTGAAGAGTGTAAGTGCTATGCAGCAGCCTTGCTTTAGGCCCTTACTAATAGGAATTTCTCCAGTTAATGTATTTCCTGTTTTAATGTTTGCCGTCATATTTTTTTAGCGGTAGCGGGTAGGAACTCCTTTCGGATAGTACTATCAGGGGAAGTGAATCAATCCCTGCCTTGCGCAGATTCCAGGTGTTTCCTGACCCGGGAAATTAGAACCTGCTAAGGGTCCCTTGTCCAGTGCCACGGATTAAATCCACAACGGTATCCAGGGCGGAGGAGAAGGTCTTCACAACGGTCTGGAGAGCGGAGGTGGCAGCCCAATGGTTTTAGGGATTGTATAAAACTAGCACTGAAAAGTGGCAGCTGGCTGACCTAACACTAACCATAGACAGACTGAAATGGCTGTGAATTAGACAGCATGTGACGTGGTGACATTCACAGAAGCGGCACATGTACAGCGGTGTAGAAGGCAACGGGAAACCACTACACTAATATTTCCCCAGCAAAATTACATAATGCTTATGGAACCTAAAACAACGGCCCTCAGGCCCAGGCACCTCTTAAATGAGGAGAGGGTGCTAAGAAAGAAGAAAATACAGAGGTAAAAATAAAACAACATACAAGCAAATACATAAGAATATCAGAATAAAGATCCAACAAGCCAAAGAAACCTGGCTAAGTGAAAGATGCCAAGAAATTGAAGAGTTGGAACAATGACATGATATTTTTAATCTACATTAAAAAGTAAAAGAAGCCGCTGGAATATTTAAACAAACTCCTACGTTTCATCAAAGATAAACATGGGAACCCGCTACTGAACATGGAAGAATAAATAGGTAGATGGAGAGAATACGTGGAAGAGATGTTTCAAGACCGAGAGAGGACGAACCTTTACATGCAGGAGGCATCGACTGGACAAAGCAAGAAATTATCAAAGCGGCAAATCAGATAAAGAACGGAAAAGCTGTTGGGGAAGATAATATCCCAATTAAAATAATAAAGATATTACTAGACGAACACATCGAAGTAATGGAAGATATATTTAACAAAATATACGAAACAGGCATAATACCAAATGATTGGCTGACATCGGTGTTTATACCACTACCAAAGAAGAGAAACTCCAAGAAATGTGAAGACCATAGGATTATTAGCCTGATGAATCATATATTGAAACTTTTCCTACGAGTAATACACAATAGAGTATACAATAAACTAGACGAACACACTGGTCAAACTCAGTTTGGTTTTAAGAATGGGTTCGGAACAAGAGAAGCACTTTTTTCAATACGTGTGCTAGTTGAAAGATGAAGAGATGTCGATTCTGATGTATACTTGTGTTTTATAGACTTTCAGAAGGCGTTTGACCTGGTAAAACATGATAAACTAATAGATATTTTAAGGTCATGTAATATCGACGATAAAGACTTAAGGATCATTTCAAACCTCTACCAAGAACAAAAGGCTAAAATCAGAATAAAAAGCGAAACATCTGGAAAAATCAATATCGAGAACGGAGTAAGACAGTAATGTGTCCTATCACCTTTGCTGTTCAATGTTTACTCTGAGAAGATATTTCAGAAAGCCCTGGAAGGCACCTCGGATGGTATAATTATAAACGGGCAATGTATAAATAACTTGCGATATGCTGATGACACTGTCATACTGGCAGATAATGCTGAAGCCCTGCAACGCTTAATGGACCGAGTAACGACAGCCTGTAGAGAATTTGGAATGAAATTGAATACAAAGAAGAAGAAGAAGAAGACAAAAACGATGGTCACCAGCAAGCACCAAAACTGAAGGATGAAGGTCAATGTCGACGGAACAGATCCGGAAAGAGTAACAAGAACAACGTACCTTGGAAGTAATCTTGATGAAACTTGGGACCACTCACTAGAGATAAGAATACACCTGGAAAAGGCACGTACAATGTTTTACAAAATGCAAAAAGTTCTATGCAACCGCCAGCTGGGCGTCTCATTGAGAACTAGCATACTTAAGTGCTATGTTTTCTCCACCTTGCTCTATGGTGTTAAAGCCTGGACAATGACAGAAGCAACACAAAAAAGAATCCAAGCATTCGAACTCTGGTGTTACCGTAAAATGCTCAGAATATCCTACATGAGCCATACGACTAATGCGGAAGTCTTGCGGAGGATGAATAAAGAGAGCTTATGCTTATAATAAAAGAACGGAAAACACAATATTTTGGTCACATCATAAGACATCAAAAGTATGAACTGCTCCAACTTATAATCGAAGGCAAAGTCAATAGCAAAAGAAGACCAGGAAGAAGACGCAACTCTTGGCTTAAAAACCTATGGCAATGAACGAACATGACCTCCACAGAACTATTCAGAGCTGCTACAAATAAGATTAAATGGGCAAATGTAATGGCCAACGTCCTTAAGGATAAGGCACCGTAAGAAGAAGAAGTGTCATATTTTTGTAGAGCTGTTGTACTGCTTGTATATTTTTTTGCTTATTCCTTGTTTCTCCATTGCTACCCAAAGCATTGAAAGTGGTACACTATCGTATGCCTTTGTCAGATCTATGAAGACTATATGAGTTAAAAGGTTGTGGGCTAATCTTTTCTCGATAACTTGCTTTAGAGAGAATATACTGTTTATATTGCCTGCACGAAAGCCATTCTGTTCTTCTACATCTGTCATTTCTTTTTCAATTTTATTTCTTATTATTGTTCCATAGAGTCTTGAGAGTGAATTTATGACACTTAACCCCCTGTGGTTTAAACAATTCTTTATATCTCCCTTTTTGTAAATGTTGTTAATATGTGCTTTTGTTCACTCCAGTGGTAAGTCGTGTCCATTATAGAATAAGGTGAAGACATACGCCAGTAATTCCCGTAATACTTGTGGGCTATGTTTTAATAACTCTTTGGTATACCTTGTGGTCCGCATGACTTCCGATTTTTTAGAGTTAGTATTGCATTCTCGACTTCCTGTACTGTTATTTCATCGTCCTGAAGTCCACTTCATATGTTGTACTGATGTTCGTGAATTGAGGTCTTGTTTCAGTCAAAAGTTGTTAGTAGTGTTCGATTCAAGATCTTTCTTCTATTAAATCTATTCTACTCGTTTCTTTTCTGTTTGTTCTCAGATTTTTTACCGTGTTCCATGCTTCTCTTGATCTTGTTGACCCTATATATTTGTTGAGTTCTTCGCCTTTACTTTCCCAGGAAATATTTTTTGCTTTAGTTACTAAATTTTTAATTCTCTGTTTGATCTTGCATATGTTCGTCTATCATCTGGATCATTTTTTTACAGCTTGTTTTTTGTTATGTACATCATTGGCGATGTCATTTTAACATTTCACATCAAGCCAGGGGTTTTGATTGGGCTAGTTGGTTGTCATTTTGATGTAGTAGCCGAGGTCGATACTGTAGGTAACATTTTGATCTTACCATATAGTGGTCATTTCCGCATGGGCATTTCCGGTCCTCTTAATACTCTTATGTCTTCAACTTGTATGTGTGTTTCTTGTTTTGTGATGACATAATCTATAATTGACTTTGTGTTTCTCCTTTGTTGAACCCAGGTGTACTTATGTATGTTTTTATGTTGGTAGAATCCGTTTAGGATTTTCAGAGAGTGTTGTTCACAGAATTCGATTAAGTGTTCCCCATTTTCATTTGTTTTAGCGTCACCATATTTTCCTACGACTTAGTCATTTGTTTTTGTTCCTGCTAATTAAAATCTCACAACAGCATAATTTCTTTGCGGCTATTTATATTTTCAATGAGTTCCGATAAAGTTTAGTAGAATATTTATTTAACTGCTTTTGATGCATTTTCTGACGGAGCATATATTCCAATGATCTCGAGGTCGTGCCCTTTCCACGTAATAGATACTTTAATAATTCCCTCATTGATCTGATACTCTAATGATCTCAAACTTAAACTAAAAAACCA